ATTTCTTATAATTCCAGCATTTCCCTCTTTCTATTAAAATGGTAAGGGATTAATAATAAATACACTGTCACCACCTGTTCACCCCCTTTATAGCAGTAGATGGAAATGCTTTTATTTGCATTATGATGAAACCTGTCAGGGAAAGTAATCTTTTTAGCTAATCTCTAACTAAAGATTTGCAGTTATTTTAACTCTGTTAGGACTCCAGTCTGTGTGGTCTGTGTGTTTGTCTTCCTTCCTCCACCAGGCGGTGCCTGGTTCAGATTCTCCTCCTCCTCGTTAACAGAGTGTTCTTAAGCTGCTGACTGCCACTACCTCGGCGCCAGAGTGTTTGCCAGTTTTGGGAAGTCATCCTTCAAACTGGATTTTTCGGACCTTCTCTCCCTGGAAGGATCAACTGAGCTTCAAACTGAGCTGAGGAAACAAACTGGAGGTTTGGATCCACTTTTCCCTGAGGAAATGTTTGAGCTTCACACTGAGCAAGGGATTCATCTGCACAACAGTCCGTTCAAGTACCGCAGGAAAACTGAGTGGCAGTCAGTCTTCTCTGTACTTTGTTTGAGTAACGAGTAATCTAACTAATTACTTTGACTGTAACTATACCGCAGTTACCATTGCAGACACCTTGTTACTGTGCGTTACTCAGGTCGCACAATTAACCTTTTTTCACCTGGGAACGCGCATGCTCGCTAAAGGCACGCAACAGTCGCCCTGTGCTCGCGCCACAGGAGAACTATGGAGAGCGTGAAGGATCAAATGATAGCCTATATGGAGAAAGGGAGAAATCTCAATGGATGGATGGATGGATGGATGGATGGATGATAGATGGATGGATGGATGGATGATGGATGGATGGATGGATGATGGATGGATGATGGATGGATGGATGGATGGATGGATGGATGGATGATGGATGGATGGATGGATGGATGGATGGATGATGGATGGATGGATGGATGGACGGACGGACGGACGGATGGATGGATGATGGATGGTCGGACGGATGGATGGATGATGGATGGATGGATGGATGGATGATGGATGGATGGATGGATGGATGGATGGATGGATGATGGATGGATGGATGAATGGATGGATGGATACTCTGCCTTTTCAACCTACTGTATTTTTTATTGTAAACATTATTTTATGGCCTTTGTGGCAGGGATGGAGATCCATATTTTATGTGACACACAGAGTATAGATCTAGATAGATAGATAGATGTTGCAGTATCTATAACAACCCAAACACACAGGATTTCAGAATTAAACATCCCCAGTTATTAATTTCATTCACTCACCAGATCTGAATGCCCTGTTAAAAAACTTCACATGGCGTTCCCCCCTGATGTCATTTACGTTGAGTTGCAATAAATGCGAAACTCTATGCAGGTTCTTGTCTTTGTCGTCCGCTCTATTCAGCTGGCTTTGAAACACACGGCGAGAAGGTGGGGGCTGGGTGGTGAGGGTTACGGGGGCGAGAAACGCAAAAGTAACGCAATAGTTACTTTTACTAGTAACTAGTTACTTTTATTATGGAGTAACTCAGTAAGTAACTCAATTACTTTTTGGGAGAAGTAACTAGTAACTATAACTAATTACTTTTTCAAAGTAACGTGCCCAACACTGATTCTGGGTAACCCTGTCCGCCCTCCACCATATGAAACAAACACTGGAACACATTCCTCACCTACTGGAGTCTAAGAGTCTACCTAATCTCTGGAAACGTGAGTCTTCCAACCTTTTCTCCTCTTGAAGTTCGAGAATCAATTCTCCCACTGAACCTGAACTAACCGCAGTGTCTTCCCCTCGCCTTTCAGTTCCGGTTTAGCAGTGTTCAGAGCAACACTGGAATCTTCACAAAACTTCTCAATAAACCTGTTAAACTTTTTCCCTTATCCCTCTGTAATGGTTTCTCTGCCTTTGGGTCTGATCTTTAGTTAAATCATGACAAACTCTGGATGAATAAAACTAAGCTTTATTAGATTTGCTCTTGTGAAATCCTCTTGAATATTTGAATCACCTCATATTGACTAAAGTACTATGAATTCCCAAAGAGTGCCAAATGCCATGAAGATTCAGAACTTCCTGTAAATTAAAAAGTAGAACGAAAAATTCCTACAAATAGAAGGAAATCTTAATTGATTAAATAGAAAATCAAGGAATTATGAGTGAGAGCGACGAGACAAAGATCTATGTCTTTTCTTTTGTGTCTATATCCAAAACTCTGCTGTTAAATAATAAAATATGTTTTTTTGGTCTATAGTATAGACATTGCTTTGGAAGAAATCAAAGGAAGTTCTGCGTTTGGCAAAAAAAATCAGAAAATAAGACAAAAATACCTTTCATACTCGTCTGGTGGCATTGTTCAGTTATATACAGTTTGATTAGTTTGCTTCTTAACTCTGTGCGCGAAAATCCATAATTTTCAGTGGCCTACACTGGAAGTAGAGTTTTTCAGTAGAATTTAGCGTCTGCCAGACATGTATTCAACAAGCGTGATCAAACACCAGACTGACGACTGTGCACTGAAGCTGATGGTACAAAAATGTGACTTGTTACAGCAAGTGCCTTCCCAGTGCTAAGTGTAGAGGTTCCCACTATCGCCTTAACTTCATTGTACATTAATTTATCTTTATGGAAATTTGATATGTGTTTATGGATTGGATCCACCTCTGTCTCCTGCACAATCCTCTCAGCCGTGGTCCCTTTTGTACACAGCTAAATGGGTACACGCCTGTTGAGGTAGTTGAAAGGACTCATAGAACGATACTATAGGGTGTTTGGTGCTGGCCCTAAAGGTCTCTGAATAGGGTGTGTAACATTGGTTGGGCTGAAAATGGCATATTAGCTGTTCTATGAGCCCTAATGCAGCCTGGTTAAAAGCCCTAGAATGAAACGACAGGTTTTCTTATGGTATGATCATGAATATTTAGATGAGCTGTGCGCTGATTGGTTGGTTTACAACGAGCGAAGCTGCTGAGCAAAGACGCATCATAGCAACAAGCACTCACTTACTGAAACATCAAATTGTTGATATAGTAGGGGGACCAGATGTTCTCTTTTTCCCGGACATGTCGTACTTTTCATACCTAAAAAAAAAACTAAATACTAAAACTAAATACCTAAAAAAACTAAAAAGATGCCTGGGGGAATTTTTAAAATCGTCCGGGATTTTGGAGCGACCGAACCTGACCTAGTGACGGTAGCCTAGACACTGGCCCCGGTGCACGGTAAGGCAGGCGGGGGGAAGCATACCGTCACCGGGTCGGGTTCAGTCACTCCATCCTTGGCTGGCTCCCTGCCACCCGTCGATCCTGTTTTGGATCGTTTTCATAGTGTCTAAACTGGGCCCTTAGTTCCAACAAGAGGAGAAGCAAAACCTCTGCCTGCAGCCAGAACCTTCATGACTCACAACCCAGGAAATGCAGAACATTCTGGTTCTTATCCCTCGGGATGTTTGTGGCTCCAAGCCTTGGTCCAGATTTAGCTCCAGTACTTCTGCTCCTTTTCTGATTGGACTTTCAGCACCGTCTTTGGTCTGTTCTCTGCTCCAAGCTTCGGATTATGACCTCATCCTTCATCCTTTGCAGCTCACCTCAGGACTTCCTGGTACCACCTGTGGTTTAGCCAGAACAAAAGGATGGACCAGAGAAGCCTGTTCTCATGGCATCTACAGAGCAGGCTTCAAACAGAGCCAACTGGACCTTCTAATCCGAGGCACCAGAACCAACAAAGGCTCCTGGAGCAAAGGCCCGGCTCGCTCCGATTTAGTGGACCAGAGGGAAAGCAGAAGATTAGGAGGAAATGGGTTCCATTATCCTGAGGTCCAGTTTGAACCGGTTCCGGACAGTGTAATGGAGGTGGATTGGGTTGGTCAGAGGAGTTCAGAATACAGTGATGATAAAACCAGCCTGGTTCTGTCTGAACCTGCTGGGATCCAGAGCAGCGAGCAGGACCTGAGCTAAGGTCTGCTGCTGCCATCTGCTGGACAGACGGAGGTACTGTGTCTGTATGTGGAACCAGACATAGACCCCGCATTGACTGTCAAGGCGCAGGAATTACGGGCGCCATCTTGGGGAGGTCGACCTGCTACTCTAACCTGCTGATTTGAGTAGAACAGAAGAAGGACGCTTCAGCACTGCAGCCTGTTTTTGTTTAAATCTACAGGCTGTTGACATCAGGGCTCGAGAGATAACTTCATGAAAGCATCAGAGCTTTGGAAGACATTACTAAATAAACAGCATATATACACTACAAAGAAAAGAAACTTCCTTTATTGTCCCACAGTGGGTAAAAGTTACAGCAGCAAAAGATTACAGCAAAATTGGTCGATCAAATGTGGAACTTAAATGTGTAGAAAAACAATAGAATAAGTGACTGAATAAAAAAAAAAATATCCAATCCAATTTTATTTGTTAAGCACTTAAAAACAACCACAGCTGACCAAAGTGCTGTAAAGAAAAATAATAAAGTAAAACATATAACAGAATAAATACAAAACAAAACAGCTAAGACGTGGGTAAAAATAACATTCACATAAATATAAAAATAAACAAATAAAATACTGTACTGTAAAATGTTTTTAAAATATAAACACTGTGCATCTGAAGAACAATCAATATACAGCTGTTTACACTTTTTAAAGTATTTTACAATATTTTTTACAGTATAGTTAAAGTTGGTAAAAAAAAAATATATATATATCTATATATATATATATATATAGATATATATATATATATAGAGAGAGAGAGAGAGAGAGAGAGAGATGTTTATGTATATACCTGTATAAATATGTCAAAAAATTATAAAAATGTATGAGTGTCTGTGCTTTGCAACATACCTACATCCTATCTGTATTCTTAGTATTCTATGACTCTTAACCCCACTAAGAATAATAAAATACACTGAAAATATTAAAATATTGATTCTGTTCCTGCTCAACACATCACACTGAGAAGAGCTGTCGACCGCCCCAAGATGGCGCCACCAAAATCACGTCAGCTCTGATAGGTGGACGCGATCGATGCGGGTCTACATGGGTGAAACGGTCTGCATACGTCATCACCTGGAACCAACATGGCGGCCGCCGTGAATTGCAGTCAGAGGCAGTTTGTCAGAAAACTTTCACAGGTGAGGAAGGTGATTTTGATCTCGTGCAGTACGTCACAGAGATTCCTTTATAGCAGGGACGTCATCGGTTGGAGTAAACGAAGATTCAATTTTGCAGACATTTTGACCTTTCACCCAGTTTTCTGTTACGTCACTGTAGCTGTAGCTGTGTTTAAAGTTGATAAAATGTTCAAGGGTAGTTCAGGTTTAGCAAAGCACCTATGAAGATTCTCCTCATAAATTGATAGAAATTGAACTTTATTGATCTCACATTGGAGAAATTCACTCTCTGCATTTAAAGGATAATTCGTTTTTTAACATTGGTCTCTTGATTTTACGTTATTCCATCATGTTCTACTCACCCATATGAGATTAGTGTCATTTGGAGCCGTTCTGAAGATATTCCGTTAGGTTATATCCAGTAACGTCTTCCTATGAGCAACGACTTGAAGGCACAAATTAAACTGTTCATCATTTATTCTTTATGGTACGCCAGCATTCAGAACATGTAGGCCAATCACTGTCCCCCAGACATCCGCGGTTATATTTTTTATATTTATATTTTTTAAAAACAAAGCTGAGTGTGTATGACGTCATCAGCATGCTTGAAGCGACAGTGGAGAGGAAAAACTCCCTTTTAAACAGGAAGAAACCTCCAGCAGAACCAGGCTCAATGTGAGCGGCCATCTGCTGAGGCCCACTGGGGTTCAAGGAGACAGAAGCAGACATAGAAAAAGAAGCTGCAAAAGGCGGCCCCGTCCAGGAAACACACAGCCAGGCAGACGAGCTCCGAGCCAGCTCCCATGTCAAAGGACGAAGAGAGCACATTCAGTTAGTCACAGTCAGAGAAACAGGACTACACTGGAAAACAGGCCAAGCTCCAACATCTAGAAACAAAGGTGTTGATGGCAGCAGCACAGCTGATATTTCTCTCCAGGATGGAGTCACAGCCAAACAGGAACAGACCAGATGAAGCTACTATGAGAAAAAGCAGAGAGAGCAGAACGTTAGAGATTGAACTAACAGATTCTGCAGAGTGGGAGAATAGAGATAGAATGAAGCAGAATGATGAAAAAGGGGTCCCTATGTCCTCCAGCAGTCTAAGCCTATTTATGGCAAGGATATCCACTTTTTTTTTGGGATCCCAATTTGAGACTGTATTTTATTGACTTTATCTTTAGTGGGATTATCAGTGGCTCGCTGCAGTTCTGGAGCTGCAGCCTCTAGTCGTCTTCCTGCAGATCAAAACAAACCAGCAGCTGTAGTTTATATTCTCACCAGCAGGTGGCTCCAGTTATCTGTTCTAAAACTTGCAGGTTTTGTTTTGAATTTCAGTCAGGAAGCTTTTCCATCATCAGTTCTGAATAAACTCGTCCTGAGAAGGTAGACCAGGTTCTGGTTTTAGAAGATGGGTCAGAGGAAAATATTATCACATCCAGAAACTGTATTTAGTCCAAATCCAAGTGCATCGCCGCGGTAACAGAAATCCTGAGTTTGTTCCAGCCCTTCCCACCGCGAGTACCTGTCTGTCAGGAGCTCCTCACTTCCTGAATTATATCTAGATGTACAGCAAGAGGACATCCGTCCATCTGTGGTCGTCCTCTGTACCACCCTCAGTCAGGCGTGCCCTGACCCAAAAGATTCAGGTCCGAACATCAGTCCAGATGTTGCAGGGGATGTTTAGAAGAGGTGGCATAATCTCTGTTGGATCATTTATCAAGGATCAGGAATGAAGAACTCAGGTAGATGGAAAGATTAGAGTCCAGAAAGTGGTTCAGGAAAAGATTTGGGTCCAAAGAACTGACCCGATTCCCAAAAACCAGACCAGACAGAAGCTTCCCACATGGTTCTCCATCATCCAGAGGTTGCTTCTCAGAGAACAATCATCTGGAAACTACTGAGAATGGATGATGAATGAGGCTGAGGAGCTTATTACCTAAACTGGGTCTCTACCAGGGGTAGGGTGGGAACTCGGTTTGAGGGATGATTGGATCCGAATGAACAGAAATAGGTTGAATTTGACAAAAGAAGTAAATGTAAAAATCTATGAAAAAGAAAATCAGACATTTCTTTTCAACCAGGCTTCAACAGAATGTTTTTTAAAAAGTAAAAACAGTCCTGGGCTAAAATGATAGTTCCCTTACCTTTACATTTGGTTTCCCTACCTTTAGAGTCAATATCTGCCATTAATGGTTCCTGTTTCTGTCGGTCAGGCAGGAAATGTTTCTGGACTTTTGTTGAGTCTTATTCTGTCAGAATAGGTTCAGAACCAAACTGATTCTGTTGATTTTGGTCTTTCTCAGTTATGGTGCCACAGGTTTGCGGGCCTCCGGTCCTACTCCACTCCTCACTCCCAGTTCTTCGCTCCGTCTGAAGGCATCATGCTGCCGGCAGGAAGTTACAACAACAAAGTGGCTTTCATCACCGGAGGCGGTACCGGACTGGGCCGAGCCATGACCGGTGTTCTGTCCCAGCTTGGAGCCCAGTGTGTCATTGCCAGCAGGTCAGAGGTCACACCACACCAAACAGGCGACCATGAAGCTCAGTTCCTAAAGTTTGGTTAGTTCCGTGCAGGAAGCTGGAGGTCCTGCAGCAAACGGCCACTGAGATCAGCAGCCAGACCGGAAACAAGGTACCGTCCAGAACTGGGATGATCCAGGTATGACACATTCTGACCCGATCTGACACGGCGCCGTCGCTGTCCTCAGGTCCATGCGGTCCAGTGTGATGTCAGAGACCCTCAGGCCGTCTCTCACTGCGTTGACCAGATGGTGGAGCTGACTGGACTTCCTGATGTAAACGCACTCACCTGATATGACAGAAACCAGAACCTGGATCTGTTGTTTTAGTTAGTGCTCCTCTGGACCCCAGAACCGTGGCTCACAGGTCCAGATTGGTGGTGACAGTGTTTCTGATGACATCATGCTGCGCTGTGTCCTGATTGGTGCAGGTGATCATCAACAACGCTGCAGGGAACTTCATCTGTCCCTCAGAGCGCCTGACGGCGAACGGCTGGAAGAGCATCACCGATATCGTTCTCAACGGGACGGCGTTCGTCACTCTGGAGCTGGGAAAGAGGCTGATCCAGAACCAGAAAGGTCAGAACCGGTTCCAGGAAAGCAGCGGTTCCAGAATCAGGAGTCAGAAAAAGTCAGATACAGAATCTAAACTGGTCTAGAAACTATTTCAGAATCAGGAAAGTTTTCTTTCTTGTTTTTTTTTTTGTCTCAGGGGCCTCCTTCCTCGCCATCACCACCATCTACGCTGAGTCCGGCTCTGGTTTCGTTGTCCCAAGTGCGTCAGCCAAGGCTGGAGTCGAGGCTCTTTACAAGTCTGTTTCAAACCAGCTGGAAATCTGAACCCCCCCATGAGTGTGGTTACCATGGTAACCATCTGGATTGTGTCCGTCAGGTCTCTGGCTGCGGAGTGGGGGCGCTACGGCCACAGATTTAACATCATCCAACCGGGACCAATCAGGACAAAGGTACCGCCCTCCATCTGCCAATGTTGATCATCCTGCATGTTGCCATGGTAACCAACATTGTTAGTTTGAGGTTTTCCAAAGAGACCCACTCTGGACGGCCTGCTGGAGTTTCTCTGTCCAGAACTGAACCACCGGGTTCTGAGTCCAGATCCAGGAGCTGCATCCTGATCCGATTGGCCGAGCTCTGGACGTCAATCTGAATGACGGGTTTTACTGTGTTCTACTCAGGGAGCCTTCAGCCGCCTGGATCCGACCGGAACCTTTGAGAAGTCCATGATTGGTCGTATACCGACGGGTCGGCTCGGAAAACCAGCAGAACTCGCAAACCTGGCCGCTTACCTGAGCAGCGACTACGCCAGCTGGATGTCTGGAGCTGTGAGTTTCCACAGATACGCTTCTAATATAAAACAAGTTCTACTTGATTTCATAAAAAAGAAACAAGATGGGAAAAGCATCAATAAACAATTTGAACAGATGGCATCAGTAGAGCCGGGAACCTCTAAGCCGAACCCAGTCCTGGTTCTCTGACATCTAGAACCATCTAGATCAGGGGTCAGAATCCCAAACTGTTCAAAGAGCCATATTGGACCAAATAAATGAATCTGTCTGGAGCTGCAAAAATGTAAAAGTCTTCTATAAGCCTCGTATGGCATCACCGGCTCTAAGTGTAAAGCCATGGGCTTTAACATATAATAAACATTCATGATTAAATGTTTATCCTGCAGCAAATGTCACATAGTAGCATGAGGTGTTGGAGGAGCAGTGAACACCCGGCGCGGTTTATATTTTGTTGCATTGATGAAATGATAGAAACATGATAAAAGGAATCTTTCTATGGTGGACGTTAGGGGTGTAAATCATCCATCATGGCGATTCAATTCAGTATCGATTTCCTGACCCAACGATTCGATTATTTTCGATACTCAAGAATACACCACGATTCGATTCGATTCGATTGTTTTTTTGTTTTTTTTTAACACCTTACAGCAGGGGTGCCCAAGTCCAGTCCTCAAGAGCTACCATCCTGTAACTTTTAGATGCATCTCTTCTCTAGCACACCTGAATCTAACCTCATTTAGCCCAACAGAGGCATGGTAACGAGCCACTCATTTGATTCAGGTGTGTTAAAAATGGTTGCATCAAAAAGTTGCAGGATAGTAGCTCTTGAGGAATGGACTTGAGCACCCCTGCCTTACAGGGTAGACAATGTTTCAAATTTGAAATAAATCAATGAAAGCTGAAACAACAGCAAATAACAGAAGTAGAAAAGTTGTACTCCAACTATTCCTATTAAAACCTCATTCACTGAAAAATAATAATACCCCTGAGTTATAGATTCTGAAAGGCTTTGCATAAAAAAAAAAAAAATGCTGCACATAATCAGTGCAATGAGCGCAATGCAATACCTCGGCTCCAGACGTCCCGCCCCCTCCACAGACGCTCCGCTGCTCCTCTCCCATATTGTAGCTGACCGCAGACAGGAGGCCGGCTTGTTTTGTTTTTATGACTGAAATTGCGGAAAACAACTCGTGAAGTTTGACCCGCTAGAAGAGCGAGGTGCGCGAGAACGCTTGGACCCTTTTTCCACCTGGATCACCGCTCTTTTCTGCCCTCATGTCCCTCCGTCGTCGGACTAAACTCGCCCCCACTTCCTCGCCGCCTCGGCCGTATCTAGACCCACAGCGTGTAGCACAGACCACGCTTCAATATTGACCATAAATCTAAAATGTCTGCATCAAGCTCACTGCGACACACTGCTGTAAAAGTATAACCAGGAAGCGAGGTAGGAGGGCAAAATAGGTTTAGCGCCACCACAGCACGGGAGGGAGAATTACGCCCAGGAGCAAATGGATAGAAATAGACAGGAGAAAAAAAACAAAACATGAATCGATTCTCTTGCGGACGTATCGATGCATCGGATCGTCGGCTGTTGGATCGATGCATCGATACAAAACGATTATTATTTACACCCCTAGTGGACATGAACCAAGCAGGAACTGACATCCATTAGAGCAGAGCTCTCTAACCCCGAAATCCCACATCCTCTGTCGCCAAAGAAGAATGGCAAAGATATCAATTGTTCTGTTTTTGTCTTCCTCCGCCTCTCATTTAATAGTGATTGGCAAACAACCTTCAGGTGCATTGCTGCCATCAAAAGGCTTAAACGCCCAAATTTGGACACTGGGTCAAATGCTGGTCTAGAATCTCTGACGCTTCGACCCTCTGGTTGTTTAGCTGCTCTGTTCTGTAGCTTCAAGCTAATTAGCCGAGTTGGAAAAATACACCTCCAAACATCCTCTGTTCATCAGTTCATCGGGATTTTGATCCCATTAAAATATGCAGTTCTTGTTTGGAGCTCCAGACCTCCAGCATACAGGTGCTGGTCATAAAATTAGAATATCATGAAAAAGTAGATTGATTTCAGTAATTCCATTTAAAAAGTGAAACTTGTATATTATATTCATACATTACATACAAACTCATATATTTCAGATGTTTATTTTGTTTAATTTTGATGATTACAAATGACAACAAATGAAAATCTCAAATTCATCATATCAGAAAATTAGAATATTACTGAAGACCAATAAAAACAAAGGATTTATAGAAATGTTGGCCAACTGAAAAGTATGAACATGAAAAGTATGAGCATGTACAGCACTCAGTATTTAGTTGGGCCTCCTTTGGCCTGTATTACTGCAGCAATGCGGCGTGGCATGGAGTCGATCAGTCTGTGGCACTGCTCAGGTGTTATGATAGCCCAGGTTGCTCTAATAGTGGCTTTTAGCTCTTCTGAATTGTTGGGTCTGGTGTATTGCATCTTCTTCTTCACAATACCCCATAGATTTTCTATGGGGTTAAGGTCAGGAGAGTTTGCTGGCCAATTAAGAACAGGGATACCATGGTCCTTCAACCAGGTACTGGTAGCTTTGGCACTGTGTGCAGGTGCCAAGTCCTGTTGGAAAATGAAATCTGCATCTCCAAAAAGTTGGTCAGCTGCAGGAAGCATGAAGTGCTCTAAAACTTCCTGGTATGTGGCTGCGTTGACCCTGGACCTCAGAAAACACAATGGACCAACACCAGCAGATGACATGGCACCCCAAACCATCACTGACTGTGGAAACTTTATACTGGACTTCAAGCAACGTGGATGAAGTGCCTCTCTTCTTTTCCTCCAGACTCTGGGACCTTGATTTCCAAAGGAAATGCAAAATTTACTTTCATCAGAGAACATGACTTTGGACCACTCACCAGCAGTCCAGTCCTGTTTCTCTTTAGCCCAGGCAAGACGCTTCTGACGCTGTCTGTGGTTCAAGAGTGGCTTGACACAAGGAATGCGACAGCAGAAACCCATGTCTTTCATACGTCTGTGTGTGGTGGTTCTTGAAGCACTCACTCCAGCTGCAGTCCACTCTTTGTGAATCTCCCCCACATTTTTGAATGGGTTTTGTTTCACAATCCTCTCCAGGGTGCGGTTATCTCTCTTGCTTGTACACTTTTTTCGACCACATCTTTTCCTTCCCTTCGCCTCTCTATTAATGTGCTTGGACACTGAGCTCTGTGAACAGCCAGCCTCTTTAGCGATGACCTTTTGTGTCTTGCCCTCCTTGTGCAAGGTGTCGATGGTCGTCTTTTGGACAACTGTCAAGTCAGCAGTCTTCCCCATGATTGTGTAGCCTATAGAACTAGACTGAAAGACCATTTAAAGGCTTTTGCAGGTGGTTTGAGTTAATTAGCTGATTAGAGTGTGGCACCAGGGGCCATCAATTTTGAACCTTTTCACAATATTCTAATTTTCTGATATGATGAATTTGAGATTTTCATTTGTTGTCATTTGTAATCATCAAAATTAAACAAAATAAACATCTGAAATATATGAGTTTGTATGTAATGTATGAATATAATATACAAGTTTCACTTTTTAAATGGAATTACTGAAATCAATCTACTTTTTCATGATATTCTAATTTTATGACCAGCACCTGTACAGTTTGTCAGATGAGCATACCCATAGTCAATACCCGTTTATCCCTTTAGTTTATCCCTTTAATTTTGTACGAAAAATAAACTTTACACTACCTCAATGGGCGTGTTTCCCTTTTGTCATGTACAGAAAACGATTTAATTACGGTACTTACTTTTTGGAGTTTTTTAAAGTGTATGGCTATCTCACCTTAAAGTGTTTATTTTGTACATGATTAAAGGGATACACTCCCATTTAGGTAGTTTGTACGGAAGAGGATTAGGGCCAGTGGAAAAAAAAAAAAAAGTTAACAGGTTTTTTAATTTTATTTCAGTTTAGTATTGGAAAAAAGTCAGAATTCTGATTTTAATCTCAGAATTCTGACTGAATTCTGACAACAACAAAAAAGTCAGAGTTCTGAGATTAAAGTCAGAATTCTGAGAAAAAAGTCCGAATTCTGAGGAAATGTTAAACTGAAATAAAATTAAAAAATCAGTTAACTTTTTTTTTTTTCAGTGGCCCTAAACCTCTTCCGTAAGTTTAAAATCTATTTTTCATACAAAACTAAAGGGATAAACACAAATCTGACGTCTTGCACATGCGTACTGTCTGAGTATGCTGATTGGACAGAACACTGGAAGGCAGCGCTGGAAATCCCCTCTGAAAGCTCTGTGTTACGGCCATCCTTTGGGGGATTTCCTGCTTCCTTTCGTAGCGTTTGGAAGTGAATAGAAAGAGTTTCATGTACAAGAATATACAGGGTTTCTGCGGCTCATTAAAAATCATTAAAAGTCATTAAATTATTATTTTTTAAATTAAGGCCTTAATTGGCATTAAAATTCATTAAATTTGACAAACGTGGCATTAAAATGCTTTGGAAAAGAAGCTTGAGGCGGAGAAAAGGCTAAAGAATGTAGGAAAATGCTAATTTGAACCAAAGTGGCGGGAAAAAGTCATGGGTATTTTTTTATGGCATTAAGATTATTTCTAAGAGCATTAAAAAGCATTAAATAAGAGTTACTCATTCATGTATAAACCCTGATATAGAGTCGAATATTTTTTGTTGGCAGATTTGAACATTTTTAGGTAATTTGGGTATTTAGAAACTGTTTCGCTGTTATTTTAGCCGTTTTCTTTTCCTTTTCTAGTTTAACCCCTTTATATTTATTTTTCATGTGCAGAATTTCTGCAGAAATGTTGACAGCTTGCATGTAGTATCTGTCCACCAAAAAACCTCCTGGAACAAGCGTTTCTAATTGGCTGACACTCTGACATCCAGCTGCAAAAGTTCAAATTGCGGAACTAAAATGACCTTTCAACGCACCATTATGGCTTCATGAGGGGTTGTAGATTTATACTGGTGAAGATTCCCAGTCATCCAGGTCATAGTCACTCCAAAAAATGTAAAAAAAGAAAAAAGGACATAGACAGGTATGGGGTATAACAGGCTAACAGAGAAACCAAACGACTAACCTGACTCCGCCAGATGGATTTGCTCCGCATATCCATCTGGAAACCTTCCGTAGAAGTAATTTTGGGAAGGGGCGAAAATTTTGGTTAGCTGATTGGCCTATGTTGGTGATAGACGGGCCAAATAAACCAATCAGATCAACGAAGCATATGACGTACTAACAGAGCGACGAGGAAGAGGAGCCAATTGATAGATCAAACTCTTGCTGAAACCAGTCGGGAGAAGAGCAAACACATCTTTTCCTCTGAGAAAAGCCTCCAGAGCAGTGTTTTGCTCTTCTTTCAGTGAAGAAATACTCACTGAATTCCCATAAAACTTGCTCAATAGCCACGCTAACGCTAGTTTCATCGGCTGAAGCTGCCATGTTCTTTAGACTGAACTGTGGCGCTTCTCGTTGCGTCACACCTCAACCGCCTCAAAGCCAACGCTGATTGGACGTTCGTTTGGTGAACGGCTCCAAATTTTCTTTAACGGAGAGTCTCCAGACTGATTAGCGAGTGAAACCTTGAAAGCTCGCGAGATCAGGATGGTCTCACCAGGCTACCAAACGACCCCCATTCCAAAGGGGCGGAGCCGTTCGTCCGGTTCAACTTGCATGTTTTTTAAGCCATAACAAGCCTTTGTTTTTGGTCGACTCTTTAAAACCTGGAACTCAAAGCTATTTCATATATTTTGAATTGAAAAAGCTTCCTGGATGGGAAGAGAACCGTCGTAAAACTTGGAAACAAAGTCCAGTGGATTGGTTTTTTTACTTTTTTGAATTATAGATATATACTTTTATTTTTGCAGATTTTGGCTTTTAAACTCATATTCATACAGATGGAGTATCCGACATCACATGCATGTCGCTGTTAACTATAAGAAACTAAAACCAAAGCTAAAATGATTTACCTATTTCGACTAATATTTATAAATTCAGACAACTATGCATACGTTTCCTATTGGCAGTTGTTTGACCACATAGGTGACCTGCTCGGCTTATATGACCGAATCTATTCTTCTTGTATATATCAAGAAGAAAAACTGAAGTCTTAATTCGGCAGGTTGACTGATCACCTAAAGTCATGTGACCTGTTTCAGTTATGCGACTCGTTAAACTAACCGTTCCTGTTCTCAGGTGATCCGTTTCGATGGAGGAGAGTACGTATCGATGGCAGGAGAGTTTAACGAGCTCCGTAAGGTGAGTGTAGATGATCAGCTGGCCGCTCGCCTGTCTTACCTACTGGTTCCTCAGAGCTCTGACTACATCTTCTCTCCATTACCCATATTCTAGGTGACGGACGATCAGTGGAAGATGTTGGAGACGATGATCAGAAGCACTAAGGGGTCGTAGGAAATGCTGCTAACTCATTAGACCGTGTCAACCACTCAGATCACAGCGTGCAGAGTCTGTCTTAGATGTCTCTGCTGACATCCATGGATATGATTGTTTTCCTTAATGATTGTTTGATCGGCAGATAGAAACAAGCTTGGACCTCATGGTACAGTCTACACATGCTCAAATTGAACACAGATGTTTTGTGAGAAAAGAATAAAGGAAATGTTTTGATTTTTCTTCTCTGTCAAATGTTTGATTAATACACTCAGAAACCTCTGATTCAGAACTTCACAAAAACCAGCTCTTATGCTCACACCGTGGCGATGCACACAGCAGAACAAATGGCTAAACTCAACAACAGGACCAGCTGATCCTGGCCCTATGAGTATAGTCTCCCGTCTCTTTGGATGAAACTGTCTCCTGCCTCTCATGTTCAACACCATTCTCTGCTTTTCACTTCAAATTAACAGAATTTATCTGAAACCCAATCCATAACTTAAACATCCATCCCTCCATCCACCTTCTTCCGCTTATCCGGGTCATCTTGCGGGGGTAGCAGCTTCAATAAGGAGACCCAGACGTCCATCTCTCCAGCCATTTAGACAAGCTTCTCCGGGGGAATCCCAAGGCGCTCCCTCGCCAGCTGAGAAACATAGTCCCTCCAGCGTGTCCTGGGTCTCCCCCTGGGCCTCCTCCCGGTGGGACGTACCCGAAACACCTTGCCAGGGAGAAGTCCAGGAGGAATCCCAATCAGATGCCCGAGCTGCCTCAACTGGCTCCTCTCGATGTTGAGGAGCAGCGGCTCTACTCTTGAGTCCTCCCCAGATGACTGAGCTCCTCTCCCTAAGGGAGAGCCCAGATCCTCATCCCGGCCGCTTCACACTCTGTTGCTAACCGCTCCAGTGAACGCTTTAGATCATGCCCTGATAAAGCCAACAGAACCACATCATCAACATAACTTGAACATATTACTGAAAAATCTAGAAAAGACACATTTGGACATCAAAGAAGGTTGCTCGTTTTTATTAGGAACAGAAACTCGAGAGAAACGTGTAAAACAACAGCACCCCACAGAGTGCCTCCAGAGTCCGAGTCTCAGTTGTTCATTTTTCAAGATTAAGTCAGAGTCTTTGGTTTAAGTCATGAGTCCCATATGGTCCAAGTGAGTCAGAGTCCTAGATGTTAATGTTTCAGTTGTGAGTCCAGGTCTCAGGTTTGAGCCCTTATCTGGGGTTTGAGTCAGTCTCTGATATCCGAGTCATAGGTTTGAGTCAGTGTAAGATGTCCAAGTCTTAGATGTCTGTGGCTTTGTCCAAATGTCCGCCCTAACCCCAAATCTATCAGTCACTATATATACAGTAGTAGCCTTTCACTTTCCTTGGGCCTTTGCTGGTCCTTGTCTAGTCCCCTACAATTCCTTTTTAATCTAAAATATTCTTTCTGTCATGATTTGTGGACATTAAGATTTCATTTCTCAGGTTTCCTTCCTGGTTCTTAGATCCATGTCTTTGGTGGGTCTCAAAGTCCAGTCCATGTCTCAGATGTCCATGTCTTAGATGCATGTCCGGGTCTCAGTTGTGAGTCATTGCCTGTTGATGTTCTGCTGGCAGCGTCCAATCAATGTAGTGACGAGTTTCTGAAGAAGCTCCGCCCTCATCTTGCAGATCTCTAGAACCTCATCGTGGTTCACCTTCTCTTCGCGGCTGTAATCCAGAGACACCTGCCGAACGACCGATAAACCAGTTAAAACAGGTCTTAGTCAGGTACACAGAGCAACTCTAGACAGTTCAGAGACCTTGTTGGTGACGAGGGTCAGACCCAGAACTTTAAGTCCACAGTGTTTGGCCACAGTCACCTCAGGAACCATGCTCATACCTACAGAAAGCATCAGCACATAATGAGACAGTTGACCACAAACATCCCAGAACTGACCTTTCATACCGATTGGAAAATTTTTCCAATTTTTTTATGTTGTCCACCAATATTTAAAGGAAAAGTTCGGTCATATTCAGAATACAAACTTCTGAAAGTACTTTACAATGTGTCTCATCACCAAAGCAAACTCCTCGTATGTGTAGAATATTATTAATAAAGCCTCTTATGATGTGCATTAACAAGCTCAGCGGGGGTCCCATAAGGTTTCTGAAAGTTAAATCATATAATTTTACTATTCACTAATCATAAACCATGCCTCACACCCATGGGCGTAGGTTTGCATAGGGACCATAGGGACATGTCCCTACCAAAATTTTGGAAGGACCCATTTGTCCCTACCAATAATTGGATGTAAACAACATGTTTATAATTTACTATACAGCAGCCGCTTCTTTTCCTCTCGCAGCTTCTCTGCCTGGTAGCTTCAGCTGCCTGCTCTTTCCTGTCCCGTTCACATAGCAGCGCATCAACTGTGCTGCGTGGTTTAACTCTCTGATTATTCTGCCTTAAGTTCCGCCTTCTCTCTTTCTGATTGCGTGTTTTCTAGTCTGTACGTGCGCGCGCGCGGTTGCTTGGAGCGCGAAAAAAAGACACTAAAATAAATTAATATTGGGCTACGAAACTAGTCCAAATTAAAAAAAAATATTATCTACGCTAAAACAGGCGAAAGCTTCTGATTGGAGTTCTGTAAAGAAGTAGGAGAGAGTTTTTTGATTTGTGGAACTTGAGAAATGTAAGTTAACAACGTTAGGATTTCTTTTATTTTATCTTTTAATCAGATAGCCAAAGGCTCCTTAAAGAAGATCTTTTATTAAATGAAACCAGGTGAAACAGAAACGTTTAAACGTTTCCTTTGGAGGAGTTCTGGATGGAGAATATTGACAGACAAAAATGTTTTTTTTTTTTACTTCTTAAATGCTAAATGTTTACATATATTTTTCCAATCTTGGTATAATTCCTGCTCTAAGTGGGTCGCTCTGTCGGCTAAAGGCACATTTAAGTGGTCCTATATTCCAGTGAACGATTAATCAATCACTAAATTAGTTCACGATTATTTAAATAATTTGTTAATATGATTGTTTCAGCCATAGATAAAATACATGAAATTAGCTACACAGAGTAACTACAGCCCAGATGTACAACTTCTAATATTTTAAATGCTCAGTGTCAGTTCCTCTTCTAGTTCCAGTGCACATGTAAATACAATACATTTATTTGCCGTCCCTTGAATGTATTATTTTGCATGATCCAGAGAGAGTATATTAGATTAAAAAAAATAAGAGTGGGTTTTACCTCTGCACAATTCTTTATCTTCAGAAGAAAACACAGGATAAATCCACATATTACAGACATATTATAGAATATATTTGGTTAAACAGACACTGTCTTAGTCGCAGGTAAATTTAAATGCAATCCTTTTCAAAGTGGAAAAAGTCCTAATTCCACATTCATCAGAGCAAGTTTTGCTATAAATATTGATAAACAGCATCTAGTGCATGTAGTGCTTATAAGATTTGTATTAATGTAGCAAGAAATGCTGCTGTTCTCTTTAAACAAAATGAGCCCTGAACCTCACATTAAGCATAAAAAAGAGCCTGCATATTTTTTGCAAAGGACCAATGAAACTGAAGAATAGTGTCCCTACCAAAGCTGAAATCAAACCTACGCCCTTGCTGACACCTAATAGTGAAGGTGCAGGTAAGGCACGCTATGCACTCAAAACAATTAAAAGAACACTTTGAAAACACATCAGATCTCAATGCGGTAAAAAATCCTGCTGTTTATTTATACTGATATGGACTGGGTGATGTGTTAGGAACAGAAGGATGCCACATCATTTGATGAAAATGAAAATTATCAACCGACAGAGGGCTGAATTCAAAGACACCTGAAAAATAACATTGAAAAAAGGCTAGTCCATTTTGCGGAAATTTCATTGCAGCAACTCAAAATTTTATTCAGTAATTTGTATGGCCCCCACGTGTGTGTATGCATGCCTAACAACGTCGGGGCAGGCTCCTAATGAGACAACGGATGGCGTCCTGTATCAATTCCTTCATCCTCCAGGAACTGCTTGCATACTCTCGCCGCATTGTGCACCAGGAGGAACCCAGGACCCACTGCATCAGCATAGGGTCTGACAATGGGTGCAAGGATTTCATCCCGATACCTAATGGCAGTCACGGTGCCGTTGTCTAGCCTGTATAGGTCTGTGCGTCCCTCCACAGATATGCCTCCCCAGACCATCACTGACCCACCACCAAACCGGTCATACTGAACGATGTTACGGGCAGCATAACATTCTCCACGGCTTCTCCAGACCCTTTCAGGTCTGTCACATGTGCTCAGGGGGAACTTGCTCTCATCTGTGAAAAGCACAGAGCGCCAGTGGCAGACTTGCCAATTCCGGTGTTCTGTCGCAAATGCCAAACAAGCTCCACAGTGCCGGGGAGTGAGGAAAGGGCCCACTAGAGGACGTGGGGCCCTCAGGCCACCCTCGTGAAGTCTGTTTCTGATTGTTTGGTCAGAGACATTCACACCAGGGGCCTGCTGGATGTCATTTTGTAGGGCTCTGGCAGTGCTCCTTCTGCTCCTCCTTGTACAAAGGAGCAGATACCGGTCCTGCTGATGGATTGTAGACCTTCTATGGCCCTGTCCAGCTATCCTGGAGTAACTGCCTGTCTCCTGGAATCTCCTCCTTGTCACACAAACTTTTTCCCACTTCCTTGGCCCACAGCTAGTTCATGATTGTCCCTTTGGCGTTGTGGTGTGGAATAACATAGCACAGACCACGCTTCAAAATTGGGCTTAAATCAATAATATCTGTGACCAGCTGACTGCGACACACTGCCCTGGGAGGAGAAAAGGCCTCTAACTCTTCCTCTAACAGTGTCCCTGTCTTACCCACAGAGTCACAGCCCAGTGTCAGCAGCACTCTGGCCTCAGCGATGGTCTCAAAGTTGGGTCCGCTCACCATACAGTAGACCCCTGTTCTAATAAAGTCGCTGCAGCCAAGCTCAGAGCCGACATCCAGAGCCAGCGTCCTCAGGTCTTTGCTGTAGGCATCTGACATGCAAGGGAACCTGGTACCAAACCTGGACAGAGGACAGGTTTAGGAGGAAGAGAGTGCTCCTGGTTCTGGTTTGTTTCCTTGTCTCACCGCTCATCATTGGGTCCACACAGAGGGTGCTGTCCAGCAAACCCAGGGAGGTTGATGTGGTCTTTAATGATCATGATGTCTCCAACCTTAAAGTCCGGGCAGATCCCTCCGGAGGCATTTGTCACCAGCATGAACTCCACACCCATCAGCTTGAAGATTCTAACAGGGAAAGTGACCTGAGACAAGGGGACAGAAACATTAACCTCACTCGGACAAAAAAATCCGAAATAGGAGACGGTTAACTGTAGAAAGCAGCAGGGGAAGATTGGATAGAACTTCACTTCAATGGTTCTGAGATTTTTAAAAAAAATAGAGGTCTCCATCTTCAGTCCTCAAGACTCGTAACGTAGACACTGGGCAGAGATAAACACCATGGGAGAGTTCCAAGACCAGAACCATTACTGACCCAAAAGAACAAAGACTTGCATTGAACTTCCCAACAATCATCGTCATGGTCAGAAAAATACAGACCTTTTTGAGAAGGTGTGTGTTCTGTTAGATCAGGATTTCAACTAACAATACTTCAGAACCAGAACATCAAACCCACAATTAAACAAGCTGGTGGTAGTGTGATGGTCATGACTGCTTTACTACTTGAGCAGCTGGACGACGGGTCCGACTGTGGAGCTGGTTGATAATTGCCTTTTGTGTCTCTGCTTCTTTCTCTACATCTGTTTGATTGACCCATTTCTATTAGCTATGTGTGTACATATCACTGCACTGCCTTGCCAGCAGGTGCACTGTGCTTGCACTTTGCTTTGCCTAGAGATAAACTGGCTTGGCGCGGTCCAAACCATTGAAAACAACAGTTTGAGCAAAGACCTTGTATCATACTGTTTAAAAGGGCCATAAATCCTAGATCGGCTGTCAGGGGTTTGATTCCATGTTTGTTCACCTTTGCAACATCTCTTAGCCTGTCTCTCTCAACCCCATCTATATTGGGTGGTTGAATATTTCTTCACAGCATTTTAAATACCAGGAGTAATGTCTCTGTGTGATAGCACCCAGAGTTTATACGAGTTACACCTCCAATCCAGAAGGACAGGGTGTGGGGTACTTTCCTTCTCTGTTCTATGTGATTTTAGGGGTTTCACGTATTGTTCTTTGAATAGTGCATTCCAAAAGAATCTTGCAAGCAAGATGAACTGTCGAGAGGTTTGTGAATTCATAAACTCAAGCAAATACATCTTGCCAGAAGCCAACAGATCCATCAGCCTTGATAGAGAAATGTTTCGGACCATTGAAATGCAGTGGCTGAAGCAAAACAAACATGGCTGCGCCTCTATTTGTTTTTGATAAACACGCAAAAGAATGCCATTTTTGCCTTTGTGGATGGGAAGATGTTTTTGTCTTCCTCCCGACCGGATTTGATAATGGTTTGATTTATTGATTTAGTCTACCAGTTGTGAAACAAAGAATGTGATACATCACAGCTGCTGCTGCTGTGATTGGCTAAAAACTCGACATGGGAGGCAGGTACCCAATCAGCATGTTTCTTTCTTTTCTTTCCAGCTTTTATTGTCACAAGTACAGAGCAACAAAATTAACTCTCTGCATTTAACCCATTCGTTTTGGGAGCAGTGGGCTGCCATTCATGCCTGGGGAGCATGAAGAATTGTACTGAATGTCCCACCCCAACGCTCTAATGTCCCTGTCCCGCTGCATGCTGGGTAGAGTGAAGAGGACCCACCTGACACAGAGAGTAACCCTCACACAGGTGAAAGTGGCCCTTCATGAAGACACAGGGTGTCTCCTCGATGGTCCCAAAAACCAGACAGCCTTCATGACCTGGAACTGGAGAACAGAGATGCATCGGTTACCATGGTGAGATCTGTCCACTACACCCTGACCCATGGCACTGAAGTTCTGCTTGTTTAGAAACTGTCCTGCATGATGACACAATAACACTGTAATTTTCCTGTATTGACTTTACCCTTAAAAACTAGAATTTAGTTCTAGATCTCAGACTGTCACTCTGGGTCATATGGCTCATTCGGTGATAGATCCGACCCTCTCAGGTTACATAAGCAGGGTTTTGACAAGGGCATCTTTACGTACCAAGTGCTGCTTATTGACCTGACTCTGCATCAAATATCTTTCTTTTCCAATGATGAATAAAACTGAAATTTATTGTGAAAGAGCTGCATTTAAAAAAAATGTTGGCACTGGTGGCCCTGCCTGTAGGTTGGCAGGAGAGAGGGGAAGACGTGCTGTAAAAGGACCATTGGACGGGACTAAAACCTCTGAGGGCCCTGTCAAGGACTAGAGCCTTTGAACATGGTCACACACTTTATGAAAGAGGCAGATTTTCAGAGTCCGATTCCGGCTGCTGCCCTAAAGTCACGCCTGCACCGCCACATGCCCCCCACTGGGTGGTGTCACTCACTCACCTGTACTGACTGGGAAGTTCGGGATGTCCTGGTACCTGAAGGTCTGCTTGTCGGCGGCTCCTTCGGCCAATAAGCCGAGTCCTGACCCGCAGATAACTGCCACCTTGGGTCGATGCCGGGTCTGGTTCAGTAGCCATTCGGTGGTCAGCTTGTAGTCTTCGAAGGAGCAGCAGCTGGAACCGGTTAGACAAACATAATTAGTTTCTCTCTGCCGTTCAAAGTGGAGTCAGTCTGGGGAGGAACTGTGACTCAGACGCTCAGCTGATCTGAGGATAGACTGAACAAGACAGGAAGTTAAGGGTGGGGGGATTCTCACCAGGAGCTTCCTTTGGTGTGCATCTTCAGGGTGCAGAATTATTACAAGAAGAAGAAAAGAAAACAAGATGAGAGGGAGGGTCAGAGCATCCTCTCTTCTGATTGGCTTATTTACTACACAAACATTTTCAGGTTCATTGACTCCTTCTGACTATGACCTTTAAAATGTACTGTTTGTACAGCTTTTAGGCCTAATCACCTGAGGCCTGGGAGGGAAACCAGTCCTCTAGCAGATAGACCAGCAGCTGGTTCTGGTTCTGAACTTTTACCCAGTCCTCCATTGGTCAGTCAAGTTGATCAGCTTTAAGCATGCTGGTATGCCAACAAGAAATGTAATTCAGTCCAATCAGGATCACGTTCTAAGTCGAGGAAGGGGCACTGCAGTGACACCTGCTGGCAGCTCAATGCACCTACAGCGATGTGATCCAGGAGATCCTGTGCTTCAGCAAAAAAATCAAATAGGCTCAGAGGAACCAACTTCCTGCTGCGTCACTTATTCTAGGCCGTTTTATAATATAAATCATTTTTGATTTTCAGTAATTAAAATTTTCATTTTTTTTAGCTTTATTCATCCATCCATTCGTCCATCCGTCCATCCATCCATCCAACCATCCATCCATCCATCTGTCCATCATGCCATCCATCACCCTGTCCGTTCTTTCATCCATCCATCCATTCCTACGTTCATTCATCCATCCATCCATCCATTCGTCTGTCCGTCTATCCATCCATCCATCTATTCGCCCATCCGTCCGTCCGTCCATCCATCCATCCATCCATTCGTCCATTTATCCTTCCATCCATCCATCCATCCATCCATCCATCTATTCGCCCATCCGTCCGTCCGTCCATCCATCAATCCATCCATTCGTCCATCCATCCATCCGTCCATTCATCCGTCCATCCATCCATCCTTCCATTCGTCCATCCATCCATCCATCCATTCGTCCGTCCGTCTATCCATCCATTCGTCCATCCGTCTGTCCATCCATCCATCCATCCATTCGTCCGTCTATCCATCCATCCATCCATCCGTCTGTCCATCCATCCATCCATCCATTCGTCCGTCTATCCATCCATCCATCCATCCATCTGTCCATCCATCCATCCATTCATCCGTCCATCCATCCATCCTTCCATTCGTCCATCCATCCATCCATCCATTCGTCCGTCCGTCTATCCGTCTATCCATCCATTCGTCCATCCGTCTGTCCATCCATCCATCCATTCGTCCGTCTATCCATCCATCCATCCATCCGTCTGTCCATCCATCCATCCATTCGTCCGTCTATCCATCCATCCATCCATCCGTCTGTCCATCCATCCATCCATTCGTCCGTCTATCCATCCATCCATCTGTCCATCCATCCATCCATTCGTCCGTCCGTCTATCCGTCCATCCATCCATCCATCCATCCATCCGTCTGTCCGTCCATCCATCCATCCATTCGTCTGTCCGTCTATCCGTCCATCCATCCATCCATCCATCCATCCATCCATTCGTCTGTCCGTCTATCCGTCCATCCGTCCGTCCATCCATCCATTCGTCTGTCCGTCTATCCGTCCATCCATCCATCCATCCATCCATTCGTCTGTCCGTCTATCCGTCCATCCATCCATCCATCCATTCGTCTGTCCGTCTATCCGTCCATCCATCCATCCATCCATTCGTCTGTCCGTCCGTCCATCCATCCATCCATTCATCCATTCGTCTGTCCGTCCATCCATCCATCCATCCATCCATTCGTCTGTCCGTCTATCCATCCGTCCGTCCATCCATCCATCCGCCCATCCGTCCGTCCGTCCATCCATCCGTCTGTCCGTCTATCCATCCATCCATCCATCTATTCGCCCATCTGTCCGTCCGTCCGTCCATCCATCCATCCATCCATCCGTCTGTCCGTCTATCCATCCATCCATCCATCCATCCTTCCATCCATCCATCCATCCATCCATCCATCCGTCTGTCCGTCTATCCATCCATCCATTCGTCTGTCCGTCTATCCATCCATCCATCCATCCGTCCATTTATCCGCCCATCCATCCATCCATTCATTCGTCCATCCATCCATTCGTCTGTCCGTCTATCCATCCATCCATCCATCTGTCCATTCATCTGCCCATCCATCCATCCATCTATTCGCCCATCCGTCCGTCCGTCCGTCCATCCATCCATCCATCCATCTATTCATCCGCCCATCCATCCATCCATCCATTCATTCGTCCATCCATCCATCCGTCCATTCATCCATCCATCCATCCATTCATCCGTCCATCCATCCATCCGTCCGTCCGTCCGTCCATCCATCCGTCCGTCAATCCATCCATCCATCCATCCATCCATCTTCATCATTCTCTATCTTCAGTTTTATGGTTCTGCTCTTTGAAGGTTTAGTTTAATAAAGAACCTTTGCTGTAAATGTTGTTTCCTTCTTCTCAGCTCAGAACTCTGCTCTATTAATAAACTCGGAGTCGAGTTAAAGAATCAAAAACTCAGAGTGAAAGAAAGTGGAGGCGGAGGTGTTGGTGGTACCTGGACAGTACAGAGGAAGAGGAGGAAGACAGGAGTGGATGGAGGAAAAGCTGTGAGGAGAGGAACTGAGAGCGACGAGTTAGAAAAGAAAAGAACAGAAATAGACACATCAGGAACCAGAGGAGCAACGTTGTCCTCAGAGTGTTAAACAGTTTGTTCCTCTGCAGCTTCAAGCCTTCATCAGTCAGGCCAGGATGCGTGTGTCACTGTGGGAACCTTCTGCAGGAATTCAGCTCAGCCGTTACCATAGAAACTGTGTTTCCATAATAGCAGCCCGGTGTGTGAGTGTGTGTGTGTGTGTGTGTCCTGCAGTATTTTATTTTTAACATCAGCAGCTCGACTTCTGATCAGGTTGAATTCAGATGATGGTTTCGGTTCAGCTTTATGCATGGGGCGTGTTTTCTGTGACCTCACATGTGATCGATGACACACATGTTTCCGTGGGTCAGAGAGATGCTCAGGCTTTTCAGGTGTTCAGATTTAGGTATCAAGAAGATCCTCTGGTTCAGCGAGTGGGTGATCCTCCAGCAGGACGTTTCTGGAAAACCTCCACAGGGAGGAATCCTGATCAGATCAACTGTGGAGGAGCAGCAGCTCTGCTGCAACCTCCTGATGGACGATCTGAAGCAGAGACAGACTCAACCTCAAGTTTAGACCTTGATTTCCCATCATCCACAGGCGTAATCAGCAGTTTGAGCAACAACCGCAGTACGCAGGAACACTTCTAGGAATAAAACAAGGACAACAGCAAAACGTATTAGACCCTTTGACAGACATGTGGTCACGAGGGATTGCTGGAATCAAACTTACAACCACAAACTGCAGATGCTCTAAGTTTGTTTGAAAACATCAGATTGTAGATTCTTGTTTTGAACTAAAGGTCCATGGGCAGGGGCAGATTTAGGAAATTTGGGGCCCTAGGCACAAACAGGCAGGGGGCCCTTTGAATTAAGAAGCCAACACATAGAACAGCCCCATTCTCCAGATAGAGAAATGTTAATAGAATAGACATCCATTATCTGTTCTAGGTTGTGTCCCTCTCTTCTTGTCCCTTTTCTTCTTGTTTTCCTCTCTATGTTTTTTACTTAGCTGACTTTTCATGCTGTCCCTAAAGGAATGAAAGATTTTTTCCAAGCACTAAGCTCACTTGTAGTCCTTCTTTTCACTGTAGACAAGCCATGATCTGCTTATCTGTTCTCCATTTTTCATTTGGATGAAATAATAGCTGCATGAATCATGACAGCAGACAAGATAGAGGAGAGCAGGAGGCGGGGTTACCAATCTACTGGCTCTGGAGAGCAGAGTTCGCTGCTTTTAGATGTTGTCTCCAAAGTCTCCAGTAGCAGAAAAAAGTCTCTAGATTTGGCGCTAGGAGCTTTTTACAAATCAAAGTGCTAGAGGGGTCTGAAAAGTGGCTAAATATAGCGACTAAAGCGCTAAGTTGGCAACACTGCTCTTTGCATGGTTTGTTTTCAAATGGTTTGCTGCTGTCTGTTTGGACCTTTCTGAACATGTGCAGCAAATGGACTGATCCAATATGGTGGACGCTGAAGGGGGGGGGCTGAGACACACTTAATATTATCAGCGTTCTGATGGCATTTTAGTAAAAGGATTTTTATCAGAAACATAATTAATGTGCACAAATAAGGAATAGTTGTGCTTACCATAGATGTTAAAAAAAAAGTTTTAGGGCCCCCCCAGGAACTTGGGGCCCTAGGCACCTGCCTAATATTTCCTAATGGTAAATCCCCCCATGCCCATGGGCCAGATCTGGACCACCAGGGCAATTTATTTGGCCCTCATGAGCTGAAATATTGTAATTTTTTGTTTTCTAAAGTGTATTAAGTTGCTAAAACTCCTATTTAAAGGTACACTATGCAACTGGTGTTGATTTTCCAACTAGGCTCCCCCCAGAGGGCGAAAGTAAAAGTGCACTGTCGTAAATATGCACAGCTGTTCTCCTGGTTTCTCTGTCAAGCCAGGCACGGTTGTTTTGAGCTTAGCAGACAGGCGAACGCAACAAATGACTAACACAGTGAAAGTATGAACATGCACACAGAGAGAGAGAAACCATTCCAATGTTACTTACAATCGCATCAGCAGAAACGCGAGGTCCCATCAGCCTTGCAGCCTTCTTTTTATTTTAGCTCTCGCCATTCGGAAAAAGCTTGCCCGATGTTCACCCGTGTACGACTCCTCTCTCTGTCCGGAGCCCTTTTCCTCTATCTTGCCTGCTCCGACATGGGCTTTCACTGTTTCCACGCTGGTTCCGCCATGATAACTGCACAAAGATCGCCACTGTGCTAGCAACGAGAATGCTTTTAACTGGGGGCGTGTAGCAGTTCTCGCCGTAAAGCAAGACCGACTCTCGCGAGAATTCTGAGCCTGTGGGTGCGGGCCGAGGGCTCCTGCAATTGCAAGTGCGGTATTTCCCCACAGACCACCAGGGCGGCCGAGAAAACCTTTGTTTAACCTGAAATGACTCATTTAGTCATCCAAAACGTTATGGAACACATTAACTGAAAAATGTTGCATAGTGTGCCTTTAAAAAAGATTTAAGTTTTAACACCAGAGCAGCGTGTTGTTTATAAATGAAACCAGGGAATCAAACGGCTCATTTAAGCAGCTGCAACTGGCTCTTATTCATTTATGAAGACTTGATCCAGCTGAAGTTGACTAATATAAAAGAGTTTTACAACCCTTGTTTTAAACTTCACTGAATTAATTTCCGCTATAGTTTGTAGTTATTTTTCAGGAAATAAAGTTCAGCTCTAACTGAAGCATCCATGACTGAATAAATGTGTGTCCTAATGAATTTAGAATTATTCAGTAAAAAAAATAAAATAATAATTTTCATCGCGTTCACTGAGTCTGGGAGCGGCCATTTTAGCCCAAATATAGTAACCCCTCCCTCCTGCCATCTTCCAGCAGTGACGTCACGGTGCGGTAAGCCTAGCGCCATTCTCCCCGCTTTCCAAGCTAAATCAATGGGAACTACTAGACACATCTGCAATCAACAATTATTGAAGATTTCCAGAGGACTTCACCATTGAAATTCACCAGAGCTATAGTGAAACTGACAATCCCCACGTGCATGGCAGCTGGATGCTGGAATACATCGGGTAAAAGTGAAAAAAAAAGAGTTATTCCACCTTTCTGATTCCTGATCCTCCACGGACGGGTTGGTCGTTGGATCGCCAACTTGAAGAGGGAGGATTTGCCATCGAACTTCTGGCCAGAGAAAAAACCCGTAATATGTAGCCAACATTTGGAAGAAGAATGTTTTCAAGATGACTTGGATAATAGCGCGTTGTGACAAACAGCAGATACAGCACTGGGACTTGATCAACAGCCGATACCGCACCGTGACGTCACAAACCGGTAGGTGGCAGTAGTGTTCTTTGACAAACATGGATGCCTCCAGTAAAGCACATTCACATGAAAATTACTCTAAATTAAAAACACTGATCATTTATTAGAAAGTATGTAATAATTTCATATTTAAAGTACTTTCAGAAGTTTGTGCTCTGAATATGAGCGGATTTTTCCTTTAATGAGGGTCAGAGGAAAGGTGCTCTCTGCTGCCCTCCTCTGGAAGCAGATGCTATTGCAGACGCTCCCGTGCAGCAGGTATGCGGCTCACATCTTTCTGAGTTTTTAACAGTTTGCTCTGACTTTAGGCTCTGAAAGGTTTCTGCAAATATCAGGAGGCGGCTGGTCACCATGGATACAGCAGGGTGGGCTGGCATCTCCGATGATAGCTGAACAGAAACTGATCAACTCAGATCTGAATGTTTGGATTCGACGCGAACGAGCTCTAAGGGTTAATTAGGGCTTGGAGGAAGAGGAAGAGGAGGAGGAGCGTCGCGCAGCGGCTCCGTCAGTCGGTCGGTAAGAGCTGAGGAAGAGGAGGCAGCTGTTCCTTCAGCTGCGGTAAGAAAATCCTTCCTCCTCCTTCATCTTTTGCTCCTTCTCTTCCATCACTGCAGCGTCTCTCCTCTTCATCCCTCCATTGTCATCATCGGCTTCAACAGTGGGCGCGCGCGCCCGTGTGTTTGAGTGCTCGCGCCCAGATGTTGAAGCGGTGATGATGCAGTAACACCCTGTCCATCTTCTCCTCTCGTGCGCGTGAGGTTGCGCACCGGCATGGTCAGATCACGCGCACCCGCTCGTGCAGCCGGTGAGTAAATATAGAAAGGGAGTGCGTCAGAATCGCGGGGTGACGTAAAAACGGTGACACCGCATTCCTTCACAGATCATCATCATCACCACCTGGTGACACATGACAGACCGAGAGGCGCAGGTGAGGGGACACGTGACCAGATCAGAACTGCTTTCTGCAGCTTTTCACCAGTTTGACCAGTGAGCGGTTCCAGTTCCTTTCTGATCCAATTTACGGACTGATGAGTTGATGCAAAACCTCACTGAAAGTTCACTATTATGCAAAGCAGGCAGAAGTGTCACCATGGGAACACATGAAGAATGGATGGATGGATGGATAGATATATTATGAGTTGATTGATTAATTCATGCATGAATGAATCATTGGATGGATGGAGGAACAGATGGAGAAATGGATGGATGGACATGTTTTTGGATATTTTGACTGAGTTTTAAAAATAAATGTACTTTGACGTAAAATCCGTGACAATTACAACCAACCAACCCTTTGTTCCTTTTCCTGATATTTATTTATATATGCATTTGTTTTTGGAGAGCAAAACCAAAGAAGAACAAACACACTGAAAGTTATTACCTTTTATTGGGAGCCCTGTAATGACAGCGCCCTCTGTGGCCGGAAGTGATAACTATATTATTTGGTTTGACTCCCTCAATGGATCAATATTTTAGTGAAGAAATGGATTTATACCAAAACTAGAGAATACAATGCATAAGCAAATCTGCGTGTCTTCAGACCTTCAGAAGCACTTTTATGAATGTCTGGACCCACACCTGCAAATGATTCAGGGAATTTTCAGAGCACCTGGACTGGACATCTGCTCAGACACAATCTGACTCCTGTTTGAGTAATGTAAAGGCCTGAACACACCGGTTCCGTACGACTTTTCAATCTCCGATCAGATTTATTTCCACATCACACTGACTGCTATAGAGAGGCTCCGACTAGGCAGGGTGAGCAGATCTGCACTGATTTTGTCAATGTCAAATTTATTTATATAGCACTTTAAAAACAGGTATAAAACTGCACCAAAGTGAAACACTGCTTCAATTAAAAGCCGAAGAATAAGAATATGTTTTAAGAAGCGATTTAAAATGATCCAGGCTGTGGGCAGATTTAATTTGAAGAGGTAAATGGTTCCACAGAATTGGAGCAACAACAGAGAAGCCCGATCTCCTTTCCTCTCGAGTCCGAGGAAAAGTCACTAATAGTTGATTATTGAACGTAGACTTCTCGACACTGACTGGAATTTGAAAAGATCTCTAAGATAAGGAGGAGCTAATCCATTTAAGACTTTATAAGTTAATAAAAGAATCTAAAATCTATTTAGTAAAAGACAGTATAGGCCTTATATGGTTCCAGTAAGAAGCCGAGCCGCTGCGTTCTGGATCAGTTGAAGATCTGTGATTTATCCATGCCTCTATATGATGAATTGCAATAATCCAACTGGGATGTAATGAAAGTATGGATAATTCCTTCAAAGTTCTTAAAACAAAAATAGGATTTAATTTTTGCTAAAATCCACAGGTGATAAAAATTTGATCTAACCAGAGATTGCAAAAGTACTCACTTTCCGTACTTGAGTAAAAGTACAGATACTTGTGTTAAAAAATACTCTGGTAAAAGTGGAAGTACTGATTAAATTTCTTTACTCAAGTAAAAGTAACAAAGTACAGGCTTGTAAATTTACTTAGATCTCCGTTGTGTTCATTTTCAATCATCTCGTCGTCCATGCTACTATGCTAACGCCACCGCCACCAAGCTGCAATGATTTGCCGCCAATGAATACCGCCGAATCTGTCGATTCATCTTGTAGCGGTGCGTCAAATGCAACGTAGATTCCCATCCAATTAGATTGAATTTGGTATTGATGACGTGAAAAATAATAACGGTAACTCCATTGAAATGATTCAAAACTAAAGTAACGAGTCAATTTTTTATAATGTAAGGAGTAGAAGTAAAAAGTTGCCATAAAAATAAGTAGTAAAGTAAAGTAAAAATATCAGAAAAATCTACTTGACTACAGTAACGAAGTATTTGTACTTCTTTACTTCCCATCTCTGAATCTAACAACAGAGTTAACTTGTTTATCTAGCTTTAAACAGCTGTTGAATGTAAAACCAAGATTTCTAGCAGAGGTCTGACAAAACCGAGCTAAAGAACCAAGAATCAGATCTGGATTTGTAGTATGAAGACTGACCAAATAATATAACTTTAGTTTTACTTTGAGTAAGGTGAAGAAAGTTTTGTTCTATCCAAGATTTGCCTTCAGCTACACAATCTATCAATAGCTGAAGAGATTAATTTTCCCATTTTGTAGTTTAAGGGGCATATAAATCTGAACATCATCTGCAAAGAAATTAAAAAGAAACACCAAACTTATGGAAAATCTGACCAAGAGGCAGTAAATACAAAATAAACAAAATAGGACCTAGAATCAAGCCTTGGGGAACGCCATCCTCTAAAGGTTTGGCCCCAGAACAGCATTGGTCAAGATGAACTGAAAAAGTTGTCTTTTCTAGATAAGACTGAACCCCACTTTACAAGTCTGTGCAGCATGTCAAGCCAGAACAGATGGAGAATCTGGTCATTTTATCCCCATCAGCCGTAGTTCACATGTTCATAATGTAGTAAAAACATGAGATCATGAGTAAAGAAAAGAAAAGCGCAGCAATAAACGGTGTGAGATGCTTTCTATGCTGACTGAGGCATAGAGGTGATTCTTAGAGAGCGATATGGGAAGTTTATCCAAGTTTTTCTTTCTTTTTCATAAAGATGTGAGAGATACGCTGCTTACCTGCTCTGTCTGCACCCCATTATTATTATTTTTTTTTTTTTTTAGGCTCATAGAGGATCACTATTTTACCATATCTGTTTTTTTTTCTCCTGAATTAATTTTTTTGCAAGAAGATTGATAAACTGCGCTTTCTGTCCCTCATTGTTTTTGTGAGGCTCAAAGAGGATCACTACTTTATCCGTTTTCTGTCCTCCTGAACTCCTATAATTTGCAAAGTTTTGTTTTTTAATGTTTCATTCATTGTTTTTGCACCACTCTGTCCTGCTTACTATTTACACTATGTGCGACTCCAAACTGACAAAATTTTATTTTGTATTTTGCTGGAGGTTTCTTCCTGCTAAAAGGAAGTTTTTTCTCTCCACTGTCACTACAAGCATGCTTAGTTTGAGGAATTGTATTCCAGTCAATGAGTCGATGCAATCAACTGGTTTTCCTTAGATAGAAAACTTTGAATCAATCTGACTGGATGATCTGGTTGAACTGTAAAGTGCCTTGTAATGAGGTGTTGTGAATTAGCGCTGTAGAAATAAACTGAATTTAATTAAGTATTTTCCTCCAAAGTAGATGTGTTTTACTTTTTAATCGTAAAAAGATTAAAAACCCATGTCAGACCCATGAATTGCTAACCTGACTCCGCCAGATGGATTTGCTCCACATATCCATCTGGAAACCTTCCGTTGAAGTAATTTTGGGAAGGGGCGAAAATACTGGTTAGCTGATTGGCCTATGTTGGTGATAGACGGGCCAAATAAACCAATCAGATCAACGAAGCATATGACGTACTAACAGAGCGACGACGAAAACACAACCACAAGCCAGGCTACTCTTGCCGAAACCAGTCAGGAGAAGAGCAAAAACATCTTTTCCTCTGAGAAAAGCCTCCAGAGCAGTGTTTTGCTCTTCTCTCAGTGAAGAAATACTCTGTAATTTCGATAAAACTTGCTCGATAGCCACGCTAACGCTAGTTTCATCGGCTGAAGCCGCCATGTTCTTTAGACTGAACTGTCGCGCTTCTCGTTGCGTCACACCTCAACCCGCCTCAAAGCCAACGCTGATTGGACGTTCGTTTGGTGAACGGCTCCAAATTTTCTTCAACGGAGAGTCTCCAGACTGATTAGCGAGTGAAACCTTGAAAGCTCGCGAGATCAAGATGGTCTCACGAGGCTAATGAATTGCAGCGTAGTCTGACTAAAACAGAACTGGGCTCTATCTCAGTCGGAGCTATGCAGCCCTCTTGTGTAAATTCGTGTTGAGTGTGATCATCCCCACCGACTTTCAATGAGCGCTAAACGCCACGACCTCGTCCTATGCGATTTTCTGTCAGATCAGATGTAAAATCGGATTTGGTGTGTTCTGAAATTAAACTGCTTTGAGTCATATTGTTAGAGTGCCATCCTCCTCATCCCTTCTACTAATTAAATGGCAGCATGTCTCTTTGTTTGCTAACACGTTCAGGTTTTAATTGCTGTCTTTTTTTTGCAGGTCATGTGACTCTTTAGAGAAGATGTTTGGCCTTAACAGAGCTTCCAGTGGGCGGGAGGTCTGAGGAGAGGCAAAGGATCATGGGAGATGGAGGGCCCTTGCAGACCGAGGGGAATGCCCTCCTCAAAGCCGTCTTCCAGGGGAAGCTGCGTCTCGCCCGGTTACTTCTGGAGGGCGGAGCCTATATCAATGAAGGCAACGAACGAGGAGAGACACCAATATCTGCTGCTTGCCTGGGGAGCTATGACGACCCACAGACCCGCCAACGGATGGTTCGGTACCTGCTGGAGAAAGGGGCCGACCCTAACATCCCTGATAAGAGCGGGCGCACGGCGCTGATGCACGCCTGTGCTGAGCAGGCAGGGAAGGAAGTGGTGTCACTGCTGCTGGAGAACGGTGCAGATCCCAGCCTCAAAGACTATTCTGGCGCCTCTGCTCTTGTCCACGCCATCAACAGGGGAGATCGCGAGACCCTGCAGGTGTTACTAGATGCCTGCAAGGCCAAAGGCAAAGAAGTAATCATCATCACCACCGACACTTCTCCATCAGGCACCAAGAAGACTAAACAGTACCTGAACTCACCGCCCTCCCCAGGCATTGTGGACAAACTGTCTCCCGCCTGTATGTCACCTTCAGATGTAGAGATCGGCACTTCGTCGCCAGCAGGAGACAAGAGCAAGGAGGGGATCTTCAGTTTTGCACTCACCTCAGCATTACCCCTCCCATCAGCACGGCCTCCAGGTGAGAAAAGGCCCCCTCCTCGAAAGCTCCTGAAGAGGCTAAACTCCGAGCCTTGGGGCCTGGTGGCGCCCTCCATGTTAAATGAAGTTCCTCAGGACAGATTGGATCAGGGTCTGGAAGAGGAGGGCAGCACAGACGTGAGCAGGATGGTCTCTGAGATGAATGGCCTGTACGTCTCAGACCCGCTGCAACCTCGGTTGTCACGGCGACACAGCATTGAGACCCATGACCCCTGTTCACCTAAACCCATCGACCGGTCCTGCTCTGAGGACTGCACAGGTCTTCCTGCCCCTTCTTGGGCCGACAAGGTCCAGCAGCACCAGATCCTATACCGCAGAAATACAGCTCCAGAGCCCCAGGAAAATGCCGGGGGGCCAGGGGCAGTGGCACCCCGTGTTCTGGCACACCCTAAACTTACCCGGATGGAACACTATGAGTCAGACACCCATCTGTGTCCAGAGTCCATCCCTGGATCTCCAGACTCTGGACGGGTGTCTGTGGAGCGTCGAAGATACAATGCCTCCCCCCTCACCCTGTTGACCAGCTCATCCAGGGAGTCTCTGGAGAACATTCCAAACTCTGTGTCCCCCATTACTATGCGCAGGCGCCAGCCCGGTCTCTTGGAACGTCGGGGCTCTGGAACACTGCTGTTGGACCACATTTCCCATACCAGGCCCGGCTTTCTGCCTCCTCTTAATGTGAACCCCCAAAGACCCATCCCTGATATACGGGCCAACGGAAAGCCCACCTCACCCGTCCACTGCGGACACAAGATCCTGGTACCCATGGCCCCCACCTCACCCAAACGGGGCCTTGAGTTTAAGATGAAGAAGAAGCTGATGAGAAGACACTCAATGCAGACAGAGCAGATGAAGCAACTCTCGACCTTTCAGGAGATTCTGGCTGAAAAGGTTGTTGAGTCAAATGGGGATTGATTACAGGAGGATGCAAAGCATAGTAGGTATCTACATCCTCTTCACTGCTGAGGGAGTCCAAACAAATTTCTGGTGTCTAAATAAGGCGGTAACAAACAGCAGCTTGGCCGGAACCCCTTGATTGGACCAGTTTTAGTCTCTGTGAGGTTCAGGTTAAAGGTTCTGATCAATCGGTATGTCCCCTGCAGCAATCAGTGATCCCAGTTTGGAGAATCAGTAATGATAGTGGATACGATAACCATGTGCAGTAAAGTCTGGTTTATGCTCAGACTCCAGGTCGTCTGCGTGTGTGTCGCAGTTAACGCAGATATGCCCCACCCCCTTCTGCAGACATTCTGGTGAACCTCCCCAAAATTGTAGGTGACCACAGACAGTGCCACAGACAGGAGGCCTCTGATTGGTCAATTCTACATCTGCTCTACACTATGCGTATTTCCTGTTTGGTACCTAATGGCAGGAACTGTGGCTGTAGTGCCGTCCACAACGCCTGGCACACCTCGGACACTAACCCAGACACCGTACAGGACGCTAGTTTGTAGCTCTTTGCAACGGTCTGTTGGTTAGCACCCGAAGCCAGAACACGCAGCGCCACGGCCAGTTTTTGGGAAACACTCACGGGGGAACTGTGTGTCGTCCGGCGTTGGATGACGGGTTGTAGGCGGCGAACAAGCTTGTCAAACCGACACACGGACATCCTGAAATACTTGAAATGCATTTCCTCGTCATCTCTCATCGGTAGCACAAGAAACACGCCACCCACCACACCTACAGTCCTAGCTAGTTCCTGATTGTCCCTCTTGCGTTGTGGCGTGGAATAACATAGGTTCAAAATTGGGCATAAATCAAAAATATCTTTGTCATACCTGCGACAAGCTAACTGCGACACACTGCTGCGGGAGTATACACAGCCCTTAAGGGTCCTGAGCCTCATCAGTCTGACCTAAAGCATCTTCAGACAGCTACATCATGGAAGCAAGAACCACACCTTCTTCAGGTGGGCGCCAGGATCACTGGCCGAGCCGTACAGAGGAAGTGGTGCTGGTTGGAGCGAAGGATCTCCTCGACTGACCAGCAATGAGAACCTCCAAAATAATAGCAGCCCCTATCAAAGTTCTGAACTGGTGATCAGCATCAACAGGAACCCACGGGCGTCAAAGTTCACCCTCAGGCTGTGTATCTGCTTCACGTCTGGAGGGATTCACAAAGCTGTGATGGCCAAGACCTGAAAGGATCAAAGAAAGTAACTGAGACAGATTAGGGAGAACTATCCTCACATCATTTCTGCTGTGTTGGCAATTAGGACCAACCTTCTATGGTGTGGAGGATCCATGGTAAACGGCTATTATCTAAAGTGGACTTTAGAACCATCTCCTGACCCTAATTAGAAGAAGCTTGGCTGCAGGGAAGGTACCGAACTTCTGCCTGCATGTTTTAGATGCGTTTCAGCAGAACTTGAAACTGAGCAAGAAGTGGTGAGGGATTCAAACATCTGATGCAGGTTTGGTGGAACACTGAAACATAAAAAAAAATAATAATAACAAAAAAACTGGACCCTGAGGATCAGAGTATCAAAGGCACAGAAAAACCCACAGAACCTCGCTTCAAAAGAAACAAACTGTTCCTTTGACAAAACTCAAGTCAAACCAGGACATCAGACTATCGGGTCTCCAACGGTGACATTCAGGAGACTAAGTCAGAATGAAGACAGCGGTCATTTAACATCGTCACCTCCTCCAGATGTGGTTCCCGATAAGTTGCACAGACAGAAATTATCTCTTTCTCTGCTGAACCTTCAGTCTTCTTTTGTTGAATGATGAAATAGCGTGGAGCTTTGATAGGCTGATACTGACACCTGGTGGTCACAGCAGGAACAAACCAATCCCATAATCCCTGGACCAATTATTTCTAAATAATCTCAAATCAGTTTTAATCTGCATCTCAGCAAATTAAAATATGATCAAATTATCTCAATACTTGAACTTAAAAAAAAACTTTTATCTTACAGATTAATTTCCGACACACTGATAAGTTAAACATCTTTTTTTCTGTCGATTTAGAAAATTCTGGCCAACGGCAAATTAAAACCCAACATTCATTTTCAGAGGAATCCCATCAGAACCGAATGATAAGGATTTTTATTACCACATTATTTCCCTGAACCTTATAAATTAATATGATTTCCTATTTTTATTCGGAGACACTAAATTTGGTCTTTCTTGAGGTAAAAATCTACATCAATAAACCCTGAAATATTTCACTCTATATGGGATAGCTCTATAGAACACCACTTGCTTGTGCGCTAGCACGGCATCGTGCTCAGCACATCAGTTTTACTGGTAGTGAAATAAATGAACTTTTGATTTCTGGAGATCCCCTCTAGATTTTTGGAGCCACAACCTTAATCCTTAACTACGTTTTTCCTAAGAGGAACTGTCTTTGCTGCAATCTCTGGCTCCTCCTCGATGAAGGACAGGAAGTACCTTACTCCTCCTCTGACCTCCTTCCTTGTTCAGAGACTGAAGGGTCTGGAAAGAAACGGAGAGGACTTGTTTAATGTTTACAGATGCACAATTTGCACCGAGGTTCTCCAGTAGATAGACCTGGACCTCCAGGGAACGGACAAAGACCAGGACCTAAAACCTTCACCTCCTTCTGAGGAAAGACCAAGGGCCTCATGTAGGGCAGTCAGCAAGAAAATAAGATGCAATGATTGTTAAATCCAGGGGTTGGTGTCAGAGGAGAGTTTTATTCTTAGAGGTTAGCTATGATACCGATAAATCTGCTTTAGTTTTAAATCATTGAAACTCAAACTGATGAAAACCATCATGGAGGGAAACCATTTGAATGTAGTCTGTTTCAGAGTAGCTCAGCTTTAGGACTTTATGAAGGAAATCAGACATTTTTTTATGTGCTTTTGGGGTCGACTTCAGTTGAAACCTGACAGACAATCCAGAGTGAAAGTAGTTTGTTTTTGTGTAGCCTCATTCAATGGGGCGCAGTTTGTAAAGTTAAGCGGTCAAAAAATTATGATCAATATTTATGGTTATTTAGCTTGTTTTAAGAGAAAAATAAGGGGGTTAAGTCATTTTTCACAATGCCATTTATTCATTTATAAAAATCTTACTTTGTTAAATAAATATTTAGTTTGGAGCCAAATATTTAGTTTGCAAATTAAATATTTAGTTTTTTAAATAAATATTTAGCTCCAAATTAAATATTTAGTTTGGGGCTAAATACTTATTTAACAAAATGAATATTTAGCTAACACCAAGCTAGCTAAATATTTAGCTATAAATAATTAGTTTGTTAAATAAGTATTTTATTTGGAGCTAAATATTTATTTAAGAAACTAAATGTTTAGCTAGCTTGGTGCTAGCTAAATATTTAGCTATAAATAATTAGTTTGTTAAATGAGTATTTTATTTGGAGCTAAATATTTATTTAAGAAACTAAATGTTTAGCTAGCTTGGTGCTAGCTAAATATTTAGCTATAAATAATTAGTTTGTTAAATAAGTATTTTATTTGGAGCTAAATATTTAAGAAACTAAATGTTTAGCTTGGTTGGTGCTAGCTAAATATTAGGCAAATATGCAAATTCCCTTGCAGAAAAGCGGAAGTGAACTACAAAAGTAAAAGCCCGGGAAACTATTTATACTATTTAGTTTGGTTGGTGCTAGCTAAATATTTAGTTTGTTAAATAAGTATTTTATTTGGAGCTAAATATTTATATTGCAAACTGAATAGTTTGGAGCTAAATTTTTAATTTGCAAACTGACTATTTAGTTTGGAGCTAAATATTTAGCAAACTAATATTTAACAAACTAAATATTTAGTTTGGAGCCAAATTTCTAATTTGCAAACTGACTATTTAGTTTGGAGCTACATATTTAATTTGCAAACTGAATACTTAGTTTGGAGCTAAATATTTATTTAATAAACAAAATATTTGATTTGCAAACTAAATATTTAGGTCCAAACTAAATATCTAATTAGCAAAGTAAGATTTTTTATAAATTGATGAATGACATAGTGAAAAAATAACCCCCTTATTTTTCCTCTTAAAACATGCTAAATAACCATAAATATTGCTCCTAATTTTTGTCTGCTTAACTTTACAAATGGCGCCCCACATCAATCAAACCCTAACAGCCCACAAGCGCACGCTAACTCTGCTAACGTTAGCCTGCCATGCTATCATCATTTCTGACTGTTCCTCCAAAAATGTGTGATTCCAAAATCAGGGAATCACCTGTAAGCAGCCTGTTAGCGCCGCTGCTTGTTTAACTTCTTACCTATTGTGTAAAAGATCTTGAAATGATGGTAAATGAACCATGGCTAACTGCTAACGCTACAGCTGCGTAACAGGTTACGTTATGTCTTTGTGCCTGACCGTTCCTACATGAGGATCCCGGACTATGGAGTGAATTTTATTCCATTATTGTTCGATTTAAAGAATATTTTTTGAATGGAACTTAAAAAATAAAATAAAATGCATTCCCGAAATGATTGGTTCAAAGTTTTCTAAGGAAAACCAACTGATTGCATTGACTTGTAGGCTAAATCCCAAACTGTTCCTAACCAATAACCCTTAACTATCTAGTGTCAATCCCAGTGATGTCTCACTCCAAGCTGTGGAAGGGGCCTTGATTGAAGGTGGGGGAGTATAAACAAGAATGGGACGGCGTCTTCCCTCCAACAAATAAGGAAAGCAGTTGTTGCTATGGCAACACAGTGATAAGGTGTTATTTACTGATATATTTTACAAACTGCATTTTTTTCCCAAATTGTATTTCAGATTAAATGCGCTTCTCTTCAGTCTCAAAAATACAATTGTGTTGCTGAGATCCAGTAGCCCAATGAAAATTTGCCTTTAATGCTCAATATGTGATCAATGTGATCCTAAAACTGCAATTTGAAAAGAATGCAGCTTGTAAAACTAAATCTGAATGAAAGGAATGTAAAAAAATACGCTTTTTTTTTTTTATCATCAGTCATTTCTCAATTTCATTTTTTTCCCCTAAAGTTCCATATGCAAATTTTTGTTGCTAAAAGAAATAATGGAACAAAGTTCACTCCATACAACCACTTAAATACGACCTCCTGCTGACAGACCAGGACTTGGACCTCCTGCTGCAGCTGGACTTGACCTTTGACCTCCTGGGTGTCCATGTGGACCTTGCTGCAGCTCAGTTCTGAACCGTTCTTTATTCTTTGACATTGGATCTATGTTTAGATAAACTTAGAAATCCCAAAGAAGGCGTAACGGAACCAGAACCTATAAATCTGTAATTGTATATGTGCAATATGAGCTGTGGTATCACAGCAGCAGGGGCCGCTGCGGGACAATGATTGTTCACAACAGAAATGTTGCTAATAAAAGAGCAATGAAGTTTAATCGCTCAAGTTCTTTGTTCCTGTTCTGATCCGCATTGAACCCAAAGAGAAAGGGAGATGCACCGTGTAGAAAAATTCTTCCACATCCGTTTATTAAAATAAAGAACATTTTTGCAAATTCACGTTGTGGTTTTTAGTTTGGTCAGAACATCTGGGGAGTCGCTGCCATGTGGTACCGGCCCTGAATTAACAGGATGACACTTTATTGGTACAGATGAGTCTGGATCAGAATCTCAATCAATCCTGTGTTTACTGCAACCAAAGCTGGAACAGAACCAGCATGAGAACTAAGCCCAGTTCTGTTTGTGGTTCTCTCAGGAGGAACCTGCAGTAGATGCAGATCAACAGAACTAGAGTGGGGCATCAAAGCGTAGAACTGCAACAGAAAGAACCTCTGATGAAGCCACATGAACCAAACTAGTTAAATCTGGACCAGAACCACCTGTCCAGATGTTCTCGCTCCGATGGAGTGTTCTCTAAGAACGGTCTAATTAAACGTTCCCAGTCAGAAATGTGCTGCGACACAAAAACAGAAAAAAAGATGTTTATTGATGATTAAAATGTCCCATCATGTTAAAGTTGACCAACCAGAAATAAGCAGCTATCAAGTTTTCATAAAACAATGAAATCTGCCCGTCCGAACTAAGCTCCGCCCACAAATCAGGACAAAGCTAATGAGACATATAAAGTAAAGCTCCAACTTGTGTTTTCTGCTCATCCTGGCATCATGTTTAGTAACACAGATAGGAGTGTAGAAGGTGACTGCTCACTGATCAAGTTCTCAGGTGTCCAGGTCAAAATTGTAAAGTGCAAAGATCAGTGGAAGCATGATGCATCACTAAGGTTCATAATGCATAGTGTGGAGTGAATAAAACAAGATAGGTTTATGCACAGATGAGTTATTCTGTTTAAAACTTATTAGATGGAGTGTGAAAGGAGGCAGCAGCAAATGAAGAACACCACAGAGATAGGAGATAAACAGAAGCCTCACTCCGTTATACTGAGGCACACTTAAAAGACAAAAGGATCACAAGAGAGACGTAAATGAAAACAGACGTTCACTTTGATCGACAAACACAAAAGAAGAGCCGGAGGGAGAGGGCAAAGATAGGAGTGAAGACGGGAGTGTTTCCTTGTTCATTTCTTGAAGAACTTCTTGTTCAGGAGGAAGATGAGCAGATTAACGTTGACCTTTGCCTTATCGAACATCTTCATCACGGCCACGCCCTCGTACTGCAGCTGCAGAAGATCCTGAGAAAACAAAAAAAACACCAGGTAGGATTTTGACCTGAGCTGCAAAATTTAGCCCTGATTTATAGTTACAGGCTTCAGGAAGATAACCTGACTCCACCAGATGGATTTGCTCCGCATATCCATTTGGAAACCTTCCGTTGAAGTAATTTTGGTAACGGGCAAAAATACTGGTTAGCTGATTGGCCTATGTTGGTGATAGACGGGCCAAATAAACCAATCAGATCAACGAAGCATATGACGTACTAACAGAGCGACGACGAAAACACAACCACAAGCCAGGCCACTCTTGCCGAAACCAGTCGGGAGAAGAGTAAAAGCATCTTTTCCTCCGAGAAAAGCCTCCAGAGCAGTGTTTTGCTCTTCTTTCAGTGAAGAAATACTCTGTAATTCCGATAAAACTTGCTCGATAGCCACGCTAACGCTAGTTTCATCGGCTGAAGCCGCCATGTTCTTTAGACTGAACTGTCGCGCTTCTCGTTGCGTCACACCTCAACCCGCCTCAAAGCCAACGCTGATTGGACGTTCGTTTGGCGAACGGCTCCAATTTTTCTTTAACGGAGAGTCTCCGGACTGATCTGCGAGTGAAATCTTGAAAGCTCGCGAGACCAGGATGGTCTCACGAGGCTAAGAGGAAGATTCAATGGTTCTAGTTTATTTCAGCATAAAACGGTTTACAAGGTTTTGATGTAAAGAGGAGGTTGAAACTGCTACTGATATCATGCAGGCCTGGGGTCAGGGGTCAGGGCCCGGGGTCAGGGTCCGGGGTCAGGGCCCCTTTCTGGGTTGGCTGTACCTGGTATTTGAGCAGGAATTCTTCCATGGGGACTCCGAGGAATCGGGCCTTGATGCTGAAGCTTCCTTTCTCTGGTCCAGGTGAGATGTCAAAGACGACGTTCTTGAACCTGAAAGTGGTCACATGTTAGAACATATGATGCCCCCCCCGCGCTCATGGTTTTACACGCGTGTCCCGCATGCTCACTGCGTGCTCGGCAGGTCTTCGATCTCCAGCAGCACTCCCTTCTCCTGCAGCCGGGCGGCGCTGTAGCTCAGAGCAGGAAGCTTCTTTTTCCCTTTGCTTTCTGCTGTCTTCTTATTGGCCGATTTACTAAAAAACAACCAACCAATCAGAGCTGAGCAGGTGGCTGAGCGTTGATCGTTTTTTTTTTAACCAATCGTACCTGTTGGTCAAGTTGTCCAGACAGGAAGTGATGTAATGTCTGTAGAAGTCGACCTGCTCGCTGTGGAAGCTGCTCTTCTCCTGCAGACTGCCGAGCGTCTGGCGGAGTTTCTGAAGCTCCGCCCCTCGGCGCTGACGATGCAGGCGCTGCTGCCGGATGTCCTGATGGAGCGAACGGAACCGCTGGAGTTAAGGCTGTTACCTGAGAAACAGGCACCATCACTGATGAAGCCCGTTACCTTGGCTATCATCTGCAGGATCTGGTTCTCGGCTCGAGGCGGCCTCAGAACCCCGAGCGCCTCCAGGCGACACAGACTCCGCAGAATCTTCCTCTTCTTCTCCTCCAGACTCAGGTTGCCGTTGGCGACCAGCGACTGGTTCCTCTTCATCTTCTCAGGCGTCTGAGCATCCTGCCGGGCGCGGCGCTGCATCAGCCAATCGTGACACACTTCCTGTTTGGAGGAAATCGGGGCTAAGCTCCGTATCTGGGCTGTTGGGGTAAAAATAACAGATCTGCAGGTGTTTGTTACCTGGTCAGGTGAGGTTTTTCCTCTCAGCAGATCCCTCAGGGAGTCTCCTGACTGAGTCCTGATGACGTCGATGATCAGCTGTTTGGTGCTGAAAGCAACACAGTAACGATTAAGGTAATCAGAGGAAGCCACCGCACCGAGCTTCCTGCACAGGCCAGGCGGCGCTACCTAAGCAGCAGGCCACGGGCGTCAGGTTTGTCCTCAGAGTCGTTAAAGATGTCAAACTTGTTGGTGAGAGTCAGAGAAACCTCCGTCTTACTGGACTCCGCCCCTGGATCAGCCGCCGTCTCCCCTGAATAATAAGAAAAAAAAAAATCCAACACTAATGGGATCCTGGAGCTGACCCGGCATCGACATAACCGGGTTTAGAAGAATCGGAGAAGCGTGGGCTGCCGTACCCATGAGCTCCTGAAGCGTGGGGACCGGGCCCAGATCATTCAGGATGAGCCTCAGGGGGTCCAACGGGTCCTGACACAAAACCTCCTGGTGCTCCAACAGCAGCTGCAGAGACAGAGGCCGTTTCTCAATTCACTACAACGTGACTCGTGTTCTCGCCAAGTGTGTTCTTGAGAAGAACACAGGGAAGTGTGGACTCGGGGAGAACGGGAGCACGCAGCATAAATATGGGTCAGTTGGAACAGAAGCAGAAAGCACCTGGACGCCATCTGCATGGCAAATAGAACATTGTGGATTTACCCAGACAGGTGTGGTTAGGAGAACCAGCCATCCTGGTCTTGGTTCTGAAAGGTTCCTCCTCACCTTGTGAGTGTTTAGCAGCTCGCTGACAGAGATGTAGATCACAGGCCTGTTGACAATCAGCAGCTCGGAGTATTCGTCCATGCTGAACCGCTCCTCCGGTTCTGGAACGTCGCAGACGCTGCGCAGGAACGTCCTGTCGGACAGAACAGGAGGCAGAATCAGCGGAACCCCCCCTGACTTCTACACTCCAACCGCTCCCAACAGGATCTTTCATCTCATGTCATTAAATGATCTGCACCTGAACTTGCTGTGGGTCTGGGTGATGTACTGGTTCAGGGTTCGGACGTGGTATCCGTCTCCATGAAAGTGTTTGTTGGCAGCGGCGTGCTGCAACATGCGAGCGATGGATCCCAGGATGTGGCGCTGCTCAGGCTGCAGAGTGGATCCCACTGACCGATCCAGCACGTCGAACCCGTCCGGAGCCACGATGGCCGGGTTCATGTAGCGGTAGTACACCAAGTTGCTGACAATCTGCAGGGAGCAACCCAGTTAGAGGTTCAGTTCCTTCATGGAAAGTTTGGGTCCAAACTTCCAGTATCACAGAACCATGACAAAAAGGACTTAATGTAGAACTAGAGATCTGTCTCAGAGGTTAGCAGCACCACATGCTGGATAGAAACTTATTTACCTTTCTGCTCACATAAAATCATGAACCAGGAGGAACTGGGAAGAGTCCAGTAAGGCAGCGACTAGAGACTCACCTTGTAAAGCTCGCTTTCATTGGCTGCAGGGAACTTTGTCTTCAACGTGTCTCTAAGAACTTTTGCTGTGTAACGAAGACCATAACTGTCAAAAAACACAACAAAGGTCATCAAGAAAAAGTCTGAAACCGTCAACCAATCACCAGCAACAGAACAAAAACAGAACCAGGATGTAAACCAGGGTACGAAGGCGAAGGAAGAAATAGACATGTGAGAGACAGAGGATGGGGGTAAGGGAGGACCTAAGGTGCTTGCAGCTCACTCAAGCTTTTTCAAAGCAAACAAATTAGAAAAAGGTGGATTTTTGTTGGTTTAAATTCAATTATACTTTATTAATCCCTGAATGGAAGTTGAGGCCATTTCTTAATTCACTAGAACCTGAGTACAGACTTGTGTCCTCACCAAGTATGTAAAAGAACACAGGAAAGTGTGAACTCTGCTGCATTTCACCTTCTGTTATTAATAGTTTCTAGATAATTATAAATTCTTACTTTTTTCATTTATTGGCAGAATAATAATCACCAAAGTCAGATAAAAACACAAATCATTTGAACATTTTCCCCAAATAGAACAAAAAAATTGCATCAGAGCTAGCGGTACTTCACACATGGCTATGCAGAGAGAGGTCTGCTGCAGGCGGGCTAATGTTAGCCCTGGCCGCTGCGGGCGGGCTAACGTTAGCCCTGACCGCTGCAGGCGGACTAACGTTAGCCCTGGCCGCTGCAGACGGGCTAACCGCTGCAGGCGGGCTAACGGTAGGCCTGGCCGCTGCAGACGGGCTAACCGCTGCAGGCAGGCCAATGTTAGCCCTGGCCGCTGCAGGCAGGCTAACGTTAGCCCTGGCCGCTGCAGACGGGCTAACCGCTGCAGGCGGGCTAACCCCTTGCTCACACTGGCTCCGGTGCGGTTACCGAGCCGACGGAGGCCGCAACTTCTGCACACCCCCTCTCACATCGCCCTTTTGACTACGGTGCGGTGCGGCAACAGGTCCGGAGATTTAACTCGCGAGAACAGAACTTCACTTGAGTTCACGTAACTTCACGCGATAACACGGCCCAAATAAGGATATTTGGGAGAGCTTGTTGCGGATGGCTCCGGCACGCCGCAAGGATAGCTTTCTTGCTGAATTTTCTGCAGCGCCGGAGTGTCTCGGTAACCGCAGACGGGCCAACGTTAGGCCTGGCTGCTGCAGACGGGCCAACGTTAGCCCTGGCCGCTGCAGACGGGCTAACCGCTGCAGGCAGGCCAACGTTAGCCCTGGCCGCTGCAGGTGGGCCAACGTTAGCCTGGCCACTGCAGGCGGGCTAACGTTAGCCCTGGCCGCTGAAGGTGGGCCAACGTTAGCCCTGGCCGCTGCAGACGGGCTAACCGCTGCAGGCGAGCTAACGGTAGCCCTGGCCGCTGCAGACACGCTACCAAGGCTAAAAGATGAGGACCCATAGGAAACCGCAGAGAGGCCCATAACTACAGGAGCTGGTGAACAGGGTGGGAGGTGGGGGGGTGGACATAAAGTAAAAGGAATTGGCGAGTCAGTGGATAGATGAGGACCTAGTAGGCAGACGGGTGGAGCTTTAAGGTAGTTGTTAAAATCGGTGGAGGGACAGGGACAGAGGGAATTCAGCAGAAAGACATACACCAAAGGCAGTTGTTGGATGGACAAAGATCTAGAGGGACCAGGACCCTGACCTAAAGGGGGTCGGCAGATACCGGCAGGGGAGAAGGGAAAGATGAGGACCTACGGAATTTTGTTGAGGTTGGAGGTGATGGCTTTGAGCACACGGTCTGTCAGGTTCTTCAGGTTGATGATGGCGATGTCGATTCTTCGCTGAACTTCAGGATGGGACAGGGCGTCCTCAGCAGAAACCTCGTAGGGTAGAGAGCTGCAGGGACAGACATGTGAGACACTCACTTAAGGGACAGAGATTTCCAGCTGTCTGCGTTCTCACCTCTTGTGTCCAGTCTGGGTCTCAGTCTGGTTGATCCAGGTCTTGTAGACCTCAACTGGGTCCGTTCTGATGTTGAGGGTTTGGTCTAGCAGGACATCTTGTAGAGCTGGACCCAAAGAATCTCGCAGGGAGTTCTGACCCTGAGCGTGGCGGTAAAAGTTCACCAGCATTTTGATGACGGTGGGATTCCCAGTAATGACGTCCTGTGGCTGCTCTACCTTCAGCCTAACCGGAGCACAGACCCATAGATGTGTTTAGGTGCCAGTGACATCCCAGTTTTAAGAAAGGTAGAAAACAACATCACAGGAAGTCACCTTATCTCATATCTCAGCGCCTCAGTAAACAGCTGCAACAGCAGGAAGGCTTCACGGCGATCGGAGCCGTAGTTGAACAGGCTGAACACCACCATCTCCATGAAGGCGGTGGAGCGACTCTGAGGCATCAGGAAGATCACCTGAGCCAGGTAGAGAGGCTGTGTCTGGAACATGGAGAAAGTTCGTTACAACTCCGTACAACATGGCCTGCGGCAGGTAAAGGCATGACGTGTGCCTCACCTGCAGAAGGTAGAAGAGGTGTTGGTAGGCTTCCAGTCTCATCCTCCTGTCTCGGCTCAGGGCTTTCAGTCCTTTGCTTCTCTCTACGTCCATCATGTCCGACAGCAGCTCCTTGTTCTTCTTGGTCAGTTTCTTGCAGTGGGACACAACTTCCTGTTTGGAGACACAGATAAGAACTTGGTAAGATTCTGCTGGGTCTTCGGAAACTGTTTAAAATTGATTATATCTCCTTCCAGCTTTAGGTGGGGTTGCCTAGTCCTGCTCTGGTTTCAGTATATAGTGATGGTTTGGGACGGAGCGGTTCTGTCTGGATGGATGCTAATGCCAGGGTAAGACTCTAACCTGCAGCGTGGCTCTGTTTCGGACCAGAAGCCCGATCTTCAGGTCCATCAGGTCCAAGTCGGTCTCCAGCTGCCGGTTGAAGCGGATGCCTCTCACCACTTCCTCTCGCAGACGCAGAAGCTCCGCCTCCTCTCTGATGTCAGCATCTCCCAGATCGAGCAAATGAAGGAACTTCCTGACCACAGACAGGGGGGGCGTGTCCGAATGCACTGAGAGAGTTTAAGGGGACGAGCTTATTAAGGGGACATGTGTGACACTTAGTTTGGCCAATCAGGTGCAGCACTGTGAGCTCACCTAACATGCGGTACTCATGTCGGGCTCTGTTGGCTCTAAAGAAGGCCTGGATCTTTATCACAGCATCCACCTATCAAAGATCAGGGATCACAAAATGTCACCATGGAGACAACTCTCTAATTGGACGATAAAAGATTATTTAACATTAAGGTAAGTCCTTCAAACCGGTTTTGGATCAGAATTCCAGCTGATAATAAATAAATTAAAAAAATTACGTTCTGTTTGAAGAATCTCAGCCGTGACAAATATCTTCTCCTGACGAGCCACATCTTGACAAACGACTGGATCTAAAGGGGACAAAAAGGAGAGATTGGTTTTCTCCTTGATTAGATCGGTCAAACAGGATTCAAATATGGAGTCTGCAAAAACCTTTCTCTACTCCACCAAAAATAGTCAGGTCATCCGACCCTTTTTCTATATTTATGCTCTCGTAAGTTTCGGCTGCTGGAAGACATGGGGACCACTTTTCCTCATTCTGCACCATTCTATCTCTACTCTCAAATTCTGCAGTATTTGTTAATGCAACACATCACTTTAGTTTCGTTCTGCTTTTTCTCATCATGGTAGCTTCATTTGGTCAACAACAAAATGCGAGCAAAAATTGTCACCGCAACCTCATCCAGGAAGAGCGTGTGTAGCCAGGTTTTGAAATGACAATCGTTATTAGAACATTTCCTTAAAATGTTTGAAATGAAAAAAAAAAAAATCAATTGATTTTATTTTGAAATAAATAGTTCATCAAAGTTTATTTCATGCAAAAGAAATAAACTTTCGTTAAAGGGAATTGTTGGCCTGGATGAAGAGACGAGGTGCTCTGGTCTCCTGTAATGGGGTCGAGGTTGGAAAGATAGCGGGAAGGAATCAACTCAATCGCTCAACTGTAGGTTTTTCAAAGCTGAACTTTGAGTTCACCTCCTCTGTTTAAGGTTGTTTTTTCTTTCTTAACACAGATGGCTTCCCTTACCTTCAAGTTCCTTCAGCAACAGGAAACCCTCCATGAATCCCTCTCTCCATCCCAGCCTCTGACTATGTACCTCATTTATGTTATCTAGTAGCAAGATTTAAAGTAATTTAAAGTATTCAGGATATTCAAAATGTAGGCGTGCTTTGGTGATATCATGGTCACGGAGATGGATCTAGAGTTGCTAGACATCAAAGAGGAACAGGTTACGTTAATCGAGTTGGCAAAAAGACCAATTAACCTTTCGTCGTTGTTGTCCATTGTTGTTGTTCCTTGGTTTTTTTAAAATGGCGCTCCCCGGCACCGAATCGAGAAGGACGACCACACAGACAGCTGCAAGGGCTTACCAAGGACCAATCACAGCTGCTTTTTGTCTGCGCACTTCCACTTGAGGTCTGCGTCGGTTTGCAACCACCCGACACGTAGTCTGGATTTTTTTGGGGCGCGTGACAATGGTTGCAGAACCTCTGCGTGGGGGGGCGTGGTTGCGCACAGAGACAGATTTGACGGTTGCAGAGGCTATTAGGGGTGTAAATAATTGTTTTGTATCGATGCATCGATCCAACAGCCGACGATCTGATGCATCGATACGTCCGCAAGAGAATCGATTCATGTTTTTTTTTTCCTCCGGTCTATTTTTATACATTTGCTCCTGGGCGTAATTCTCCCTCCCGTGCTGCGGTGGCGCTAAACCTATTTTGCACTCCTACCGCGCTTCCTGGTTATACTCTTACAGCAGTGTGTTGCAGTGAGCTTGATGCAGACATTTTTGATTTATGCTCAATATTGAAGCGTGGTCTGCGCTACACGCTGTGGGTCTAGATACGGCCGAGGCGGCGAGGAAGTGGGGGCGAGTTTAGTCCGACGACGGAGGGACATGAGGGCCTAAAAGAGCGGAGATCCAGGTGGAAAAAGGGTCCCAGCGTTCTCGTGCACCTCACTCTTCTAGCGGGTCAAACTTCACGAGTTGTTTTCCGCATTTCGGTCATAAAAACAAAACAAGCCGGCCTCCTGTCTGCGGCACTGTTTGCGGTCAGCTACAGCGGAGCGTCTGTGGAGGGGGCGGGACGTCTGGAGCCGAGGTATTGAATTGCACTCATTTCACTGATTATGTGCAGTATTTTTTGATGCAAAGCCTTTCAGAATCTATAACGCAGGGGAATTATTATTTTCAGTGAATGAGGTTTTAATAGTAATAGGTGGAGTAAAACTTTTCTACTTCTGTTATTTGCTGTTGTTTCTAAAAAAAAAAAAATGCATAACGATATTACAGCTTTCATTGATTTATTTCAAATTTGAAACATTGTCTAGCCTGTAAGGGGTTAAAAAAAATAAAAAAAATATGAACCAATAAATCGAATCGTATCGTGGTGTATTCTTGAGTATCGAATATAATCGAATCGTTGGGCCAGGAAATCGATACTGAATCGAATCGCCATGATGGGTGTGATTTACACCCCTAGAGGCTATGTGTCAGAAGCATAAATTGACATTTAGTCCTGGACGCGGGCGACCCAGGTTCAAATCTGGCCTGTCTCTCCCTCTATCTCATACCCCCTTTCCTGTTAGCTTACTGTCAATAAAAACGAGCCACTAGTGCCGTAAAAACAAAAAAAAACTAAAAATACAAACAATAATGGATATTCAAAGTTTGGTTTTTCAAAGTTAAAACTTTTTCTTTCAGATTTAAGAAGTAATTACAGATGGTCAGAAGAAGCAGATTCTATGATAAACGTCGCCATGAGCCTGCGCTCAGGGCAGTAAATCAAGATATTACACATACGAATCCTCTCTACGCATTTGCAGATCTCACATGGCAGAAGTGCAGCAAAAATCACGCGTAAAGAGAGCCGACCGAGAAACCGCTCGACTTCTCACCAATGATTTGTCTATATTTCTGGCTGTTGAAGCGAATGTGCTTCAGACTTAAGTGACTATGTGTTTTTACAGACCGATTTACACATTTGTAGATCTTGATACACGTTTCCAAATCTTAACACATATTTGTAGATCTGAAAACAGATTTGTGGATTTTTTTTTTTTTTACACATTTGTAAATCAATTACACACAAGTTATTTTACACATTTTGCAGATAATTGTACAGACAGACAAAATCCAAAACTGTGCAAACACAAATCTAGATACAGACACACAACTCTCCACACACATTTGTAAATAATCTGTTTACTGAAAGTCTGCTGTGATTGAAGTAAAAAAAAGAGAGAAAAACATTGTTTACCTTCACAACAGACCTCCAGTTGCTGTAGAGGTACTTCAGGCGCCGCCTGTACGCCCTCTGCTGGATGAACCTCCTCCAATGAGCCTGAAGGACACAGAGAGGTGGTGGCGGTGCGGTGGTGACATAGGAGCAGCCAAGTAACTTCCGGAACCATCAGCACTCACCTGGATGGTGACTACAGCAGGAGTCTGACTGATCAAGTACCGCCGTCGAACCTCCAGCTGCTGTCTGACCAGGAAGCCCCGACAGTGAGCCTGCAGACGAACAATCAGGGCCCCACTGCTCTGCCAACGGACTTTACGACTGTAGGAAGTAGAAACGCTGCTCACTACTGCCTGCAGAGGGCGACAACATGATTTGCTCAATACCCTAACAAATCATCACCAGAGTCTAGTTTTCTCTTAACACTGAGCCGTGGACAGACTGCGGTTGTTGCAGGACATTAGCTAGGGCCCTATAATTTCCGCAATCACGGAATTGCGAACAGAATCGCGGAATTGGCAAATTAACGCGGAATCTAGTGTAAATGCGGAATTTATACATTTGAAATGCAATTTTGTTTTTGTGTGGGAGAAGAACGTACGTCGGGGGGAAATGCACACCGGGGGACGCAAATCTGGGCGACACACTCTGTCCCGCTCCGTCATTTCCGCTCACCCTCCCCCATCAAAACATTGAAAAAATGGCGAAGCGGCTCTCCACAGCTCCGCTTTCGGCGAAAAGGTTGAGAAACACGACCCTAAGCCCCGAGTACAGAGCCGAGCAGTTCCCTCGTGACTTTTACGTGTCGGGTCAACTATTGTTTTGCAAGTTTTGTCAAAATTCCATTGATTGGAAGCACAAAAATACATACATAAAACGGAAAAAACTGAATTTTCAAAAATTAAAAAGGAAAAAACAGAATTTGGGAAAAAATAAAACGGAAATTGGGAAAAAATAAAACGGATTTTATAGGGCCCTACATTAGCTCTGGACTCCCACCTGGATCTCCTGCGGGCCGATAAACAGTCCGTGATGTTTGAATCCGTTCGGTTTCTCCCAGCTTCCCTCCAGAGTGTTCAGGTGGAAGTAATAAAATGATCCGTCCGCCAGCTGGACTCGAACCCATGGACTCCGATCGTTACCTGAACACGCACACAGTAAGATCATCTATGGATCGCCTCAGTCCTGCAGGATCACAGCGCCTCCTTGTGGCCGTTACCTGAGCGTGCCCTGTCTGTGATCAGCGCGCTGAGTTCTCGCTGGTAATCGGCGGCGCAGTCTGATAAAACTCCTCGCAGCTCCAGTTCTGGCAATGACAGAACACGTAGAGTCTGCTTGGCCCGGTTCTCCTTCACCGCCTGGTTCACCGCCGCCACCGCCAGGCACACTGCGGGGACAGCAAACCGGGTCAGTCGACTGAAAACAGACGCCACATACAGACGACAACACGTAAGATCAGACGGTCGGTCATCTTTCTGAATGGACTTACACTTTAGGGCTTTCTGGCTCTGCTGATTGGCCAGCTTCACCTCTTCCTGGATATCAGCCAACCACAGCTCAGCTCCCAAGTCTCTGCTCATCTGCAGAAGCAAGGCAGCAAAGATTTTAGATCTGTTTTTTTTGTAACGTTACTGAGGAAGACGTTTTGATCAGAGCGGGTTGATACCTGGACTTTCTGCTGTCTGGATCGGGTCAGCAGGGTCAGGTACCTGCAGGCGTTGGCAGGCAGGACCTCCTCCAGACCACAGGACGGCAGCATCAGAGCAGACGACAGCTGCTGGACGTCTCCCCTCATCACAGCCTCATTTATCAGGCCGACCGCCAGGAGCTCTGTCACACAGGTAGGCACAGGTAACGTGATGCGTCTGCGTTAGCGTGTTTGTTGGTGTGTAGTTGTGTTGTTCGTACGCTGGTGTTCATTCTGGGCTGAGCCGTTCACCCGGTTGATTCCTTCCTGCAGCTGATTCCAGGTCAGCAGTCCTCGGCCGAGCTGCTGCTTCATGTCCAACAGGAGCTCAAAGTACCTGATCGAGAGAGACCACATCGTCGTCATCTCGTCATCAGGCAGAGTTCAGGGACAGGTAGCGACAAACACCTCACACCTGTCCATGAGGGCGGGGTCTACATCACAGAGTCCTGCAGAGGGACTGACCAACGAGGAGCCGAACTTCTGCACATGTCCCGCCTCCAGACGCTGATTGATCAGAGCAACGGCTGACAACATCTCCACAGCAACGAAAAGCTCTTCCTGATATAGCTCCCCCTAGAGGAGAAAACAGGAAACACACCTGCGTGAACGAGAGGCGGTTCGGAGGTGATGGATGAGCAGAAAGCGACGCCGCAAAATATGGAGAGAAATGAAGCGTCATGACGTAATTACATTGCGTGGCCGCCATGTTGATGGCCTCCTTTACCGCTGCTCAGACTACCGCGTACTGTAATTCTATTAGATGAGCCATCGCATGATATATTTACCTACTGGAAATTAAGTTGGAAAAAAAAAAATTACCAATTCAAGAAAAAAAAGGTAGAAAAACTAATTGAAAAGTTAAAAATTAAAGTTAAAAAGTTAATAAGTCTAGTTAACAATTACATTTTTTAGTTTATAAACCTAAATATAAGTGCCAGTATCAGCAGTAATGCCTCTAAGGTTATGTTGTACCGAAGGAAAAAAGAAAAAAAAAAAGTTTCTTTCACTCTCAGAGTGTTTCTCATGAGTTTCTTATAGAAGCACTTTTGTTATTTTTCTTAATTTATTCATTGGCGTTTCTTGTTTTTACATTGAGATTAATTTTTGCAATCAAAATATCCATATTTTTTTTATGTTAAAAGGTAATAAGATCTTTTCCTGGATTTCACTATTTGCTTGAAATTTTGACTTTCAAAGTTTTTCACTGAGCTCCCTATAAAGGGTTAGTTTTATGTTAATTATCTGTCTACATCCACTTTACCAACAGTTGTAAAACTGACTAAAGATGCAACAGAGGCCTTTGCATACGGTTACCTGCTGGTTTCAGGTGTGTTTACCTCAGCAGTCCGGCTCTGCAGCAGCTGCAGCTCACGGTGGTAAAGCGTCGCAGCCGACGGGAACACCTCAGGCAGCTGCAGGTCAGAGTTCATCAGGCAGCTCACGGTGCGTCTGGGGTCGTCTCCACGCAGCGACTCGTTGACGCTCTGCACCGCCATGAGCACTGAGACGCACAGACAAAAAAAAAGTTTGGTTTTCTCAGCCAGAACAGAACCTGAGGAGTCCAGCCGAAGGAAGAACTTACCGTTCGTGGCTCTCTGAGCTTCCTGGTTGGCAGCGGAGATGCTTTCCTGGAGCTCGGTTGGTTCAAGAGGATCCACAGAGCCCTGGTCCTGGATTGGATTTACAGCAGACCAGGAAGTTTGAGGTGAGGCACCCAGAGAGCATGTAAACACAGCAGGAAGCAGGGCAGGAACCACAACAGGAAGCAGAGCAGGAACCACAGCAGGAAGCAGAGCAGGAACCACAGCAGGAAGCAGGGCAGGAACCACAGGAGGAAGCAGAGCAGGAACCACAACAGGAAGCAGGGCAGGAACCACAGCAGGAAGCAGGGCAGGAACCACAGCAGAAAGCAGGGCAGGAACCACAGCAGGAAGCAGAGCAGGAACCACAGCAGGAAGCAGGGCAGGAACCACAGCAGGAAGCAGGGCAGGAACCACAGCAGGAAGAAGAAAGGCAACCACAGCAGGAAGCAGGGCAGGAACCACAGCAGGAAGCAGAGCAGGAACCACAGCAGGAAGCAGAGCAGGAACCACAGCAGGAAGCAGGGCAGGAACCACAGGAGGAAGCAGAGCAGGAACCACAACAGGAAGCAGGGCAGGAACCACAGCAGGAAGCAAGGCAGGAACCACAGCAGGAAGCAGGGCAGGAACCACAGCAGGAAGCAGGGCAGGAACCACAGCAGGAAGCAGAGCAGGAACCACAGCAGGAAGCAGGGCAGGAACCACAGCAGGAAGCAGGGCAGGAACCACAGCAGGAAGAAGAAAGGCAACCACAGCAGGAAGCAGGGCAGGAACCACAGCAGGAAGCAGAGCAGGAACCACAGCAGGAAGCAGAGCAGGAACCACAGCAGGAAGCAGGGCAGGAACCACAGGAGGAAGCAGAGCAGGAACCACAACAGGAAGCAGGGCAGGAACCACAGCAGGAAGCAAGGCAGGAACCACAGCAGGAAGCAGGGCAGGAACCACAGCAGGAAGCAGGGCAGGAACCACAGCAGGAAGAAGAAAGGCAACCACAGCAGGAAGCAGGGCAGGAACCACAGCAGGAAGCAGGGCAGGAACCACAGCAGGAAGCAGAGCAGGAACCACAGCAGGAAGCAGGGCAGGAACCACAGCAGGAAGCAGGGCAGGAACCACAGCAGGAAGCAGGGCAGGAACCACAGCAGGAAGAAGAAAGGCAACCACAGCAGGAAGCAGAGCAGGAACCACAGCAGGAAGCAGAGCAGGAACCACAGCAGGAAGCAGAGCAGGAACCACAGCAGGAAGCAGGGCAGGAACCACAGGAGGAAGCAGAGCAGGAACCACAACAGGAAGCAGGGCAGGAACCACAGCAGGAAGCAGGGCAGGAACCACAGCAGGAAGCAGGGCAGGAACCACAGCAGGAAGCAGGGCAGGAACCACAGCAGGAAGCAGGGCAGGAACCACAGCAGGAAGCAGGGCAGGAACCACAGCAGGAAGCAGGGCAGGAACCACAGCAGGAAGCAGGGCAGGAACCACAGCAGGAAGCAGGGCAGGAACCACAGCAGGAAGCAGGGCTGGGACCACAGCAGGAAGCAGAGCAGGAACCACAGCAGGAAGCAGGGCAGGAACCACAGCAGGAAGCTGGGCAGGAGCCACAGCAGGAAGCAGGGCAGGAACCACGGCAGGAAGCAGGGCAGGAACCACAGCAGGAAGAAGAAAGGCTACCACAGCAGGAAGCAGAGCAGGAACCACAGCAGGAAGAAGAAAGGCAACCACAGCAGGAAGCAGGGCAGGAACCACAGCAGGAAGAAGAAAGGCAACCACAGCAGGAAGCAGGGCAGGAACCACAGCAGGAAGCAGGGCAGGAACCACAGCAGGAAGCAGGGCAGGAACCACAGCAGGAAGCAGGGCAGGAACCACAACAGGAAGCAGGGCAGGAACCACAGCAGGAAGCAGGGCAGGAAGCAGGGCAGGAACCACAGCAGGAAGCAGGGCAGGAACCACAGCAGGGAGCAGGGCAGGAACCACAGCAGGAAGATGATAGGGAACCACAGCAGGAAGCAGGGCAGGAACCACAGCAGGAAGCAGGGCAGGAACCACAGGAGGAAGCAGGGCAGGGACCACAGCAGGAAGCAGGGCAGGAACCACAGCAGGAAGCAGAGCAGGACCACAGCAGGAAGCAGAGCAGGAACCACAGCAGGAAGCAGAGCAGGAACCACAGCAGGAAGAAGAAAGGGAACCACAGCAGGAAGCAGGGCAGGAACAAGGCAGGAAGCAGAGCAGGAACTACAGCAGGAAGCAGGGCAGGAACCACAGCAGGAAGCAGGGCAGGAACCACAGCAGGAAGCAGGGCAGGAACCACAGCAGGAAGCAGGGCAGGAACCACAGCAGGAAGCAGAGCAGGAACCACAGCAGGAAGAAGAAAGGGAACCACAGCAGGAAGCAGGGCAGGAACAAGGCAGGAAGCAGAGCAGGAACTACAGCAGGAAGAAGAAAGGGAACCACAGCAGGAAGCAGGGCAGGAACCAAAGCAGGAAGCAGGGCAGGAACCACAACAGGAAGCAGAGCAGGAACCACAGCAGGAAGAAGAAAGGGAACCACACCAGGAAGCAGGGCAGGAACCACAGCAGGAAGAGGAAGGGGAACCACAGCAGGAAGCAGGGCAGGAACCACAGCAGGAAGCAGGGCAGGAACCACAGCAGGAAGCAGAGCAGGAACCACAGCAGGAAGAAGAAAGGGAACCACAGCAGGAAGAAGAAAGGGAACCACAGCAGGAAGCAGGGCAGGAACAAGGCAGGAAGCAGAGCAGGAACTACAGCAGGAAGCAGGGCAGGAACCACAGCAGGAAGCAGGGCAGGAACCACAGCAGGAAGCAGGGCAGGAACCACAGCAGGAAGCAGAGCAGGAACCACAGCAGGAAGCAGAGCAGGAACCACAGCAGGAAGAAGAAAGGGAACCACAGCAGGAAGCAGGGCAGGAACCACAGCAGGAAGAAGAAAGGGAACCACAGCAGGAAGCAGGGCAGGAACCACAGCAGGAAGCAGGGCAGGAACCACAGCAGGAAGCAGAGCAGGAACTACAGCAGGAAGAAGAAAGGGAACCACAGCAGGAAGCAGGGCAGGAACCACAGCAGGAAGCAGGGCAGGAACCACAGCAGGAAGCAGAGCAGGAACCACAGCAGGAAGAAGAAAGGGAACCACAGCAGGAAGCAGGGCAGGAACCACAGCAGGAAGAAGAAAGGGAACCACAGCAGGAAGCAGGGCAGGAACCACAGCAGGAAGCAGGGCAGGAACCACAGCAGGAAGCAGAGCAGGAACCACAACAGGAAGCAGGGCAGGAACCACAGCAGGAAGCAAGGCAGGAACCACAGCAGGAAGCAGGGCAGGAACCACAGCAGGAAGCAGGGCAGGAACCACAGCAGGAAGAAGAAAGGCAACCACAGCAGGAAGCAGGGCAGGAACCACAGCAGGAAGCAGGGCAGGAACCACAGCAGGAAGCAGAGCAGGAACCACAGCAGGAAGAAGAAAGGGAACCACAGCAGGAAGCAGGGCAGGAACCACAGCAGGAAGAAGAAAGGGAACCACAGCAGGAAGCAGGGCAGGAACCACAGCAGGAAGCAGGGCAGGAACCACAGCAGGAAGCAGAGCAGGAACCACAACAGGAAGCAGGGCAGGAACCACAGCAGGAAGCAAGGCAGGAACCACAGCAGGAAGCAGGGCAGGAACCACAGCAGGAAGCAGGGCAGGAACCACAGCAGGAAGAAGAAAGGCAACCACAGCAGGAAGCAGGGCAGGAACCACAGCAGGAAGCAGGGCAGGAACCACAGCAGGAAGCAGAGCAGGAACCACAGCAGGAAGCAGGGCAGGAACCACAGCAGGAAGCAGGGCAGGAACCACAGCAGGAAGAAGAAAGGCAACCACAGCAGGAAGCAGAGCAGGAACCACAGCAGGAAGCAGAGCAGGAACCACAGCAGGAAGCAGAGCAGGAACCACAGCAGGAAGCAGGGCAGGAACCACAGCAGGAAGCAGAGCAGGAACCACAACAGGAAGCAGGGCAGGAACCACAGCAGGAAGCAGGGCAGGAACCACAGCAGGAAGCAGGGCAGGAACCACAGCAGGAAGCAGGGCAGGAACCACAGCAGGAAGCAGAGCAGGAACCACAGCAGGAAGCAGGGCAGGAACCACAGCAGGAAGCAGGGCAGGAACCACAGCAGGAAGCAGGGCAGGAACCACAACAGGAAGCAGGGCAGGAACCACAGCAGGAAGCAGGGCAGGAACCACAGCAGGAAGCAGGGCAGGAACCACAGCAGGAAGCAGGGCAGGAACCACAGCAGGAAGCAGAGCAGGAACCACAGCAGGAAGCAGGGCAGGAACCACAGCAGGAAGCAGGGCAGGAACCACAGCAGGAAGCAGGGCAGGAACCACAGCAGGAAGAAGAAAGGCAACCACAGCAGGAAGCAGAGCAGGAACCACAGCAGGAAGCAGAGCAGCAACCACAGCAGGAAGCAGGGCAGGAACCACAGCAGGAAGAAGAAAGGCAACCACAGCAGGAAGCAGGGCAGGAACCACAGCAGGAAGCAGGGCAGGAACCACAGCAGGAAGCAGGGCAGGAACCACAGCAGGAAGCAGGGCAGGAACCACAGCAGGAAGCAGGGCAGGAACCACAGCAGGAAGCAGGGCAGGAACCACAGCAGGAAGCAGGGCAGGAACCACAGCAGGAAGCAGGGCAGGAACCACAGCAGGAAGAAGAAAGGGAACCACAGCAGGAAGCAGGGCAGGAACCACAGCAGGAAGCAGGGCAGGAACCACAGCAGGAAGCAGGGCAGGAACCACAGCAGGAAGCAGGGCAGGAACCACAGCAGGAAGCAGAGCAGGACCACAGCAGGAAGCAGAGCAGGAACCACAGCAGGAAGCAGAGCAGGAACCACAGCAGGAAGAAGAAAGGGAACCACAGCAGGAAGCAGGGCAGGAACAAGGCAGGAAGCAGAGCAGGAACTACAGCAGGAAGCAGGGCAGGAACCACAGCAGGAAGCAGGGCAGGAACCACAGCAGGAAGCAGGGCAGGAACCACAGCAGGAAGCAGGGCAGCAACCACAGCAGGAAGCAGAGCAGGAACCACAGCAGGAAGAAGAAAGGGAACCACAGCAGGAAGCAGGGCAGGAACAAGGCAGGAAGCAGAGCAGGAACTACAGCAGGAAGAAGAAAGGGAACCACAGCAGGAAGCAGGGCAGGAACCAAAGCAGGAAGCAGGGCAGGAACCACAACAGGAAGCAGAGCAGGAACCACAGCAGGAAGAAGAAAGGGAACCACACCAGGAAGCAGGGCAGGAACCACAGCAGGAAGAAGAAAGGGAACCACAGCAGGAAGCAGGGCAGGAACCACAGCAGGAAGCAGGGCAGGAACCACAGCAGGAAGCAGAGCAGGAACCACAGCAGGAAGAAGAAAGGGAACCACAGCAGGAAGAAGAAAGGGAACCACAGCAGGAAGCAGGGCAGGAACAAGGCAGGAAGCAGAGCAGGAACTACAGCAGGAAGCAGGGCAGGAACCACAGCAGGAAGCAGGGCAGGAACCACAGCAGGAAGCAGGGCAGGAACCACAGCAGGAAGCAGAGCAGGAACCACAGCAGGAAGCAGAGCAGGAACCACAGCAGGAAGAAGAAAGGGAACCACAGCAGGAAGCAGGGCAGGAACCACAGCAGGAAGAAGAAAGGGAACCACAGCAGGAAGCAGGGCAGGAACCACAGCAGGAAGCAGGGCAGGAACCACAGCAGGAAGCAGAGCAGGAACTACAGCAGGAAGAAGAAAGGGAACCACAGCAGGAAGCAGGGCAGGAACCACAGCAGGAAGCAGGGCAGGAACCACAGCAGGAAGCAGAGCAGGAACCACAGCAGGAAGAAGAAAGGGAACCACAGCAGGAAGCAGGGCAGGAACCACAGCAGGAAGAAGAAAGGGAACCACAGCAGGAAGCAGGGCAGGAACCACAGCAGGAAGCAGGGCAGGAACCACAGCAGGAAGCAGAGCAGGAACCACAGCAGGAAGCAGAGCAGGAACCACAGCAGGAAGAAGAAAGGGAACCACAGCAGGAAGCAGAGCAGGAACAAGGCAGGAAGCAGAGCAGGAACTACAGCAGGAAGCAGGGCAGGAACCACAGCAGGAAGCAGGGCAGGAACCACAGCAGGAAGCAGGGCAGGAACCACAGCAGGAAGCAGGGCAGGAACCACAGCAGGAAGCAGAGCAGGAACCACAGCAGGAAGAAGAAAGGGAACCACAGCAGGAAGCAGAGCAGGAACCACAGCAGGAAGAAGAAAGGGAACCACAGCAGGAAGCAGGGCAGGAACAAGGCAGGAAGCAGAGCAGGAACTACAGCAGGAAGAAGAAAGGGAACCAGAGTAGGAAGCAGAGCAGGTACCACAGCAGGAGGCAGAGCAGGAACCACAGCAGGAAGAAGAAAGGGAACCACAGCAGGAAGCAGGGCAGGAACAAGGCAGGAAGCAGAGCAGGAACTACAGCAGGAAGAAGAAAGGGAACCAGAGTAGGAAGCAGAGGAGGAAACAGAAAAGGGAGCAGAGGAGGGAGAAAAGAAGGAGCCAGAGGAGGAAGCAGAGAAGGAACCAGAGTAGGTACAACCCAGAATGTGTTAAATACCAAAGCCTTCTGCTGGCGATCCATCAAAAGCTGATCCAGGTACCAGGGGCCGTTTTCAGCACGGAGGCCCCTGAGGGCCAAACATGGCAGCTGCAGCGCAGCAAGCAGAGAGAGTTCATCTGCAGCATCCAGAGCTTCATCCACCTGCTCCACCGCAGATCGCACTGAAAAACACCCCAATGAGAGTCAGAGACGAGGAGGACCTTGTGATCGGACAGGGGCCTCTGGGGGCCCCATGATCACCACAACAGATCAGCCATATGAAGACGTCTTAATCTGGTCTGGAGGAAAATTCCAACAAAGGCGCAGTGATTGGTGGAGATGAGAAATATCTGCTTAGATGGACGGAGGCGGTTCCTGCGATCTGGTTGATGTGGCGTCAGAAGTAGAAGATAACCGAAGTGTCCCATCGGTGGAGGGAGACAAAGCAAAGGTTTTGATGTAGAGACTGAAGTTATGAGCGGTTTGGGTCCAGAATGACGGAGGAACGACAACGGCGGAGGACGCTTAGTGCATCCACGATTTTATCTGTGATGCATCCGATTCTGGTGGAGTTAACTCTGCTGGCATGTAGAGCCTAAATAGATGGAGGCCAGTGCCACAGCATCACCAAGTCTGTGCCTAGATGAAAATGTCGCCAACTGACAAGGCTTCACCCACTGGCCTCCATCACTTCCTGTGTGGAGGAGTTGAAAAATCTTCCTCTGTGATATCTGTGTGTTGCGTAAAGGCCAGCATCACTCTCCATACTTCAATAAGCTAAGCTAGGCTAACCTAGCAATCACTTTTTGGCGTTCTAACCACAACTTCACTAATTCCATTTCTCAGTTCACTAGAACATGACTACGGACTCGTGTTCTCGCCAAGTTCCTGAGAAGATTACAGGAAAGTCTGAACTCTGGGAGAACGGGAGCATGCAGAATAAATCTGGGTCAATTGGAACAGAACCGTACCGATGACATCACCACACGCTCGGCTCGTCTGGAGCTGCATTTCTCTTCCTGTTATTAATAGTCTCTAGTAGGGATGGGACGATTTATGAAAACCGTCCGAACCGTCTCGGTTCGGTTCGCGTGTGTTGCGTTCGGTTCAGGCGCTGCTCCTTTTTCTCATAGGCGAAGCGTTTACACTCCAGAGCAGAAGGTGGCGGTACTGCGACCAAAGCCAACCACCAGTAGTAAACAAGAAGAAGAAGAAGCGAAGCAGCTTAGCCGGGTGTAGCAGAAAAAAATCAGTTGTTGCGGAGAATTGTGTGGGAATGGCGAGTGGGAAAGAACAGGAGTTGGAAGACGCGCCAGCAGCACTTTATAGGTCTGCTGTACGGGACCACTTTGCATTTAGAGCAGTGGTTCTCAAACTTTTTCTGTCATTCCCCACTTTGGACAAGGGGGAATTTTCAAGCCCCGCCTGTCCCCATCGCCCCAACAAAATGCTAATGAAATATGCAACAATCTTACAATGTTCCAATTTTATTTAAGTAACAAGTAGAATCTAAATACAAACTATCTACATCAAATAACAGCAAGCTCAAAAATAAAGAAAATAAAAATGCAGCTGTGTCAAAATTTGTATCAAGCTCAAAGATAAAAAAAAATTAAAGTTCCACTCTGCAATCTGTTAATAAAAGAAAAGAAGTGAAATCCATCTGGCAAGACAGGTCTATTTATCCCTGCATTAGTGGCTGCAATGAGCCTGTTTTGCATTGCACAGTTTCTCAAAACGGGGATGCAGGCTTGATACTGCCACTCTCAAGTCATGCTCAATGTTCAGCTGAGATCTGTATTTTGTTTTCAGTGAAGCAACAGCTGAAAAGCCCATCTCACAGAGATATGATGTGGCAAAGAAGAATGCACACAGCTCTCTGCCCGATGAGTGGATACTCCCTTTTTAAACGTTTTCTTTTTTCCCTTGTGGTCCACCAAGGAGCCTACAAATCACGGTAAAACATGAACATGTGGCTGTGTGAATCAAACGCCGTTATTTATTTAAAGCTACAGTGTGTAATAATTACAGGGATATACAGTCAGAAATGTAATATATTATACATAACTATGTTATTTATCATCATCTACGAGCTCAGCCTCTTAACCTTAATATTTGCGTTGCCTTAGAATTCGTTATTTATAATTACATAGGAGCGGGTCTCACAGCCATGGAGGCAGACATCTTTGCGCTACGGCAGCGCAGAGCCAACAAACTAGCGATTGCGAGATCGGCAAAACGTCACAACGATGTAGAAAAAATAACGGGTATATTTATTATCTTAAGTCTACATGAAATCTATACCCTAAACAGACTAATGAAATACTATCTGTAAAATTATCTATGTAAACAAACCTCATCACTTGAGAAGGTAGGTGATGCGGACGTCGTGGAAGACATTTTGTCCCGTAACGCTCGCCGTACTGTTGGGGGGGAGAAGAGGTGGGAGGGGAGATGTTCATGTTGCTGCAGTCTGCAGTCTGACCGCTAGATGTCGCTGAAAGTTACACACTGTAGCTTTAAGATAAAATATTTCAAATTCAGTTATTTATGATCAACCTGCGCCGTCTGACTGCAGCGCTGACAGGGACTCCTGCGATAGCGGGGGAGAACGGGGTTGGGACGGAGGAGGCGCCCCACGGCAGCATCTGCCGCTGGAGGACAAGTAAAGGAACGATACGTGCTTTCACGCAAGAGTCTCCAAAAGTCGCTAGATTTGTCGCTAGTCGCTTTTTTTGAAAAAGAGTCGCTGGAGGGGTCTGAAATGTAGCGACAAAGTCGCTGAGTTGGCAACACTGGGGCGCGAAAGTTTATTCCGTTACAAAAAATATGTCGACGTCACGTCAATCATTATTTTGGCACTTCAGTTCCAGGTGAAATTTTTCTCATATCTAATGTTCTTTTAATTAGACTGCATGTAGGCTAGTAATGATTACTTTGTGGGTTTGATTGGTCTAAAAAGCGGCAACATACAGCTATAAGGACAGTTTGCTCTCACACGTTCTACATTTATAGTCACACAACACACACACACACAAACCGGAACTTGGCGCGCCCCACCTGTCACGTCTCAATTCCCCACCAGTGGGTCGCGCCACACACTTTGAGAACCACGGATTTAGAGTGACCTACGATGACGGCAGAAAGAAAGTGGTGGATAAAAGTGCAACAGTGTGCAAGCATTGTGCAACACGTTTTGTTTATGCTAACAGCAACATGACCAACATGTCAGGCTAACAATCAACATATACCGAACCGAACACAGTGACCACGAAACCGTGAACCGAACTGTGGATTTTGTGAACCGTTCCACCCCTAGTCTCTAGATAATAATAAATTCCAACTTTTTCATTGAGTGGGGGAATAATGATTAACACAGTCAGATAAACACAAATCAAATGAACATTTTGCCATATAAAAAAAAAAAACTCCATCAGAGCCAGCAGTACTTCACACACGGCTATGCAGAGAGGGCTGCTGCAGACGGGCTAACGTTAGCCCTGGTTACTGCAGACGGGCTAACGTTAGCCCGTCTGCTGTAACCAGGGCTAACGTTAGCCCGTCTGCTGTAACCAGGGCTAACATTAGCCCGTCTGCAGTCACCAGGGCCAACATTAGCCCGTCTGCAGGAACCAAGGCTTACGTTAGCCCGTCTGCAGGAACCAAGGCGGGCTAGCCCTGGTTACTGCAGACAGGCTAACGTTAGCCCTGGTTACTGCAGACAGGCTAACGTTAGCCCTGGTTACTGCAGACGGGCTAACGTTAGCCTTGGTTCCTGCAGACAGGCTAACGTTAGCCCTGGTTACTGCAGACGGGCTAACGTTAGCCTTGGTTCCTGCAGACAGGCTAACGTTAGCCTCTCTTCCAGTTATTAATAGTCTCTAGATAATAAATTCTTTGGTACCATTTGCTGACAAATATAAGAGGGATTTCGATAGTCTTTTTTTATTTATTTACCGTCAATTTATTCAAGTGTTTTTTTTTACCCACAGACAATCGCTAAAGGCAGGAAACACTTCAATCCCTGTAATTAGCTTCATTGAAGATATAGTGAATGATTCTTAAGATCAATTTAAAGAACATATCGATGCTCTCTTCTGGAAAAACTCGCCTATGTACACTGGAAAAAATGAAAATCTATATAAGTCATTTTAAGTTATTCTACATAAGTGCAACTGTTCTTGGATTAAAGAGGCAAAAGAGACATTTTACCAATGGAGAATAAGACAATTTACACTTAAAATAAGAACATGCAATTGCATTGTCTTATTTCAAGTGCATGTTATCTAATTATCTTATTTTACGAATAAAATACTCATTCCATTGGTAAACTATCTCATTTACCTACTCAAAATAAGGGTAAATACACTTAATTTAAGGAATTTTTACTTATTTCTAGATCGTTTTTCAAGTGTAACTGAGACGGTCGGATCCGCCGCTCTCTGCATTTAAGCCTGTGACCCCAAAAATAAAAAACAAACAGAAGAGCAATCCCCTAAAATATATATTATTACTTAATTTCATAGAAAGAAAAATTATCCTACAAAATAAAAGCTTCAATACCACAAAATATCCCATAAACATGAAAATGCAAACAAAATTGACAAACTAATTTAACAAATGATTTAAGAAAATCGAGTAAAAATGAATGAAGCTGATTGCTGCTGACTCACCGTTGACGGTTCTGATGTGTTCCTGGATCTCCCGCTGACTCAGGTACTCCTCGTACATGTCCTTATCCTCTGAGGCTCCGCGCTGACACAAACAAAAACAAAGATCAGAAAACAGCAGCTGACTGGACGAAGGAGTCCGTCGCTGACCAATCAGAGCTAACCTTGCAGGCTGCTTGCTCAGCCTTCCTCATCTTGGCCTGCTTCAGCATCTCCTGATAGATGCTCATCAGCGCCTCCTGCAGGTCAGAGAGCAGAGCTGCAGGATTCCTCAGAGCTGCAGCCGTGATGCTCACGTCGCCTCTGTCCACCGCCTCGTTAATGGCCACTACAGCTGCATGCACTGATAATGATAAGAAAAAAACTTTATTAAGTGTTTCAAACAAAGTGCAGAACAGTAAAGGGTAAAAATTGTAAAACAAAAATTAAAAAACAATTTAAAAACTGATAAAAACACCAATGTTAAAAAACAACAAGTTTAGGCTTCTTTAGTTTGGCTTTAAATCCTCTGAGAACAATCTGCTGAATGTCTAGATCAGGGATGGGCAACCCGCGGCTCTTTAAAGCCGGGCATTAGGCTTGTCCCGATCCGATCCACGTATCGGATCGGACGCCGATATTGGCAAAAAAAAAAAAAACGTATCGGCAAGGCATGGAAAAATCCCGATCCAGTTTAAAAGAAAAAATCCGCTCCGTATTTTCCAGTTAGGCCGATTGAAACGATCCATTCCACTATTTTGCGGAAGTGTTCCCTAAATCTGGTTCATATTTTCCAGCACGCCATCAACACACCCACAGGTCTGTTTGCGTGTGTGTCCCAGCCTAACCATTTAAACGGCCAGGTGAATTCGAAGAGAGCGGTAAAAATGTCAGCCGAGTGGGATTATTTTATCCTGCAGGACGAAAAAGACGAGGTGGAGTGCAAAACATGCCACATTAAAGTCAAGCGTGGTGGTAAGGCTGTGAGACAATTTAACACAACAAATCTGATCAAGCATCGAGCGAAATATCATCATGAAGAACATCAAGAGTTTCTAAAGAAAAAAAAGGTCAGAAAGGTCCTACACAACTAACTCTAGCAGATAGGGATGGGCGATATGGACTAAAAAATTTATCACGATTTTTCACGAAATTTCTAGGTTTTACCACGATAACGATAAGTGACGATAAAAAACAAAACAAAAACACAATATCAGCCTAATGTATCAAACAAGCCTGAAATATGAGAACAAATTTCACATTTATTTAAATGCTACACAGCAAATATAACTTGGCTTATAAAAGTTGCAAAGTAGTGCAACTGTAAATACAACCTGATAAATTGAGAAACAGAACTTAAAAGTTTTTCACTGAAAATTAAAACTAATCAGTAATCACCTCCTAATATAAATAGATGTGTAAATTACCAGTCGCTGGAACATGCCATATATTGGATAAATAAATACCAGTGCAAGTTCTAACATACATTACACTCACTTCACTAAAAATAAAATTCAAATGTTATATCAACCTGTAACAACCTTTTTTGCTGTTGGGCTACAAAAATGTGCAAATGGATGATAAATACAGGGAAAAAAAACAGAAAAATCTAAATACTAAAATAGAAATAAATAATTTCAATAAATTCCAACAAACATCTAAAACCATGAAATACTTCTTTGTGCAAGAATGTACAAATAAGACCAGCAGGATCGTCAGCATGCTAAACAATGAAATAAAAATAAATAATTTCAATAAATTTAAAAAGAATATAAAAACTGAAATACCTCTCTGTGCAACGGCCTCTGTTAACTCTTTCCATCGCTTGGCTGTCATATGGTGTGGAATGAGCAAACGCGTCGGCAAGTTTTGTTTGAGTGGCAGTCGGTTTCTTAACAGAGGTTTTCGGAGTCGAGGCTTCTGCTGCATCGCAGCGCATCTTCTGACTAGCATCATATTCCGGTTTGTGTTTTAGGTGGTGGAATAAATTGGTAGTGTTGCTGTCCTTTGTCGTCACAGGTTGTCTGCAAACTTTGCATATGACGACTTTCTGCTCCGTATCAGACTTTTTAAATCCAAAGCAGTTCCAGATAACAGAGCTGGAGCCTCTTTTAGGAACCAGGTCTCGGGGCACGTCTCCTCCACCTTCCGCCATGCTTGTTGTTTGCGCATGGCTCGCACGTGAGTTGGACTGCAGTACACGTCACCGGCGGGAGTTTATCGTTTTTATCGCGAGATGACAAATTGTTACCATGAGGAATTTCTTTGACGATATATCGCACACGATAACATATCGCTCATCCCTACTAGCAGAAACATTTGGGAAGCGTGACATGCTGCCACTTAATAGTGCTAAAGCCCAAGGGATAACAAGAGGACGAGCCATTATCTCTGGTCAGTAAAGTGGGCTTTAGACGCACTATCCAACACCTGGAACCACGATCCAACATGCCCAGCCGTCATTACGTCCTTTAGAAAACGATCCCCCAGATTCACAAAGATATTCAAGGTTACATTGATCCATTACAGATCCATAGCTCCGTCTCAGGCCAGTCAAAATGCACCTACCTGCAGCTTCGTCCACAGAGAGCTCATTGGCCAGGATGCCTCCGATCTTGCAGAAAGCTGGCATCTGGATTCCGTACTTATCCAACTCCAGCTTCATGTTGTTAATCTCCTCCTCTGAGCACAGAGTCACACGTTAGCAAACTCGCTCTCAGATTGGCCGAAATATCACAAGCCTGGGCCATCCGAACCAAAATGAAGAAACACACACTTACCTGTGAACTTTACCTTTCCATAGAGATCATGAATAGGCGGAGCCAAACCCAGTCTGTACAGGTAGAGGCTGCAGAGACATGTGGGCGTCAGGCAGGCAAGCCGAGAGAAAGATGACAGACGATAGACGGACGTACCTGAGAGCGTGGATGCAGTAAACGGCTCTCGGCATGTTCTTCTTGTCATAGACGTCTGTAGTTTCAGGATGGAAGATCTAGAAACAACAGAATCATCCCGCAGTTTAATAGAACTGATCGGCTTTACAATCGGAGATAAATATTTGAGTGCAGTCTGACCGCAGGCAGGCCCAGGGCTGTCATGGCGTTCCTCCAGTGGTTGATGTTGTCGGTGTGACGGAACTGTAGACCCGCCGCCTGAACAGATCAATATTGTTAATTTTGATCTGCAGTAGTTCCCCTGATGACAAAGCTGATCTGATCAGAGAGAAATCAGGTTCAGTAACAGATTTGGAACAAGATCTGATGATAGCAGAGAAGCAGCTGTTTAGTTTGAGGGTGAAGGAAACAGCAGAGGGTAAAATCACAGAGTCAGGACAGAAAATAGCAGCAGTTAGAAGGAATCTAATGATTTTCTTTAGGGAGAAGAGAAGAGTTGGGAGTAAAAAATGTTGAGGTATGTCTGCTCTTAGCCTCACAGGCTCCAAACGAAGGTCATTAGAGATAAAAATGAGTCACACAGCCTCCTTCATGGCATGAAGGGGAAGACTGCTGTTTAGAGGAGAACGGCCATGATGAACTCAAGTTGTTCGGCTTCAATTTTCGTGTGTGACAAAGTTCTTTATGCACGGGGTGGGTCGTTTCCCTAGCCTCGTGAGACCATCCTGATCTCGCGAGCTTTCAAGGTTTCACTCGCAGATCAGTCTGGAGACTCAGTTAAAGAAAATTTGGAGCTGTTCACCAAACGAACGTCCAATCAGCGTTGGCTTTGAGGCGGGTTGAGGTGTGACGCAACGACAGTTCAGTCTAAAGAACATGGCGGCTTCAGCCGATGAAACTAGCGTTAGCGTGGCTATCAAGCAAGTTTTATCTGAATTACAGAGTACTTCTTCACTGAAAGAAGAGCAAAACACTGCTCTGGAGGCTTTTCTCAGAGGAAAAGATGTGTTTGCTCTTCTCCCGACTGGTTTCGGCAAGAGTAGCCTGGCTTGTGGTTGTGTTTTCGTCGTCGCTCTGTTAGTACGTCATATGCTTCGTTGATCTGATTGGTTTATTTGGCCCGTCTATCACCAACATAGGCCAATCAGCTAACCAGTATTTTCGCCCCTTCCCAAAATTACTTCAAAGGAAGGTTTCCAGATGGATATGCAGAGCAAATCCATCTGGCGGAGTCAGGTTAGCAATATTGGGCATAAATCAAAAATATCTCCGTCATACCTGCAGCTAGCTAACTGCAACACACTGCTGCGGTAGGATAACCAGCCCTTTAGATGTTATTATCTGCTCTGCTCCCAACAAGTTATTTAAATCTATGCTGATGATCCAGTTTTTATTCACCTTGTAAACAGTCTGTTGGTGTTTTAATTATCATTTGATTTCTGGTGTAAATTTGCATTTTTTTTATTTTATTTTTTTGCATTTTTAGCTCATCCTACTCTGTTGCACATTTCATCGCTTTGAACATTTTAGGAATAGTTTTTCTTCATAAAGATTCCCTTTGTTGCTGAAATCACCTGAATTTCCCAACAAGAAAAGATATTTGTACGCTAGTTTCTGAACCAGCACCAGAACCGCTCCAACCTGGTATCGGAGCTGTTCTGGGTCGTAGATCTTCTTCAGCGGGACCGTGTTCGGAGAGAAGCGATGACCCAGTTTGGCCAGAATGACTCCATTCCTCAGAGCCTCCTCAAGCTCGGTCGGAGCAGGAAGTTCCTCCCCCAGACAGGCCTCTATCCACCTGAGTGGGAAACGGATTCCATTAAACAGAGCATCGACACAATGGCTCCACATCCAGTTCTGGCTCTGTTCACTGACCTCTTAGCCTCCTCCAGCCTGCAAAGGTACTGATAGGCCACATTCTGGATCCGCTGCTCGTCCATCTGCTCTGCTGTGAGACGCTCATCTTTACAGGGAACAGGATCAAAATATAACTTAATGATGAACAACTGTCCTTCAATTGAAACCAAAAAATCTCCTCCTGATGATGATAAATTTCCTCTTATCTCCATTAGGTCTGAAACAATCGGATTAATCGATTATTGAAATAATTGTCTACGAATTTAGTGATCAATTTATCTTTAACTGGAGAATAGACTAAAACTTGCCTTTAGCTAAGAGAAAGACCCAATAAGAGCAGTAATTATACCAAGATTGTAAAAAAAAATATGTAAACATTATGCATTTAAGATAAATACTACTTTTCAAGTGGAAACATTTTAGTTTCACCTGGATTACTTTCACAGATAATCTTCTTTAAAGAAGCTTTGGCTATCCGATTAATCCATTAATCAAAAAAATAAACAGTAGAATAATCGATTTGCAAAATAATCGTTAGCTGCAGCCCTAATCTCCATATTATTAACGGTTATGATTATTCCAGAAGTTTCTGTCCCTCATTTCCTCCTCTGGTTAGGTGGTCAGCCAATCGGCTCTCACCTTTTCCTCCACCTAACGATTTCTGTGTGTGTGTGTATATATATATATATATATATATATATATATATATATATATATATATACATACACACAATATTGATATAATTAATCCTATAATTGGGTCCCTAATTAAGCTAAACTCTTATTTTAGTCTCGAACACTAAATTAGTTGACAGTTATTTCAACGATTGATTAATCTGATTAATCCTATTAATTGTTTCAGATAAAATCACATCTTATTTTTCTTGCTGATCATTTTATTCGCTCTCTGCTGATATCTTAACCTTGTCAAATAAAAAAAAAGCCTGAAAAGTAGCAAACTGAATTTTGCTCATCGACATTTGACACAAAATAAAGTTTCTGTATTTCGATTTCAAAGTTCTATTTACAAACGAAAATCCTTGTTTGATGTTTTTCAAAACAGCTTCTAAAAGATCTGATCTGATGGCTGGAGGGACTTTAGGTAGAACTTTGATTTACTGAAAGAAAAGTACAATTGGAAATCTTAAAATGTGAGAAAATAAAGCACTTTCCATAGACTGACGTCAATAAGAGACACTTTTAGTGCCAAGAACCACCATAAAAACCATAATACCACTAAACCTAAGAAAAGCCTGTTTATAGTTGGTTTAACCGCATATCCGGTTCTTACCGCAGATCTACCGAGTGCCTTAATAAGCCCCAAAAATCTACCCGGATCATTAAACATATCAAAATAGACATTCGCCTTATTTGAATCATTTTAAATCTTAAATAAATCGATAAAAACGTCTGTTTAAACTCACAGCGGCTCTCCGCAGCTGAGGCCGACATGTTGTTCCGGTTCTTTGTCTCCCAGCAGTTTAATAACCGCCTTCTGATGCTCCCAGGGAAGAAAATTGGATATAAATGTTTTATTTTTAATGTCAAAATCACATGAATAAATTACAGAGTTATCGCTGAGAGGCAGCCTGCGCGCTGGTTCAAGCTACTTCCTGTTTTAGGTTTGAAAGCTCCCGCCGCTCTCTGATTGGCTCAATCTTCTTCTTCTTCAATTGTTTTTAATGGCGGTTGGCAAACAACATTTTGGCGCATTACCGCCACCAACCAGTAAGGAGTGTGGACCAAGACTAACATGCTCAATAAATAAATACATAAATAAATGAATAAATATTTTAATTAATTAATTAGAATAAAAAAATAATAATTTCCATAATAATAGACCAAGACTAACAAGCTCAATAAATAAATAAATTAATTAATGAAAATTAAAAAAATAATAATTTCCTTTTCAATACTCTTCTTCCCAAGCCAGTGACCCACAGAAATGTATAACTCATGTCAAAATAAACTTTTTTTTAAACGTTTACAATGTTTAATTGTTCCTTTTCCTGTTTAACACCTCAACAATTCCATTCTTTGTTTGTAATATTTCCTACAATTATAAATATAACATGTTCTATTGTCTCACTTTTTCCACAGAAATCACATCTTCCTGTTTCATGTTTTCCCATTATAAGTAATATTGAGGTAAGTCCTGTTTTCCCCAACATTAATCTAGTTATTATCCTTTCCTGAATTCTGTTTCTTCCAATACTTCTTCTAATTTCTCCAGCCTTCCCTTGTATTCTATAAAATCATCTTCAACTAATATCTTCTTCCCACATTTTTTGCCATTTGTAATTAATTTTCTTCCTGATTGTGCTCTTAATTTCTGCTTTAATAATTGCAAATCTAATATCAATTTCACTCCTGTTTGTAGATTCTTTTGCTTTTTTTATCAGCCATTTCATTTCCCTTTAGCCCTATATGTGCAGGAAACCCAAGAAAAACTACCATTAATCTCATCATCTGAATGCGATAAAGTATTTGTTGAATTTCTAACAATATATCAGGAGACTTTCTGACTGATTTCTTTGCACTGCAAAAGCCATCTAGAATTAAGTAAAAAAAATCTCAGATTTCGTTTTTTTGCCCTTAATTTGAGTAGATAAATAAGAGGATTTTCCAATGGAATTAGTATTTTTACTCATAGAACAAGATACTTAGATAATATGCACTTGAAATAAGACAAAGCTTTTTTTTTTTTTCTTATTTTAAACGTAAATTGTCTCGTGCTATTGGCAAAGTATCTCAATTACCTCCTCAATTCAAGACAAAAATGCACTTAATTTAAGCAAAAATGACTCATTTAGATTTCCATTTTTTGCAGTGGACTGATTAATGATGAACTAGAATCTGAGCAAATCCCAGCTCTTAATGGTTTGATCTCCTCCATCCGTTCTACTGCTAACATCAGTGCTATCATTTCTGCAGTATACATAGAGAGGCCTTTATTTATTTTCTCCCTATTTTGATTTTGAATTCTGGAACTACCACTGCTACCCCTGTTTGACCAGATGAATTCTGGGATGCATCTTTATAAATTTTAACATAGTTATAAAAATGATGTATATATTCCTGTACTGTTATTGCAGTGCATATAAACGTTTTATCTTTATGTTTTTTCTAGTATAGTTAGATCTACAAAAGCATCAGGTAAAATCCAGGGTGGTTATCTAGCTAATGGAACAATTGGTATGTTCCATTAGCTGTTCCTCTATGAGGTTCTGATCTAGACCTCTGAGGTTCTGATCCAGACCTCTGAGGTTCTGATCCAGTCCTCTATGAGGTTCTGATCTAGACCTCTGAGGTTCTGATCCAGACCTCTGAGGTTCTGATCCAGTCCTCTATGAGGTTCTGATCTAGACCTCTGAGGTTCTGATCCAGTCCTCTATGAGGTTCTGATCCAGACCTCTGAGGTTCTGATCCAGTCCTCTATGAGGTTCTGATCCAGTCCTCTATGAGGTTCTGATCTAGACCTCTGAGGTTCTGATCCAGACCTCTGAGGTTCTGATCCAGTCCTCTATGAGGTTCTGATCTAGACCTCTGAGGTTCTGATCCAGACCTCTGAGGTTCTGATCCAGTCCTCTATGAGGTTCTGATCTAGACCTCTGAGGTTCTGATCCAGTCCTCTATGAGGTTCTGATCCAGACCTCTGAGGTTCTGATCCAGTCCTCTATGAGGTTCTGATCCAGTCCTCTATGAGGTTCTGATCTAGACCTCTGAGGTTCTGATCCAGACCTCTGAGGTTCTGATCCAGTCCTCTATGAGGTTCTGATCTAGACCTCTGAGGTTCTGATCCAGACCTCTGAGGTTCTGATCCAGTCCTCTATGAGGTTCTGATCTAGACCTCTGAGGTTCTGATCCAGACCTCTGAGGTTCTGATCCAGTCCTCTATGAGGTTCTGATCCAGTCCTCTATGAGGTTCTGATCTAGACCTCTGAGGTTCTGATCCAGACCTCTGAGGTTCTGATCCAGTCCTCTATGAGGTTCTGATCTAGACCTCTGAGGTTCTGATCCAGACCTCTGAGGTTCTGATCCAGTCCTCTATGAGGTTCTGATCCAGTCCTCTATGTGGTTCTGATCCAGTCCTCTATGAGGTTCTGATCCAGTCCTCTATGAGGTTCTGATCTAGACCTCTGAGGTTCTGATCCAGACCTCTGAGGTTCTGATCCAGTCCTCTATGAGGTTCTGATCCAGTCCTCTATGAGGTTCTGATCTAGACCTCTGAGGTTCTGATCCAGACCTCTGAGGTTCTGATCCAGTCCTCTATGAGGTTCTGATCTAGACCTCTGAGGTTCTGATCCAGACCTCTGAGGTTCTGATCCAGTCCTCTATGAGGTTCTGATCTAGACCTCTGAGGTTCTGATCCAGTCCTCTATGAGGTTCTGATCCAGACCTCTGAGGTTCTGATCCAGTCCTCTATGAGGTTCTGATCCAGTCCTCTATGAGGTTCTGATCTAGACCTCTGAGGTTCTGATGCAGACCTCTGAGGTTCTGATCCAGTCCTCTATGAGGTTCTGATCTAGACCTCTGAGGTTCTGATCCAGACCTCTGAGGTTCTGATCCAGTCCTCTATGAGGTTCTGATCTAGACCTCTGAGGTTCTGATCCAGACCTCTGAGGTTCTGATCCAGTCCTCTATGAGGTTCTGATCCAGTCCTCTATGAGGTTCTGATCTAGACCTCTGAGGTTCTGATCCAGACCTCTGAGGTTCTGATCCAGTCCTCTATGAGGTTCTGATCTAGACCTCTGAGGTTCTGATCCAGACCTCTGAGGTTCTGATCCAGTCCTCTATGTGGTTCTGATCCAGACCTCTATGAGGTTCTGATCCAGTCCTCTATGAGGTTCTGATCCAGTCCTCTATGAGGTTCTGATCTAGACCTCTGAGGTTCTGATCCAGACCTCTGAGGTTCTGATCCAGTCCTCTATGAGGTTCTGATCTAGACCTCTGAGGTTCTGATCCAGACCTCTGAGGTTCTGATCCAGTCCTCTATGAGGTTCTGATCCAGTCCTCTGAGGTTCTGATCCAGACCTCTGAGGTTCTGATCCAGTCCTCTATGAGGTTCTGATCCAGTCCTCTATGAGGTTCTGATCTAGACCTCTGAGGTTCTGATCCAGACCTCTGAGGTTCTGATCCAGTCCTCTATGAGGTTCTGATCTAGACCTCTGAGGTTCTGATCCAGACCTCTGAGGTTCTGATCCAGTCCTCTATGAGGTTCTGATCTAGACCTCTGAGGTTCTGATCCAGTCCTCTATGAGGTTCTGATCCAGACCTCTGAGGTTCTGATCCAGTCCTCTCTGAGGTTCTGATCCAGTCCTCTGAGGTTCTGATCCAGTCCTCTATGAGGTTCTGATCTAGACCTCTGAGGTTCTGATCCAGACCTCTGAGGTTCTGATCCAGTCCTCTATGAGGTTCTGATCTAGACCTCTGAGGTTCTGATCCAGACCTCTGAGGTTCTGATCCAGTCCTCTATGAGGTTCTGATCTAGACCTCTGAGGTTCTGATCCAGTCCTCTGAGGTTCTGATCCAGTCCTCTATGAGGTTCTGATCCAGACCTCTGAGGTTCTGATCCAGACCTCTGAGGTTCTGATCCAGTCCTCTATGAGGTTCTGATCCAGTCCTCTATGTGGTTCTGATCCAGACCTCTATGAGGTTCTGATCTAGACCTCTGAGGTTCTGATCCAGACCTCTGAGGCTCTGATCCAGTCCTCTATGAGGTCCCGATCCAGACCTCTATGAGGTTCTGATCTAGACCTCTGAGGTTCTGATCCAGTCCTCTATGAGGTTCTGATCCAGTCCTCTGAGGTTCTGATCCAGACCTCTGAGGTTCTGATCCAGTCCTCTATGAGGTTCTGATCCTCTGAGGTTCTGATCCAGACCTCTGAGGTTCTGATCCAGTCCTCTATGAGGTTCTGATCTAGACCTCTGAGGTTCTGATCCAGACCTCTGAGGTTCTGATCCAGTCCTCTATGAGGTTCTGATCTAGACCTCTGAGGTTCTGATCCAGACCTCTGAGGTTCTGATCCAGTCCTCTATGAGGTTCTGATCCAGTCCTCTATGTGGTTCTGATCCAGTCCTCTATGAGGTTCTGATCCAGTCCTCTGAGGTTCTGATCCAGACCTCTGAGGTTCTGATCCAGTCCTCTATGAGGTTCTGATCTAGACCTCTGAGGTTCTGATCCAGTCCTCTATGAGGTTCTGATCTAGACCTCTGAGGTTCTGATCCAGTCCTCTGAGGTTCTGATCCAGTCCTCTATGAGGTTCTGATCCTCTGAGGTTCTGATCCAGACCTCTGAGGTTCTGATCCAGTCCTCTATGAGGTTCTGATCTAGACCTCTGAGGTTCTGATCCACTGAGGTTCTGATCCAGTCCTCTATGAGGTTCTGATCTAGACCTCTGAGGTTCTGATCCAGTCCTCTCTGAGGTTCTGATCCAGACCTCTGAGGTTCTGATCCAGTCCTCTATGAGGTTCTGATCCAGTCCTCTATGAGGTTCTGATCCTCTGAGGTTCTGATGCTCTGAGGTTCTGATCCTCTGAGGTTCTGATCCACTGAGGTTCTGATCCTCTGAGGTTCTGATCCTCTGAGGTTCTGATCCACTGAGGTTCTGATCCTCTGAGGTTCTGATCCACTGAGGTTCTGATCCTCTGAGGTTCTGATCCTCTGAGGTTCTGATCCTCTGAGGTTCTGATCCTCTGAGGTTCTGATCCACTGAGGTTCTGATCCTCTGAGGTTCTGATCCACTGAGGTTCTGATGCTCTGAGGTTCTGATCCTCTGAGGTTCTGATGCTCTGAGGTTCTGATCCTCTGAGGTTCTGATCCTCTGAGGTTCTGATCCAGTCCTCTCTGAGGTTCTGATCCTCTGAGGTTCTGATGCTCTGAGGTTCTGATCCAGTCCTCTATGAGGTTCTGATCCAGTCCTCTATGAGGTTCTGATGCTCTGAGGTTCTGATCCAGACCTCTATGAGGTTCTGATCTAGACCTCTGAGGTTCTGATCCAGACCTCTGAGGTTCTGATCCAGTCCTCTATGAGGTTCTGATCCAGTCCTCTATGAGGTTCTGATCTAGACCTCTGAGGTTCTGATCCAGTCCTCTATGAGGTTCTGATCCAGTCCTCTATGAGGTTCTGATCTAGACCTCTGAGGTTCTGATCCTCTGAGGTTCTGATCCAGTCCTCTATGAGGTTCTGATCCTCTGAGGTTCTGATCCAGACCTCTGAGGTTCTGATCCACTGAGGTTCTGATCCAGTCCTCTATGAGGTTCTGATCCTCTGAGGTTCTGATCCAGACCTCTGAGGTTCTGATCCAGTCCTCTATGAGGTTCTGATCTAGACCTCTGAGGTTCTGATCCAGACCTCTGAGGTTCTGATCCAGTCCTCTATGAGGTTTTGATCTAGACCTCTGAGGTTCTGATCCAGTCCTCTGAGGTTCTGATCCAGTCCTCTATGAGGTTCTGATCTAGACCTCTGAGGTTCTGATCCAGACCTCTGAGGTTCTGATCCAGTCCTCTATGAGGTTCTGATCCAGTCCTCTATGAGGTTCTGATCCAGTCCTCTATGTGGTTCTGATCCAGACCTCTATGAGGTTCTGATCTAGACCTCTGAGGTTCTGATCCAGACCTCTGAGGCTCTGATACAGTCCTCTATGAGGTCCCGATCCAGTCCTCTATGAGGTTCTGATCTAGACCTCTGAGGTTCTGATCCAGTCCTCTATGAGGTTCTGATCCAGTCCTCTGAGGTTCTGATCCAGACCTCTGAGGTTCTGATCCAGTCCTCTATGAGGTTCTGATCTAGACCTCTGAGGTTCTGATCCAGTCCTCTATGAGGTTCTGATCTAGACCTCTGAGGTTCTGATCCAGTCCTCTGAGGTTCTGATCCAGTCCTCTATGAGGTTCTGATCTAGACATCTGAGGTTCTGATCCAGACCTCTGAGGTTCTGATCCAGTCCTCTATGAGGTTCTGATCTAGACCTCTGAGGTTCTGATCCAGTCCTCTGAGGTTCTGATCCAGTCCTCTATGAGGTTCTGATCTAGACCTCTGAGGTTCTGATCCAGACCTCGGAGTTTCTGATCCAGTCCTCTATGAGGTTCTGATCCAGTCCTCTATGAGGTTCTGATCCAGTCCTCTATGTGGTTCTGATCCAGACCTCTATGAGGTTCTGATCTAGACCTCTGAGGTTCTGATCCAGACCTCTGAGGTTCTGATCCAGTCCTCTATGAGGTTCTGATCTAGACCTCTGAGGTTCTGATCCAGTCCTCTATGAGGTTCTGATCCAGTCCTCTGAGGTTCTGATCCAGTCCTCTATGAGGTTCTGATCTAGACCTCTGAGGTTCTGATCCAGTCCTCTATGAGGTTCTGATCTAGACCTCTGAGGTTCTGATCCAGTCCTCTGAGGTTCTGATCCAGTCCTCTATGAGGTTCTGATCTAGACCTCTGAGGTTCTGATCCAGACCTCTGAGGTTCTGATCCAGTCCTCTATGAGGTTCTGATCCAGTCCTCTATGTGGTTCTGATCCAGACCTCTATGAGGTTCTGATCTAGACCTCTGAGGTTCTGATCCAGACCTCTGAGGCTCTGATCCAGTCCTCTATGAGGTCCCGATCCAGTCCTCTATGAGGTTCTGATCTAGACCTCTGAGGTTCTGATCCAGACCTCTGAGGTTCTGATCCAGTCCTCTACGAGGTTCTGATCTAGACCTCTGAGGTTCTGATCCAGACCTCTGAGGTTCTGATCCAGTCCTCTATGAGGTTCTGATCCAGTCCTCTATGAGGTTCTGATCCAGTCCTCTATGTGGTTCTGATCCAGACCTCTATGAGGTTCTGATCTAGACCTCTGAGGTTCTGATCCAGACCTCTGAGGCTCTGATCCAGTCCTCTAGGAGGTCCCGATCCAGTCCTCTATGAGGTTCTGATCCAGACCTCTATGAGGTTCTGATCCAGTCCTCTATGAGGTTCTGATCTAGACCTCTGAGGTTCTGATCCAGTCCTCTATGTGGTTCTGATCCAGACCTCTATGAGGTTCTGATCTAGACCTCTGAGGTTCTGATCTAGACCTCTGAGGTTCTGATCCAGTCCTCTATGTGGTTCTGATCCAGACCTCTATGAGGTTCTGATCTAGACCTCTGAGGTTCTGATCCAGACCTCTGAGGCTCTGATCCAGTCCTCTAGGAGGTCCCGATCCAGTCCTCTATGAGGTTCTGATCCAGACCTCTATGAGGTTCTGATCCAGTCCTCTATGTGGTTCTGATCCAGACCTCTATGAGGTTCTGATCTAGACCTCTGAGGTTCTGATCCAGTCCTCTATGTGGTTCTGATCCAGACCTCTATGAGGTTCTGATCTAGACCTCTGAGGTTCTGATCCAGACCTCTGTGGCTCTGATCCAGTCCTCTATGAGGTTCTGATCTAGACCTCTGAGGTTCTGATCCAGACCTCTATGAGGTTCTGATGCAGACCTCTATGAGGTTCTGATCTAGACCTCTGAGGTTCTGATCCAGACCTCTGAGGTTCTGATCCAGTCCTCTATGAGGTTCTGATCCAGTCCTCTATGAGGTTCTGATCTAGACCTCTGAGGTTCTGATCCAGACCTCTGAGGTTCTGATCCAGTCCTCTATGAGGTTCTGATCTAGACCTCTGAGGTTCTGATCCAGACCTCTGAGGTTCTGATCCAGTCCTCTATGAGGTTCTGATCCAGTCCTCTATGAGGTCCCGATCCAGTCCTCTATGAGGTTCTGATCTAGACCTCTGAGGTTCTGATCCAGTCCTCTATGAGGTTCTGATCCAGTCCTCTGAGGTTCTGATCCAGACCTCTGAGGTTCTGATCCAGTCCTCTATGAGGTTCTGATCTAGACCTCTGAGGTTCTGATCCAGTCCTCTGAGGTTCTGATCCAGTCCTCTATGAGGTTCTGATCTAGACCTCTGAGGTTCTGATCCAGACCTCTGAGGTTCTGATCCAGTCCTCTATGAGGTTCTGATCTAGACCTCTGAGGTTCTGATCCAGACCTCTGAGGTTCTGATCCAGTCCCCTATGAGGTCCTGATCCAGTCCTCTCTGAGGTTCTGATCCAGTCCCCTATGAGGTCCTGATCCAGTCCCCTATGAGGTCCTGATCCAGTCCTCTATGAGGTCCTGATCCAGTCCCCTATGAGGTCCTGATCCAGTCCCCTATGAGGTCCTGATCCAGTCCCCTATGAGGTCCTGATCCAGTCCTCTATGAGGTCCTGATCCAGTCCCCTATGAGGTTCTGATCCAGTCCTCTCTGAGGTTCTGATCCAGACCTCTCTGAGGTCCTGATCCAGTCCTCTCTGAGGTTCTGATCCAGACCTCTCTGAGGTTCTGATCCAGTCCTCTGAGGTTCTGATCCAGATCTCAGCAGCACTGTGTTCTGGGCTGTTTTCAGCCTGAGCTCAGATCCTGATTCAGGCTGACAGTCTGGAGGCTCCTTCCTGCTTCCTGTTCGGGACCCAGATGGTTTCTGATGTTTAATTAATTCACAGCCGACGGTGCTGAAGGTGCTGATGCAGCTGCTGCTGCGCTGCTGCACGTCATACTGCAGGAAGGAGGAGGAGGACGGATTTAGACTTCATCAATAACTCTTGACTGCTTCCCCCCTGCCTGCTGATGTCAGACTAAACGAGTTCATGAAGTTTTTTAATTTGTTTTAATGTCAGATTTGGACCAAGCAGAAAAACAGCAGATCAGATCTGAATATGCTGTAAAACAAACAGGAGGAGAAATCCAGCATTTCTGAACCTGGAGAGGAGAAACACACACACACACACACACACACACACACACACACACACACACACACACACACACACACACACACACACACACACACACACACACACACACACCAGGCAGGCAGTGAGGCTCCGCCCCCTTGCTGCAGTCTCCAGGTCTCTCTCCAGTTTTCCTCCTCAGTGTTTCAGATGGGCTGCCGCTGCTGTTGATGGTTATCCAGACCGGTTCTGGTCCCAGGTGGGGTTTTCTGCGTGTTGAAGTTCTGAGAGAACATGAGGAGGAGAGGAGGAGAACACAGGAGTGTGGCCTGTGGAGGAGGAGGACCGGTTCAGAGCTGCTGAGAAGGTAAAAACACCAACTCTTCACAATAAAAGCTCAGTATCTTCATCATCACCACACTGATGGAATTCTGCAGGCGGAGAATCGGTGGTTCTACTGACCGGCCGCACAGAATCAGTTGCTTTAGATTCTGTGTTTCCTCTCTGATGTTTCAGCACTTTATTAATTGGATCTGAGCATCAGCAGAACTTGGAACAAACTGATGGTGATTGATCCCTTAGAACCCGATGCATGGGCGGTTCTAGACAGGTACTGAAGACATAATACTCAAAGAATTCTAATGATGATCTGTGCTGGAACAGACATGGCTACTTATAGCTCCTTTGGATCTAGTTCCTTTTTTTTTCCTTCACAAATTCTGTTTTACTAATTATTGAAAAACAATAAGGTGATAGCTTCAGTGGTATTGAGATACGATCCCAGTTTCCGTCTGCTAAGTGTTTTTTTTTTTCAAAAAAAAAAAAAAAAGCTGAATTGAATTGAAGCTGAATGTATCAGTTTTTCTTGCTTTCTAAATCAGATTTCAAAGAAAACTGTAATTTTAACTTAAATTAAGTGAAAAATATATAAACTTCCTAACTTATGAATGTTTATTGACCTAATAAGACACATCATTTTAAAGTTGTAGGGAAGTCATATTTAAATGTCAAATCATTCTGGCTTAAACATGCGTGTAAATGTGCTCTTTATCAGACTATTGTCACAAAAATTAGAAAAAGTTCTATTTTAAAAAAATCCTTTCTTAAAATCTGTGTTTTTTTCATTATCTTCTGCAGGCCAGTTAGTTCTACGTCAGCCTGAACGCCTAAATTCAGCCAATCATATATCAACGGTCATCTGTCAATCAAATGTTTTCAGTCATAGCATCTTGATTCATGTGTCGCAGCTAATATACGCAACGGTTGAAATCAGAATCCTTTCCTTTCCCATTGAGTTGCGTCCCAGTGTTCACGGGGATGGACGTCTGTGTCTTCGGCAGGCGTAGAGCTAACAGAAAGCCAAACCAAGCTTCTGCCGCCCTGGCGTCCTCTTCCACAACATCTTCGTCCCCGCTTTCCTCCTCTAAATAAAAAATGGATGACAGAGGAGACTCATCCACGACCTCCGACACTAAACTCTCCTCCTCTTGCATGTTTCCGCTGTCCATAGCGTTCCTTGACAGCGTCGTTTCTAAGTCACCAATTTAGTGCTACTTGGTCCCAATGGAATTTACCATTGGGAACCTACTAGCACTAAGTTGCTAACCGGTTAGCAAGACAAACCGGCCACAACCAAACTTGCTTGCAAACCTTCCACCACAACAATCCCGCCACTTTGATTATCGACCAATCACATTCACTTTATTAACTCATGTAAAGTCGGGCACCAATAGGGAGAATTCGGAAATATAACGGTTGGAACCGCCGCTTCACTACGACTTTATTTAAACCTAATTGAATAGAAATATCACTTCATGCAGCTATATTAATGTATTTGAACACTGTAAAAAATGTAAATCTTAATAAGTCTTTCTTTCTAAAAAAATAAGTGATTTTTTTCTTGAATTGAGGAGGTAAGTGAGACACTTTGCCAATGGAACAAGATAATTTACGTTTAAAATAAGAAAAAACAATTGCATTGTCTTATTTCAAGTGAATTTTACCTAATTGTCTTATTTAAAGAGTAATAATACTCATTCCATTGGCAAATCCTCTTACATACCTACTCAAATTAAGGGTAAAGACACTTAATTTAAGACATTTTTACTTATTTCTAGATTCTTTTTGCAGTGAATCCCTTCCTCTGTTTTTTATTTCATGCTTTTCTGTGCCCCCATGAAGATAAAAATATCCGTTAATTTGGAGTAGAAACTTCAGATGTGTGAAGGGAGTTGTGATTCTGGAAGACATGGGTTTAGATGTTTAGATCCAGTTTACAGAGCCAATAAGCCTCAGTTTGCTTAAAGTTCTTTTCAGAGACATTAAGACGGCATCAGAACCAGATTTAAATTTCCAAACTGAACAAAAACCCAAAAATCCTCTAACAGAACCATTCTTTTAGATTCTGGCTCAACAGATTGGCCAGTCCCCATCATGTCTCCATCATTTCTGTCATGTCTTTATGATGTCTCAGTCACGCCATCATCATGTCCCCATCATGTCTTTATTATGTCTTCATTACGTCTCCATCTTAACCCTGAACCCCACATCCTTCATGTGTTGGCATCCTTATCAACCTGTCCTGAAGTGACAAAGCCAGTGAGATAAGGGGGCGGAGCTAGGGGCTCTGCAGTAATGGAGGTACAGGTTGCTACGGTGACATCATGAACACAGAGCCTGCAGCTAAATATAGTATCTGGCTGCTGTGTGCTGAAACCTGAGTGCTGTGTTTGAGTTCTGATCTGATTCTGGAAACAGAACAACATTAGTCCCAGTTCAAACCGGTTCCAGAGCAGCGTCAGAACCCTGAGCAGGAAATGAACCCCATTACACAGGATGAAGATGTGGGACCCCGATGTCCAGACCCGGCTTCATCACAGAAGGTGTCCTCTTCTCAGGCTGCTTTGGGATGTTTGATGGTTTAAAATCTGTCTCAGAGGAAGATCCAGGTTCTGATCCAGTAGATGACCTCTCCTCAGAAGGCCTGAGTGTGTTTCCATGGAAACCTCCCAGGTCGTCTGCAGTCTGGGAGCCTTAAATAAAACTATCTGTGATGAGACAGGAAGTGGACAAAAGGCTGTGATGGATCTTAGGCTGCAGATAAGCCCACCGGGGGACAGGTGGCCTAAAGCATCCAATCAGAGCGCAGCAGGTGATTCTGCCTCCATCAGACAAGAAGAAGAGATCAGAGCTGCAGCAGGCGGTCCAGAACCCCAGAACAGCCTGGTTCTGAGGTTCTAAAAGGTACCGGCTCAAACTGAACCAGTCTCTTTTTCTTTCCTTACAGGATGTCTGAAACGATGTCATCTCTGCCCCCCCCCAGCAGCTCTGCACCCCCGACTCCTCTCAACATCTCCCAGTACCCCCCTCTCACAAACTGGGAGCCACCCACTTTCACCCGTGCGGCTCAGTTCCGAGTCGGCGCCACTTTCCTCCTCTTCCTGTTCGCCGCCTGCAGTAACCTGGCACTGCTGACCAGCGTTTGGTGCGGCCGGGGCAGGCGGCTGTCTTCTCACCTGCGCCCGCTGATGCTGAGCCTGGCGTCGGCCGACCTGATGATGACATTCGTGGTGATGCCTCTGGACGCGGTGTGGAACATCACGGTGCAGTGGTACGGAGGCGACATTCTCTGCAAGGTGCTCTGCTTCCTGAAGCTATTCGCCATGCATGCCTCCGCCTTCATCCTGGTCGTCATCAGCCTCGACCGCCACCACGCCATCCTGCACCCCTTGGACGCTCTGAGCGCGCACCACAGGAACCGATGCATGCTCCTCTTTGCCTGGATTCTAAGCCTGCTGCTTGCATCACCACAGGTAGGCGGTTCCTACAGAACAACTGGTGCTTCTAAGGTGGTGAAACCTTCTAACTGGCTTTTTGAAAGGACAGGGAATATTTTTACCAATAAGAGTCAGTTTAGTTTCAGGAGCCAATCTACGTTTAAAAGTATAGTGGAGGATTTTTTTCATTTTTTTAAGACTCACCCTCTGCACTTTAAATAATAATAGACATGCACAACCCTGCACTCGCACCAGTGAGGGAACGCCTCTTAAACACGTGCAAGAGCATACACCACCACATTTCTTCTCGTGCACGCTCTGTTTGAAAGTTGCTGTTCTCATATCTCATATGTTTGCTGCGTCCGAATGTTCGCCCTAACCCCTAAATTCCTCCATCACTATATAGAGCGGGGACTATGTAGTGAACTTTAAAATGAACTAAGTTAACTGACCGTCGGTCACGTAACTCCTCCTGCACTGCGTGGTGCATGCGCCGTCTTTGTTATTAGTCGTCGCTTCCGAGTAGCGGCGGCTTATAGGGCAGATTATTCTTCTGTTACCGCACACATCAAATGTCGCTTGGATCTGGTCGCGAACCAGTTTTGCTGGTATGCTTCTGCACCGTCGGTCTGGAATTTCTTGGGACGCACACTTGTTTCCCGAGAACTGCGGCGGCGCCGGCGCGGGAGTGTTTATCTTCCAAAACAACAATGGCGCATCTGCAAGGTATCACGGTCACGGAGATGGATCTAGAGTTGCTAGACATCCAACAGGATATATTTATTTATATAATTTGTCTGAGGCATCGTACAAGTTCCGCACCTCCTCGATGAACCTTTCGACGTAGTTGTCCGTTGTTCCTCGGTTTTTAAAAATGGCGCGCCCCGCCACCGGATCGTGAAAGACGACCACAGAGACAGCCGGAAAGGCATACCAAAGACCAATAACAGCTGCCTTTTGTCTGCGCACTTCCGCTTGAGGTCTGCGCAGGTTTGCGACCGTCCGTCGCGTAGTCAGGTTTTTTTTGGAGGTTCGCGACGACGGTCGCAGAACCTCTGCATGGGGGGCGTGGTCACGCACAGAGACAGATTTGACAGTTGCAGAGACTATGCGTCACAGCGGGCCCCTGTGAGAGCAAATCCCATAATGCCTTGCGAAGAGAACTCTCCCCGCAAAGCATTGTGGGATATATCTGCCTCCTCTGAGGCTTTTCTTTTTGTCACTATCTGATCCATCCCTGAAGCACGATCCATCCTGCGCATTCGCGAACAGAATAATAAGATCCGGGTCGCCAAAAACTATTTAACTATACTCAAAAAATACTTATTTATATACTTAAAACATTAAAGAATGCTAAACTACATCGCATAGAAAATATTGCAGACTTTTCTGGAAGTTGTATTGCATAATCACGTCCATCATCAGCTATTTTTTTGTTTTTAGAAAAGGAACCCCACGCCTGAAAAAGACAAAAGAATTTAAAAAGTAGGCAAAACGAAGTTATTCCTTTTGTCTTACAACCCTCGGCCATTTTCTAAGAACCGCAGTGAGAAAGGTGAGCTTCAATGACTGTCTGAAACCGTAGCTCACCACAGATATACGCCTGAATGTCCGAATGCACAGGAAAATATAGCTAACAGGACGAGCAGGTAGGACGGCCTTACGTAAACATATCACTAGAATGATTGACATTTAGGAGAACCACTTATTGAGATGATCCAGATGATCCAGAAATAAAATCCTCCTCTTTAATGTCCTACTAAGCTCCTCTTGCAGCCTCTCAGTCTCACCTGGTCATTAACTGATCTAATTAGAGCTGAGAGCGTATAGAGAGAAATTTGTTCCGATATTTGTGAAAGTGAAGAAAATGTGTTTAAAAACATGGAACACTGAAAAACTTGAAAAAAACGATTTTAAAGAGTAATTTATCATGTGTATACAAATGTTCAACCAATATTTCTACAGTTTTCTATCTTAATTTTTCTATTTTTTCAAATTTAAACTTTTCAGATTTTTTTCCCCAGTTCTTTTAGATATAATTTTTTTTCTTCTGGAGATTGTTTTTTATGCTTGGCATTCTTCTCAAATCCTGTAGATTTTACGCTTTACTTTTCTGGGTGGTCTGTGTGCGGACCAATAGAAACGCTGCTGCATCGGAAAATCTAGAGGGTAAAATATGAAAAATTAGATTTTAATACAGCGTCATTCATAAAACTCAATCTCTATAAAAAAAAGTAGAACTAAAATCTTAAAGAATCTTTGAAAAAAATAGAATTTGAATAAAACATGAAAAAAAAACTAATCAGATAAAAAATTAAATAGAAAAAATACAGTCAGGAAAAAATTTTCTCTAAAAAAATTGGATTGGAAAAATAGAAAATAGAATTCTTAAAAATAAACATTTGGAAATAAATAAATTGTGCAAAAAAATACATAAACTCAATAAACTCAGTCTCTAAAAAAAAAGTAGAACTAAAATCTTAAAAAATCTTTGAAAAAAATAGAATTTGAATAAAACATGAAAAAAAAACTAATCAGAAAAAAAATTTAATAGAAAAAAATACAGTTGGGAAAAAAATGTTTTCTAAAAAAAAAAACACAAAAAAATTGAATTGGAAAAATAGAAAATAGAATCCTTAAAAATAAACATTTGGAAATAAATAAATTGTGGAAAAAAATACATAAACTCAATAAACTCAGTCTCTAAAAAAAAAGTAGAACTAAAATCTTAAAAAATGTTTGAAAAAAATAGAATTTGAATAAAACATGAAAAAAAAAAAACTAATCAGAAAAAAAATTAAATAGAAAAAAATACAGTTGGGGAAAAAAATGTTTTGTAAAAAAAAAACACAAAAAAATTGAATTGGAAAAATAGAAAATAGAATCCTTAAAAATAAACATTTGGAAATAAATAAATTGTGGAAAAAAATACATAAACTCAATAAACTCAGTCTCTAAAAAAAAAAAGTAGAACTAAAATCTTAAAAAATCTTTGAAAAAAATAGAATTTGAATAAAACATGAAAAAAAAACTAATCAGAAAAAAAATTAAATAGAAAAAATACAGTCTAGAAAAAATGTTTTCTAAAAAAAAACACAAAAAAATTGAATTAGAAAAATAGAAAATAGAATCCTTAAAAATAAACATTTGGAAATAAAAAATATTGGTTGAACTTTTGCATACGCATTATAATAAATATTATTTGAAACGTATACATTTCCGGTATAAATTTCTCTCTATAAAGAAGGTCCAGGAGACAGGATGCTCACCGGCAGGCTGACTGATCTCTGCAGAAGAGAAACCAGCTCTGATCCTGCACCCTGAGTTTGTCTGATAGACGACGAAAAAGGTTGAAGGACGAGTTGAAGGTTAAGGCGAAGGGTGGGACATGTTGCCACGGCTACACATGAATATAATATGAGCCGGTCACGTGATCACGTTTCCTGTCAGAGATCCCTTCGAGGAACAGCAGCTACAGTCCCAGAGATCCTGCTGCTGGTCTCAGATCCAGTTAATCAAGGTGAAAGTTCCTGCAGTAAATCCTTGCAGGAATGTTCTCCTCTCAGATGGAGGATTAAGTCCAGGGCAACCTCCTGCTAATAGGTCCAGCCGGCTGCTCGGCTTGGTTTCTGTTAGAAAAGAGCCTGAAACAGAGGAGTTAGCAGTCAGGATGCAGACCCACCCCCCCACACTCTAACAAACACAGACTATGTTTCTCCTGCAGCTTTTCCTCTTCAGAAGCATCAGGATGGACTCAGCAAACTTCACTCAGTGTGTTTCTCACGGCAGCTTCAGCCACCGCTGGCAGGAAACGGTTTACAACATGTTTCACTTCATCACGCTGTATGTAATCCCTCTGCTGATGATGAGCTGCTGCTACTGCCGCATCCTGCTGCACATCAACCAGCAACACCTGCAGGACAAAGGTACCTGTAAGACACAATACACACCTGCAACCCTCCTGTCACTATGATGGAGCATTAGGGCCAGGCTAGAGAACATTACATTTTCTCCTATTTCGAGAATACAGTCATAGCAAGTCTCGTACTTATACGACTTTATTCTCGTAATAGAAGAAAAAAGAATCTCTAATACTAATACTCCGTCGTATGTTGTTGCACATCGTAAAACATTTGTTGCACAGTTGTAGGGTTGAAGCAGTTGGATTGATTTCTTATAAAGTCATAAATTCAATAAATCTACATCTTGAGCACGGCGGTGGAGATGGTAGCACTGTTGCCTGGCAACCCTTATATACTACATAAAAAGAGATGTAGGTTATTTTTTTTTTAATCAATCATAAAGGGGGAATATCAATGGTGTTAAAAATGTCAACGCTCTGGTCTGTGATAGAGCTGAGAAACGGCTTCTTCTCAGGGTTACGTTCCTTAGATTCAAAATAAATAAAAAAAAAATAATAAAAAAATAAAAAACGATTTAAGGGAGCAACATGGAGGTTCCAGATTTCCTTCTGGACGGGTAAATTAATTATTTCCAGATGCTAATTAGAATATCGCTGGCAAACAGTATGGAGCAGAATGAATCCATCTCCAGGCTCCGCATGGTCCCTTCAGACCAAAAACGTTTTGAGCATCAAAAAGTGCAAAAGTAAGACCCTCTGTGTGTTTGATGCTCTGGAGGACGCCCAGAGCATGACGCTCTGAGCGTAGAGCCGCTCTGTTCTTCTCACTTATGATTGAATTTAGTTAAATCATTTTTACTTACATCGTGCCAATTCACAACATGTTGTCTCAGCTCGACTCACACAGACAATTGAACCAGATAATAGAGTAAGATTGGTTAAATGTAAGGTAAGGTAAGGTAAGGTAAGGTAAGTCCTTGACTTGCAGGAAAATCTCCTGCTGGATGAGAAAATATCCAAATAATTCATGCAAGATTAGGTACCATTGAAATATAACAAACTAATGTAGAACATAAGGTTCAAATGCATCATTAGATCCAGGGAGGGATTTACCATTAGGCAATACAAGGCAGGTCTAGGGCCCAATAAAACTCTGTTTACATGTATAACTGATACAACTATTCCTTATTTGTGCACATTAATTATGTTTTTGTCCTTTCACTTAAATGACGCTGATAATATTAAGTGTGTCTCAGCCCCCCCTTCAGTGTCCACCATATTGGATCAGTCCATTTGCTGCACATGTTCAGAAAGGTCCAAACAGACAGCAGCAAACCATTTGAAAACAAACCATGCAAAGAGCAGTGTTGCCAACTTAGCGCTTTAGTCGCTATATTTAGCCACTTTTCAGACCCCTCTAGCACTTTGATTTCTAAAAAGCTCCTAGCGCCAAATCTAGAGACTTTTTTCTGCTACTGGAGACTTTGGAGACAACATCTAAAAGCAGCGAACTCTGCTCTCCAGAGCGAGTAGATTGGTAACCCCGCCTCCTGCTCTCCTCTATCTTGTCTGCTGTCATGATTCATGCAGCTATTATTTCATCCAAATGAAAAATGGAGAACAGATAAGCAGATCATGGCTTGTCTACAGTGAAAAGAAGGACTGGGTTATTTACTTTGGCCGTTTTGGAAACACAGGAAGGAGCAATCAGCTAAGTGAGCTTAGTGCTTGGAAAAAATCTTTCATTCCTTTAGAGACAGCATGAAAAGTCAGCTGAGTACAAAACATAGAGAGGAAAACAAGAAGAAAAGGGACAAGAAGAGAGGGACACAACCTAGAACAGATAATGGATGTCTATTCTATTAACATTGTGCATCATTTCATGGGCATTACGCTGCAGCGTTATGCATAAGTTAGGCTGTCATTGGACATAAATTCATTATGAATTCTCTATGCTCCCAAAATTGAAAAAAATACATAGAAAGTTCAGCGTTTTAGGAGATTCTGGGATGTCGGGCATACGCTGGATAAATCAGCAAGGTGTAACACGACCCTAAGGCTACAAACCTGACTACGAAACACCTTCACCAGAGATTGATTCCGCTTCCCTTTACCTCCAGTTTACAGTGCGTCCGGCGTCCCTCTCCTCCGGTCCGGTAAGTAGTGGTGGACGGATCGATCCAAAATATATCGATACCAAGTTGGTATCAGTATCGGATCAACGCTACTGTGGTGAGATCGAAACTTTAGTTTCAGATTCACTGTTGTTATAGAATGCAGCAGCCAGGTCACCGCCGCCGTACTCACTGCTCTTCGGCTCCCCCCTCCCACCCATGTTTATATCCGTTCAGCACACGGGGACAAGCCCCTTATTTTATAATTGTTCCATTTTTGTTTTTTGTTTTAGAAACCCTTAGAACAGGTAGACTCAATTCGTTTTAATTAATTTTTTTATAGCCTCAATCAACAACATGTCATCTTGTAGCACTTTACAGAGACGAAGCAACGAATCAACCAGTCAGATTAGACATGCAGCATGAAAACAAACAAGTCAGAAGTGCACTTGTTTGCAGTTTAGTAAATATATTTGCTTCCTCCACCCAGAATTTGACAACCTCACTCTGCAAAGTCCAGTGCTGCTTATTTTCCTAAACCTTTTATGATTTTTATTGCACGTGTTTATAAATTCTGCTGCGTGTGTTTTTGTCTGTGTGTTTGAGCATGTTTTCAAGCATCTTTGAGCATGTTTTTGACATTTTGTACCGCGATTTACGTGTTTTTCCACATTTTCTTTTCCTTTTCATTTCCTTTTTTTGTGTTATTTGAAGGAAAAGTCCGGTCAGCGAGGAATAATCAATGGATCGTTATCTATGCCTAAAACTAATACGTTTGCGTTGATTTAAGAAATTTAACGTTAAATCAGTAAAAAAAAAAATGACTGAGTCTGGGAGCGGCCATTTTTGCCCAAATATAGTAGCCCCTCCCTCCTGCCATCTTCCAGCAGTGACGTCACGGTGCGGTAAGCCTAGCGCCATTCTCCCCGCTTTACAAGCTAAATCAATGGGAACTACTAGACACATCTGCAATCAACAACAATTATTGAAGATTTCCAGAGGACTTCACCATTGAAATTCACCAGAGCTATAGTGAAATTGACAATGCCCACGTGCATGGCAGCTGGATGCTGGAATACATCGGGTAAAAGGGAAAAATAAAGAGTTATTCCACCTTTCTGATTCCTGATCCTCCACGGACGGGTTGGTTGTTGGATCGCCAACTTGAAGAGGGAGGATTTGCCATCGAACTTCTGGCCAGAGAAAAAACCCGTAATATGTAGCCAACATTTGGAAGAAGAATGTTTTCAAGATGACTTGGATAATAGCGCGTTGTGACAATTGTTGTGTAATAATTTCATATTTAAAGTACTTTCAGAAGTTTGTATTCTGAATGTAACCAGACTTTTCCTTTAATTAGGGTTGCCACATTTTAAAAATAAAAAAGAGGGACACTCCTTGCTCGAGTTATCCAAACTATCTAAAATCCTTCATTAGCAATGGACAGTTTGTTGGTGCATATAAACTATTAACCAACCAAAGGCTAAATTATAGTAAACCGCCATATGTATGATTTGAATACTATAGTGAGATGCTGTATGATGTACCACATGGCAGTAGGTTTGCCCCTAATGTTGGTTTGTTTGTGTGCAATAAAAAGCTTTTAAACTATTTACTTACTACTAAATAATATATTTGTTTAATGCTGAAGCAGGAGCTCTATCAGATCTAAAGAACAAGCAGGAAGCTGATCTGCATTCTCTATGACGTCAAACTTTGTTTATAACTCTTTTCTTTTTTTTAAATCATCCTTTATACTGATTATTTAAAAAAATATATAAAATACACAGGCAGTTTGTGAGCAGGATTTACATTTTAAATAGACATTCATATCAGATAATACAAAATATTAAAGGAACTAGAGGCAGGAGGAGGAAATGAGTCACGACTGAAACTGCAGGTGACTGCAGCCAAGCTGGCACAGCAGAAACGCCTCACAGACGGGGTGCGTTCACAGTACTGCACTGGTGATGCTGCAGCTCTGTTCACTACAACACCAATGCACATATTTTCGGAAAGACGAGCACCATGTCTGTCAGGGTTTGGTTGAGGTTTGAGGACCCAAATGCAGACGCAGAGAGGCTGAGGAGATTTCTTGCAGTTTAATGGGGAAAAAACGGTAAACAAAGGCAGGAATCCAAAAAAAACCAACTAATAATGTAAACCAACCAGAACCATGGAGACATCAGGGGAAAATAATCACGAGGAGCCAGGGAGAGACGAGGTAGGAAGAAAACAGCATTGAGAACCAGCAACGACAAGGAATCAACCAAGAGTGACAGCAGAGGGAGAGTATAAATAGCTGACTGAGACAAAGGCAGGGCTAACGAGCGGATAAGGAGCAGGTGTGAGCGGTTACGGAGCAGGTGTGAGCGGATAAGGAGCAGGTGTGAGCGGATAAGGAGCAGGTGTGAGCGGGTAAGGAGCAGGTGTGAGCGGATAAGGAGCAGGTGTGAGCGGTTACGGAGCAGGTGTGAGCGGATAAGGAGCAGGTGTGAGCGGTTACGGAGCAGGTGTGAGCGGATAAGGAGCAGGTGTGAGCGGTTACGGAGCAGGTGTGAGCGGATAAGGAGCAGGTGTGAGCGGTTACGGAGCAGGTGTGAGCGGATAAGGAGCAGATGTGAGCGGATAAGGAGCAGGTGTGAGCGGATAAGGAGCAGGTGTGAGCGGGTAAGGAGCAGGTGTGAGCGGATAAGGAGCAGGTGTGAGCGGTTACGGAGCAGGTGTGAGCGGATAAGGAGCAGGTGTGAGCGGTTACGGAGCAGGTGTGAGCGGATAAGGAGCAGATGTGAGCGGATAAGGAGCAGGTGTGAGCGGATAAGGAGCAGGTGTGAGCGGGTAAGGAGCAGGTGTGAGCGGATAAGGAGCAGGTGTGAGCGGTTACGGAGCAGGTTGTGAGTGGATAAGGAGCAGGTGTGAGCGGTTACGGAGCAGGTGTGAGCGGATAAGGAGCAGGTGTGAGCGGATAAGGAGCAGGTGTGAGCGGATAAGGAGCAGGTGTGAGCGGATAAGGAGCAGGTGTGAGCGGATAAGGAGCAGGTGTGAGCGGATAAGGAGCAGGTGTGTGAGCGGATAAGGAGCAGGTGTGAGCGGATAAGGAGCAGGTGTGAGCGGGTAAGGAGCAGGTGTGAGCGGATAAGGAGCAGGTGTGAGCGGATAAGGAGCAGGTGTGAGCGGATAAGGAGCAGGTGTGAGCGGATAAGGAGCAGGTGTGAGCGGATAAGGAGCAGGTGTGAGCGGATAAGGAGCAGGTTGTGAGCGGTTACGGAGCAGGTGTGAGCGGATAAGGAGCAGGTGTGAGCGGGTTACGGAGCAGGTGTGAGCGGATAAGGAGCAGGTGTGAGCGGATAAGGAGCAGGTGAGCGGGTAAGGAGCAAGGTGTGAGCGGATAAGGAGCAGGTGTGAGCGGGTAAGGAGCAGGTGTGAGCGGATAAGGAGCAGGTGTGAGCGGTTACGGAGCAGGTGTGAGCGGATAAGGAGCAGGTGTGAGCGGTTACGGAGCAGGTGTGAGCGGATAAGGAGCAGATGTGAGCGGATAAGGAGCAGGTGTGAGCGGATAAGGAGCAGGTGTGAGCGGGTAAGGAGCAGGTGTGAGCGGATAAGGAGCAGGTGTGAGCGGTTACGGAGCAGGTTGTGAGTGGATAAGGAGCAGGTGTGAGCGGTTACGGAGCAGGTGTGAGCGGATAAGGAGCAGGTGTGAGCGGATAAGGAGCAGGTGTGAGCGGATAAGGAGCAGGTGTGAGCGGATAAGGAGCAGGTGTGAGCGGATAAGGAGCAGGTGTGAGCGGATAAGGAGCAGGTGTGAGCGGATAAGGAGCAGGTGTGAGCGGATAAGGAGCAGGTGTGAGCGGGTAAGGAGCAGGTGTGAGCGGATAAGGAGCAGGTGTGAGCGGTTACGGAGCAGGTGTGAGCGGAGACAATGAGGAAGCCAAGGGGTAGTGATGGTGAGATGAAGCCTCATGAGGCATTGAACCGTTTGACCAAATTGCTTCAACGATCCCCACAGTTCGAGGCTTCATGTGAACATGTCACCACCTACTGGTGGACTGCAGAACTACAGTTAGTATTAAAATCTGTGATGAGTTTTTTTAAGTTCCCTTGAAATTATTAATGGTTGGTGTGTATGATAAAAATTTTTGTAAGTTTTTTTTAAGTGTAAAATTTCTTAGAACAATCATTTAAGGTGCACTGTTTTTCTGCAATTTTAGTGAAATAAACTCAAGCAGACAGTGAAAGCGTTTCTGCAAATTGGGCCATGATGAGGAAAATGAAAGGTGTTAGTTGTTTTTATTCAAACATGATAGTTTTTCCACGTTTTTTGGTTTTAATCAGGTTGGAAGTTGTGTTCAACCAATCTTTTGACTAAACCGACCTAATTTACCCAATCTATATTTTTACTCAGGCAAAACAATGCAAATTAGTCTCATCAGCCAAAATAATTAAGTTTAATTGCAACTTTCAAAAGTCAAAGACAGGTCTTGAACCATCATCCTCTAGAGTGAGAACCTGTCTCATACAGATGACGCCACCTGTATAGATAACCATATTAGGGAGGAAAATACTAATTAATAGTGACGTGTTAACATTTACTTTTTCCGGTGGTTCCCTTAGATTTGATCATTACATTGTTTATTCTAACCAAATTAGTTTTAACCAACTAGATTGGTTGTTTTTCCAACACATGGTCACATGGTATCACCGTAGCGAGGCCTCGGACGTCATCAATTTTGGCCCCTCCCCTAAATGAATCACGCCTGGACACGCGCTTCGGGGAAACGCCCCCTCCATTACTCGACACACGCCTCGAAGCCTCGGCTCATCTCATAACATCACTACCAAAGGGAAAGGAACACACAAGAGGGCATAGAGGACGACAACGGAAAAACATGAGAACTAACATAGATCTAGAAACTACAACAAAATAGGAATTAAACCAACAAAATAGAAAACAAGGAGCAAAGTAAAGTACAACAGAACCAAGACCATGACAATGTCAGGCAATAAGGTGACTAATGTTTATTAAATCTAACGTTCATGATGCCTTCCATTTACTTTTTATTCCAGCCAAATGTAGTAAAGCAAAATCAACTGCTAACATTGAGACAATTACTGGGCTTTAGTTATGAAAACCTTTTGATTTAACATTAAACGCATACATAGCTTCACTGGATTTACCTGTTGTAGAATAAAACGTGAAAATATCTGAACACCCATAACACAAAAGGTGAAGCAATTTTAGCTGTTGTAAAATCCATAAGAGTTTTTTTGTCTGAACGTTGTGTTACTCACCTGCTTTTATTGCTTGGTCTGTGCTTGCTTTGTGGATCTCCCCTGGCCTTCGCACCGCAGCGGATTGGGGGGTTCATTTTGCACTTGGTGCATAAAATTCATCTGTGCGTTAGGTTATTATGTTCATCTTTTTGCACGTTTTTGGATGTATATTTAACCTGTGTTTTTTGGACAAGTGTGGGTCTTTTTATACAGGCTTGGTCTTCTCTATGTGCACTTTTTTCCCCATCTTTTTGTGACCTTTTTGCGCCAGCTGTCTGGTCTTGAAATAACCTGACTCCACCAGATTTGCTCCACATATCCATCTGGAAACCTTCCGTTGAAGTAATTTTGGAAAGGGGCGAAAATACTGGTTAGCTGATTGGCCTATGTTGGTGATAGACGGGCCAAATAAGCATATGACGTACTAACAGAGCGACTGTGAAAACACAACCACAAGCCAGGCTACTCTTGCCGAAACCAGTCGGGAGAAGAGCAAATACATCTTTTCCTCTGAGAAAAGCCTCCAGAGCAGTGTTCTGCTCTTCCTTCAGTGAAGAAATACTCTGTAATTCCGATAAAACTTGCTCGATAGCCACGCTAACGCTAGTTTCATCGGCTGAAGCCGCCATGTTCTTTAGACTGAACTGTCGCGCTTCTCGTTGCGTCACTCCTCAACCCGCCTCAAAGCCAACGCTGATTGGACGTTCGTTTGGGAACGGCTCCAAATTTTCTTCAACGGAGAGTCTCCAGACTGATCTGCGAGTGGAACCCTGAAAGCTCGCGAGATCAGGATGGTCTCACGAGGCTAGTCTTGAAAGCTCAAACGGTTTAATAAATCTGGTCCTGAGAGAGAAAGGGAGGGTCTCAGAGAACCTCTCAGCTCAGCCAGGTGGAACTGTGTGGACACCTGGTGTGGACCGGATGCGGGGTGGGTCACCTTATGGTTCCAGTGCCACTGCCTGAAACAAACCTCTGATACAACCTAACAAATTGCAGAACACTTGACATATGAACATATCCCAACAGAATATCCTGACGTAACTGTCCCTCTCTCAGCAGGTGAGTCACACCTGCGTCGCAGCGGCACCGACATCATCCCGAAGGCCCGGATGAAGACTCTAAAGATGACGGTGGTCATTGTGCTGTCCTTTGTTGTGTGCTGGACTCCTTACTACCTGCTGGGTATCTGGTACTGGTTCCAGCCCGACATGCTGCGAGTAACGCCGGAGTACGTTCACCACGCCCTGTTCGTGTTCGGGAACCTGAACACCTGTTGCGATCCAGTCATCTATGGCTTCTACACGCCATCTTTCCGAGCCGACCTGGCTGCCTTCTGTCGGCGGACGAAGAGCGATGCCTCGCCGCAGTCTATGGACCGACTATCTGCCAGGCAGAGTCCTCACAGCGGCGAGGAGGATGAGCAGCTCGGCCGCGCCCAAAAGGCACCGTCAGACGGATCAATGAAGGCGCAGAAGGGCACTGAATAACTTTTTCTTCATTTTTCTGCTTTCATGGTTTTTATTTCTTTGTGTTTGGAAGTTTTGACTCAATAAAAAACATCTATCTGATCCTTCTGATTGGTCCTTGAACTGAACCCCATTTAATCAGAGTTTAATTCATAGTGTCCCTGGGCTCTTAGGACTCTGATGTTTTATGATCTCCAGACAATAAATTTACAATGTTTGAAGTTGACTCCAGGGGTTCGTTTCATGAAGCAGGTTTACTGAAAAATCTACGTTTTCTAAACCTCAAATAAGGGAAACTCAGAGTTTTCCTTTTCCTAAAGAGAATTTACTCAACCTCCGCGTCTGTTACCATAGTAACATTCTCCTCAGAGCTAAACTGATCTGCAGGTTTTCTTCAGTAAACTCGAAGTGTCTCTGCTCTCCCTAAAGCCAATCACATCATTTTATTTCCTGATTTAGTTTGATTTTTGTCTTAGTTTTGGGCTTAGAAAAATAATTCACTAGGTCCATTAGACACATTAGAATTAATAAACAAACATTGCATGTCCGGATCTTATATAAAAAAAGATCAATAATTAAATATTTATAGGGAGAGGATTCTACAACTCAGATGAGAGGCTATGAAATGTATATGTTTTTGGTTTGGTTTGGTTTATTTTTACAGTACATGAAGAAGGTCTGAAATTACTTTCAGTTTACTCATAAATAGATCAATCAATTCAGCGAGGGGCTAAGGAATTACCTTAGGGTTAGGATTAGGATTTAATCCGTGATAGTGATCTACTGAGCCTACTGGCACAATCTGAAGCCATTCTATGGGACTGATTACCTCTAATAACGAACATTTATTGGGACAATAACATCTGAAGTGGCTGCAAACAGCCACTTAGTATTTCCTGTGTCATGGAAGACAGAATGAACATGAGGAGGAACCCCATGAGATGATAAACAGGTTCCATATATTAGAACAAATTTTGTATTCTTCATCACCTGCGGACAGGTGATTTCATCTAAGTAGATACATTATTCCACTACTATTCAAAAAAATAAACTAGTTTCACTCCGTAACGTTATAGTGGTTTAAACTGGCTGGCCATTTTGATATTTATTAGTTGAATTAATACGCATGTGTGATATCTGAAATAGATTATTATTTCTATTCTTCCTCTTGCCCATATATGGAAGATGATGTTACAGAGCACAGCTGGTTTGTTAGCGAGACTTACATATGAATCAACACCTGTGTGTTCATACACGGGGTTAGTCGTAGACTTATATGGCATCATTGTGCAGAATTACATTTCTCAGGATTATGCAGCCACTTTTGGACTGCACCACCTTTAGGGCTCATTTACAATAATTTTCTGAAAATAAGACCATTCTTTGAAACTGATGTGCAAATTCATAATAGCCCACCATAGGAGTAAAATACATTTATGACAAGAATGTGAAAATGTTGCATGAAGCCCGATTTTATATATTGAGAATGTTGTGATCTGCAGCTAACGCTGGTTAAATTGGAACGACTTGAATGGACGGGTTTTAGAGAAAATGAAGAAAGACTTCAGTCTGTTTTCTAAATGAATCATTTTTATTTGGTGTCTAAACAGTAGAAAGAAGAACAAATGTCTGTTCTCCAACAGGAAGAAAAACATTCAAACATTACAGAGGAAATACATGAAAGATAAAAATCTTTTCAACAAACGGAACCTTTTCTCGAGAGATGCTTAAATTCTAGTTCTGTTGTGTGGACTTTCAGGAAGCCGCTTAAAGCTTAATGTATTTTTTATTCTTAGTCTTCTGACAAAAATGAAACATTTTTAGGAAAAAGAATTAAGGTATATTAAAGCATTTTGTCATTGGTTCTAGCCTTCAGTCTATACTATCTCTATTGTTTAAATTCCTACAGCTGCTTCTGGCTGGAGGATCAGCAGGCACACCGAAGAGCTGTTCCTCTGACCCTGGCAATTTACATCCAGTCAGAAAACGGCTCATTTGCCCCCAACTGAAACAGCTCTCATTTACTCTAAAAATAGTTTTCTACTGAAAAACAGTCTGGACCTAAGGAAATTATTATAATATCAAATCAATAAAGATAATTTGGCAGGATTTCCTGTTCGCTGTCGATGGCAGCGAATGGAAAACTTATCTGAACTGAAAGAAAGTTCTAGAAAAAGAACGTACAGAATAATCAACAACACGCCCTCAAACGCTTTGATCTGGCTAAAACACGCAGGCATCGAGGAGCTCTGGGCAGAACACGTGACCCTGAGGACAGCGAGGAGGCGGGGTTTAGCTGATCGGGAATCCAGCATCTTAATGACTCCAGTCCATCGAGCTAAGCCATCAAAGACCAGAGGACAGCAAATGCAAAGCAAAATGAAACTAGCGGAACCTTTCAGCCACGATTCCAGCTAATGGTCTGAGTGTCTTCCATGGCATGGTCCAGGCTTATGGATAGGGTAATGTTTGTTAATAAGTTAGTTTCAAATGGGATTCAGTTTTTCCCTTAAAAGGAAAAATGCAAAAGAATCAGCCAAGGTGTTGAAGGGATCTGTTTTGGTGGCCTTAGGTAACCTTCCGTTGAAGTAATTTTGGGAAGGGGCAAAAATACTGGTTAGCTGATTGGCCTATGTTGGTGATAGACGGGCCAAATAAACCAATCAGATCAACGAAGCATATGACGTACTAACAGAGCGACGACGAAGAGGAGCCAAGTGATAGATCAAACTCTTGCCGAAACCAGTCGGGAGAAGAGCAAAAACATCTTTTCCTCTGAGAAAAGCCTCCAGAGCAGTGTTTTGCTCTTCTTTCAGTGAAGAAATACAGTGCAATTCCGATAAAACTTGCTCGATAGCCACGCTAACGCTAGTTTCATCGGCTGAAGCCGCCATGTTCTTTAGACTGAACTGTTGCGCTTCTCGTTGCGTCACACCTCAACCCGCCTCAAAGCCAACGCTGATTGGACGTTCGTTTGATGAACGGCTCCAAATTTTCTTCAACGGAGAGTAACCAGACTGATTTGCGAGTGAAACCTTGAAAGCTCGCGAGATCAGGATGGTCTCACGAGGCTAGGCCTTAGGGTCTTGTCTCTGTTATTCGCAGATGATGTAGCTCTATTGGCATCGTCTGGGTGTGATCTACAGCTCTCACTAGGGCGATTTGCAGCCGAGTGTGAAGCGGCCAGGATGAGGATTAGTGCCTCCAAATCCCAGACCAGACTCTGTTTAAGGTTTAATGGAACTGAAACCTGATCATTCTTGGTCAAAATGAATTGGCCTATGACATTCAGTTGGACTCCAGAAGACTCAGTGGTACTTGTATGGCAGAGATGGGGAATCTGGAGATAACAAGTCACCTCTATGTCATATGTTTGTTTTGCCAATCCACTGAACCAGGTGAGTCCAATCTGTAGAGTGAATTAACCTCTTCAGATTGGACTCACCTGGTTCAGTGAATGGGCAGAACAAAAACATGACATAGAGATGACTTGTTGACTCCAGATCCCCCATCTCTGTTGTATGGTGAGACGATTAATATCAGGTTATCTAGTCCTATCTGAGAGTTTATGTCCTCAGGGTCAGGGGTCAGAGGTGACTGTAAAGACTTTCAACCAAAGAAGTGAACTCACAGACTCTCTGTAGTTCTTCATACAAACATCTGAGGTAGGATGTGATGATGGAGTTTTTAGGCCAGCATATTTCCATCACTCACTCATTTGGTCATCTGAACTCATTCTGACGCTTTTTCTAACAATCTCTAAAAAAAATAGAAACTCACGTCTGCTCTCTGAGAAATGTATCCGAAGTGTAACACATCACGCCGAGAACTTATTTTGGTTTGTTTGTTCTTCAGAGTGAAAACAAACAGATTCTGGAACAGAACTTCTTCTTTGGACGCCGTTCAGCAGGTTTAGAAAATATTTGGCTGAAATTCTGCAGAAAGCTCAACAGCACCAAAACATGGCGGTAACATTTAAACATGGTGTACAAAAAGCGGCCACACCGGCCAAAATAAAACATTAAAACTTTTCATGAGGAGAAAGCTGAGAGTATCTCAAGCAGAGGCATACGCAATGTCCATGCTTTTTGTTTTCACCCTTCTGTCTCTCAGGTGACTGAACTCTGCAGCAGATCTTCTCACGTGGAGCTGAAGAATTTTCATGAACATTCCAGCTTTTCCCATTTATCCTCTAACATCATGCTCTCCAGGAAACTTCAGGACCCAAACCCTGCAGACTCATCAAGTTTCAGGCCTGAGAAAGCCTAGGATTGGCTCCAAGAATTCTGGTCTAGGTGGTTGAGGTGGATCTCTGGAAGCTACATAGACCACATTCCAAAGGGGCGTTATGTTCAGGTTACTCAAATGAAATTATGGAATCTAGACCAGGACTTCTGGAATGTAAGGTCTACTGTTTGTTCAGATCTGCAGCCTCATGATAGGTGAAGATGAATCAGTATGACTGACATTTTCTAGATCACTGTTTCAGAAGGTAAAACTCCAAAAGCCAAGACTGTCTAGTCAAGAAGGTTCTAAAATCGCTCACCATGAGTGAGACATTCTCTGGTTCTTGATTCGCCTAAAAAAACGTTTTTTCTTTAGATTTAAAATTAAAGCATGAGATGATGAGAAGAAGAGGCTGATCTGAAGCTCTGATTACTTGCAAAGAAGATTTAGGTTAGATACTAAGATCATTAGACGCTGTTAGGGTCCTATCAAAGGTCCAGATGAATTAGTTGCATTAGGTGCTTTGAAGTAGGTGAAGACTGACCAATAGTAGTTGTGTTAGATTCTAATCCTAACCTGGGGTAGGAGTTCTGGGTCTCTGAAGTAACACTGGAGAAGACGTTGATAGATGGAAACCATAATACTCTGATGGTGGAAAAAGACAAAGTTCATAGACTCCTCTTGGTAATGGTCAGACTGAGGACATCAACAGGGGAGCAATCATAACGAAGAAACTTGGACTTGGCTCCAGGGGAGCTTTTGGTTCTGAGGTAGCTTGGCCTGGTCAGCAGCAAGAGGCTAACGGTGTCGAGCCTGAGGTAGCGCTCTTTGGAGGAGAAGAGTTTGGTAAAGGGGGGAAGGGGGGCTCCAGCTGAGTTCTGCCATCCTCCGCATCCTGACATAAGGTGAATACTTCTGTCACCTTCTGACCAGATTCTATTGCATCCCTTTGGCTTTGGGCCTGAGACACCCGGCAGGTGAACTACCTGCTCTAGTGGACTCCCTGAGGACCCGGGTTCTGGTCAGCGCGGTGAAAGGCCTCATCGTATCAGAAAACTTGGCACAGTCGGTGATCGAACTAAAATAATGCAAAACTAAACGAATAATAGGGTTTGGTTTGAACAGGAAGGGACATCTGATTGCACAGAGGACGGGGTGGGTCACGTGACCCGGGTAGGCCATGAGTTTGGATCAGAGGGAAATCAGCTTTGGTTTTGGTTTGGAGTTAAGAGTGTGAATTGCATCCAGAGCAAATGGACATCTTAGCTGTAGTGCAGAGGTTTTGGAGGTGGTAAAATTTTGGTCCTCTGTGGAATCAGATGGTCTCTGGAGTTTCCTCCTCTTCATCATTATCATCTAAAAAAACAGATACTAGAAGGTAAGGCTGTCAGGAGGTGAGGAGGCCACCACAGCTGGAGATGGGGAGGGGGAGGGGATTTATCCGGTTCCTGTGCCAGGCTCGACAGGTTGAGTCGACTCGATCATGACCATCACTGGTGGAAAGCTGGAGTCACATCTCTGTAGGTGGAACAGAAGAGAAGGACATTTATCATAAAGACGGATGCTACTCCAGAGTCACTTCTACCACAGGAACCAGGTTAATTGTACATATATATAAACAAAAAAGGATAAAATAATCTGGAGGTTACTTTGTTGTGGAATACGGTTTAAATCTTGAGATCTTGGATAACCCAGAAGGTCTAGCACATTTGGAGGCCAAAGCTTCAGTCTTAAAGAATTCAGTCAGATCTGGACTGTGATTGACTGGTGCTGTTTCTTTAAGTGATGCTGAAATTATTGAGCCATCTCTTCTGGTTTTGCTGATCCCTACCTGATTCAGCTCAATGTTCTCGCCTGTGGGACTCTTGGAACCTCTGACTCCATTCAAGGTGGGTGGTGTCTCCCAGCTCGCCTCCTTCCTGCAGATAAAGCTAAACAGAAAAGGCAGATGAGGATGAAGAACATAGTGATGGTGCTGATGAGGCACCTCAAGGTATTGACGAATATTTACCTGCGTCTGTAGGCCAACAGGACAAAGAGCAGGCAGCAGAGGATGCAGGCGAGTCCACTGTGAACGCCAACCAGCAGAGTCGACATGGAAGGGTCCGACTGATCACAGTTACAGCTTTGACCAGCTAAAGGGAGACAAACCCATCCAGTTAACCTGACACTAAACAGTTCAGTGGATGAGTCCTGGAATGCTCCTACCTGAAGCAGAGGCTTCGTCCTCTGACAGAGAGACGAGGCGACGTGTAGATGGACTGTCCCCATTCCCGTTAAATGCCACCAACTGGATCTCATAAACCGCTGCCGGCTCTGCACAATGAAACATCCACACATTTGTATTTCTACCCGTATTAGGACTTTGTATTGACCACATTGTTATCTAGTATCTGCACACAGCTGATTCTTAAAACCTTAACAAAGCTGTTGTCTGAGAACTACAGTAGCAGCCATTCCAAATTTCCCTTCCCAGTCAAACGCAAGCCGAATGGCAGCCAACTTCCAGCCACTGGAGTGACCCCCTCCTCCTCCTGGGCGTGCATATTTTTGACAGAAAGAATATTTTAGTACAAACATTGATGTTTAAAATTGTAGGGGAACAGCCAAGGGCCCATCAAGGAAAGTGAGGAAATTGTGAATGGCTACTGCTGTAATGGAACACGAGTTCTGCAATTTGGAGCCAGCAACACTTGCAATTGTGTGATCAGGTGAACTGAGGGTGGGCCCTCATACTTTATACTCAGAAACCAGGTCGTCTGCATGTGAATCGTGGTTAACACACACATACCCCACCTCCTTGCGCAGAAACTCTGGTGCACCTTCTCAACATTGTAGGTGACCATTGGTCAAATCTACATCTGCTCTACAGTATGCGTATTTCCTGTTTGGTACCTAAAGGCAGAAACTGTGGCTGTAGTGCTGTTCACAACGCCTGGCACAACTTGGACACAATCCCTAGTTTGGAGGTCTGTGCAACAGTCTGTTGGTTTGTACCTGAAGCCAAAACATGCAGCACCACGCCCAGTGTTTCAGTAACACTCACGGGTGATCCAACACTCGTTGGATGAGTGGTTTTATACGGCGAACAAGCTTGTCAAACCAACACACAGACACCAACAATCCGATTGCGACAAGCTCACAGCGACGCACTGCTGCAGGAGTATAACCAGCCCTTTACTCACCTAGGTGGGAGATGGTGTGAGTATTGATGTGTCCTGGGAAGAACTCCTGTCCCTGAATGTCAGGGTTCGAGACAGCACGATACTCCAATCTAAAGCCTTCCACCTTTCCTGGCTTACTGGGCAGCTCCCAGTACACCTGCATAGCAGTCTGGTTTAGGACCTTGGTGAAGAAACTGGGAGGACTAGGAACTGTGAAAGAGGTAGAGGTCTTGGTTAGCTAACACTAAAATGAGACTTTTGTCTAGTATTGAGTGGGTGTAACTAAGGTGAGTTGGTTCACTTTAATTTGACGAAGTGTGCCTCAGGGAGTGGGTGTGTCTAAGCTGAGGTTAGTGGGCATGCCTAAGCTGAGTGGGTCTCTCTCAGGTGAATCAGTCTGCCTCAGGTGAGTGGATATGCAAGGGTAAGTGTGCAGGCCTAATTTCAGTGGGTATGTCCAGGGACTCAGGTAAGTGGGTGTATCACAGATGGATGGGCCTGTCTAAGATGAGTGGATATGCTTAGCTGGGTAGGTCTTTCTCAGGTATACTGTATGTCCAAGTTGAGTGGGCAGGCCTCAATTAAGCGGTTGTGCCACAGGTGAATGAGATTGTCTGAGATGAGGGGGCAAGGCTCGTATGAATAGGTGTTTCTTAAATGAGCAGGCCTGTGGTAGATAAATGTGTATAGGTGAAAAGGCATACCTCAGGGGAGTAAGTTTGTTTGTTTGAGTGGGCCTCATTGTGTCTAAGGTGAGTGGTTGTTCCACAGATTAGTTGGTGTATGTGCTATACCTCCTCCCAGCGTGGTGGCAGTGATGGCACTGGACTGCTGACTGCCTCCCTGAGCAGAGTACGCCTTCAGGTAGATGGAGTAGGTGGTGGCAGCCTCCAGGTTCTCGAAGGCATGTACAAAGGTGCTCTTGTCGACAGCCTCCTGTAGCTCTGCGCCATCAGGTTCTGTAGACGCAACATGAACCATATCCAGGTTGAACTTTGCTGTAGCTCCCACGTGTGCAGAGTCTGATTAAAGGTACCTCTCCTTCTTGAACAAACCCTTATCTGGAACAGAACGGACTTCCTGTTTGTTTAAGCTCTATATGGCCCTGCCCTCTTACCTCCCAGCCTCCTGATGTGTAGGACATATCCTATGATCTGCTGGCTGACGTGGGGTTCTGGCTGGTCCCAGGTGAGCTGCAGACTATTGGAACTGAGAGCCACAGCTCTGAGCCCAGTGGGGGCCTCCGGCAGCTCAGGTCCTTGGACGATGGCCAGCCGGGCGCTGGCCTGGTTGGTACCAGCGCTGTTCTCAGCGATGCACTGATAGATGGCTTCATCTTCGGGAGTTATACGGGTGATAGCCAGTGTCCTGCAGGGGGGATATAATGATGGTTAATTTGAGGGTTCTGAAGAACCAGAACCTGGCAAACAGACCTACTCAGCATGAAGTCTTACGTGTTTCCATTGGTGAGCTTGACGTTTCCGCTTGGAGTGAGCAGTTTGCCATTTTTCAACCAGATGAGGTGTGGCTCTGGGACACCAGTGGCTGTGCAGCTGAAAACTGCACTGCCCCCTGCTGGCCTGGATACAGACTGGGGCCACTGCACAAACTCAGGAGGAGCTGCAGAGCAACAGAAAGTAATGATTTAACAGGAACCAACAGGTTTAGTCTTACCTATAGGTGGCGCTGAGAGCAGATATTAAACAAATTGATGTTTAATGTCTGAATAAATGTGTCTACAGTTCAATTAAACTTGAATGCTGTACCTCAAAACATGTGGTAAATCCCACAAAACCAAATTTTAATATTTAATTTAGTTAAAAAAGGGAAACTTGCAACAATAAATGAATGATAATTTGTGAAAAGGATTGTTCAGGAGTTTGATGAAATAGTCATAAGCTGGGGACTGCAGCTGGAATATTGCTGCATCACTTAGACTTAGACAACTTTTATACAACACAAATTATTTTTGTACAGCTTTCAGACAGTGAATGAGTAGCAGCATAGTAGTGAGATCAGTGATGGGCAGTAGCACCGCTACATGTAGCGAAGCTATTAGTTTAACTACATTTTCCAGTAGCTTGACCGTAGCATCACTGCTTTATTTATCAAGTAACTTTCCAGTAGTGACGTTATTATTTTTATCAAGTAGCGACGTAGCGTCCAAAAACGCTACAAAATCCAGGGCATAACTAAGAAATAAGATGCCTTTTGTAGGGTTTTGTTTTCCCAAGAGATGTCCATTGAATGCAAACTCATAGCCATGTCTCGATGTGTAAAACACTAAACAGTACCTTTAATTTGGTTCTAATAACACCAGATTGTTTATTTTTTTGTCTACTAGTAATTACTTAAGTTTTTTTATTATGCTGATCATAAAGCAATGTTTACATAGTGTTATGTCATTGGCTGATATTAGCTTGGTACGACGTTAAGTAGCTTCTGATGTAGTTAGGCTACTTTTAACACATTAGTGTAACTTAGCTTGCTATAATTCTTTAGGTGGTAGCTTTGGTGTAGTGAAGCTTAATTTATTGTAGAGTAACTGATAGCTTAGCTCACTACACTGGACAAGTAGCTTGCCCAACACTGAGTGAGATTAACATTTCCATTCAATAAAGTCCAGAGTGATCAAATGTAAACAGTGTAGGAGAAAAAACAACAGTTCAGCAGTCTGATGGCAGTTGGGAAAAAGCTGCTGTGGAATCTGCTGGACCTGCATTGAATGCTGTGAAGTCACTTCCCAGAGGTTAGCGAGGAGAACAGTCCATGGTGGGGGAGTCACTGAAGATGTTAGGGGCTCAGGACACGCAGTGGTTTCATATCAGGAAACTATCAGATAATCCATAAAATTGATTAAATTTGCCTAACAATATGAGTCGAGATAAACAAAAAAATAGTGAAAGGTTATGCTGTCTTTGTACTTTGGTTTCACAGTTTTCTATCTAGTTACACACTTTCTGTAGTAAAATCTTTTTCTATCGGCCTAGAATCTGAATCTTGGGATTTCTCTGATTTCCTGAAACTTTGATCCCCTTTAAAAACACTGAAGCTTAATGTTTGCATGTGGGATAAATCTAAAAAAGTTCTACTTTATGAATCAATTAACCTCAATGATCTCTTAGGATCCTTGATTGTTGCGAGCTGCAGTAAGATAGTTGTAGCACCTCTTTTCATCCAGCAGGAGGCAGAACAAACACGCAGAGAAGCCGAGAGGCTCTGAGGTTTCCCACGCTGTCCTGCCAGTGAACTTATCCCCTTTCTTTCTGAACTTGAACTTCTTTGTGTCTGTGTTTAAACTCCACTTTGACCTCCTGACCCCTCCGCAGACAGACAGGTGCTGTCTCGCCTCTCGTGCTTGTTGCCACAGTAACCCAGAGACCAGGCTCACACAGGCCTGCTGAAGCCCCGCCCCATTTGGCTTTTTCATGCAAAGAAGAAGGGGGTGGGCTAATTAGCATGGACATAAGGGTGATCTATGAAGTGTGGACGACGTGTCGCACAAACTTTGACTTATAACTCATTCACAGAGAAAACGACAGAAGACAGAAGAAGAAACAGAAGAATGATGATGATGATGATGATGGTGGCAGTGGTAATGACGCATTTGGATCCATCTGGATCGTTGCAGTTGTTTGGGGCAGAAATCATCCCAGAAAAGCACCATAACATGTGAACCCAGTAAGCCCGACTGGGAGGCCTGGTCCAGTCTGTGTGAACATCTTTCTGCCCCCTGTTCTCCTTAGTTCGGACCAGCTGCTGTACGACACATTCTCCCTGTTTCTGTTCCACTTTTCTGCACAAACCCTCTTCTTCCTCACTTTACCACACAGCTAGGTGTTATTGGGCCCAATCACACTGGAAAAAGGATCTAAAAATAAGTAGAAATATCTTAAAATAAGTGTATTTACCCTAATTTGAGTAGGTAAATGAGATAGTTTGCCAATGGAATGAGTATTTTTGCTCTTCAAATAAGAAAATTAGATAAAATGCACTTGAAATAAGACGATGCAATTGTGTTTTCTTATTGTAAGTGTAAATTGTCTTGTTCCATTGGCAAAATGTCTCTTTTACCTACTAAATCCAAGAACAAATACACTTATTTTAAGAAAAAATGACTTATCTAGATTTCGATTTTTTTCCAGTGCAGATCCTGCTGGCGCCACTTTGAACAGGACTGATCTACACTGGAAAAAAATCGAAATCTATATAAGTCATTTATTCTTAAAATAAGTGCATTTGTTCTTGGATTGAGGACATAAAAGAGACATTTCGCCACTGGAACGAGACAATTTAAACTTAAAATAAGAAAAAGAACAACTGCATTGTCTTATTTAAAGTGAATATTATCTAATTATCTTATTTTAAAAGTAAAAATACTCATTCCATTGGCAAACTACCTCATTTACCTACTCAAATTAAGGGTAAATACGCTTAATTTAAGAAATATTTTACTTTTTTCTAGATGGTTTTTCCAGTGCAGTTGTTCTTTAGAGTACAGCGCAACAAACTGAAATCTAAACAAGCTATTTTTCTTGAAATACGTGAATTTCTGTGAGACACTATGCCAATGGAACAAGACAATTTACATTTAAAATAAGAAAAACATTTCCGTTGTCTAATTTCTAGTGCATATCATCTAATTATATTATTTCAAGAGTAAATATACTCAATTTATTGGCAAATCCTCTTACCTACATGCTCAAATTAAGGGTAGATACACTTAATATAAGAATATTTTCTTATTTGTAGATAGTATATGCTGTGTAACTTTACTGTTCTGACCCTGATGGACCTACTTTTGCTAAGAAGATCCACATTGCAAAAAATCTAAATCTAGATAAGTCATTTTTTCTTAAAATAAGTGCATTTGTTGTTGAATTGAGGAGCTAAAAGAGACATTCTGCCAATGGAACAAGACAATTTACACTTAAAATAAGAAAACACAATTGCATTGTCTTATTTCCAGTGTTGGGCACGTTACTTTGAAAAAGTAATTAGTTATAGTTACTAGTTACTTCTCCCAAAAAGTAACTGAGTTACTAACTGAGTTACTCCACAATAAAAGTAACTAGTTACTAGTAAAAGTAACTATTGCGTTACTTTTGCGTTTCTCGCCCCCGTAAACCTCACCACCCAGCCCCCACCTTCTCGCCGTGTGTTTCCAAAGCCAGCTGAATAGAGAGGACGACAAAGACAAGAACCTGCAGACAGTTTAGCATTTATTGCAACTCAACGTAAATGACATCAGGGGGAACGCGATGTGAAGTTTTATAACAGGACATTCAGATCTGGTGAGTATATGAAATTAATAACTGGGGATGTCTAATTCTGAAATCCTGTGTGTTTGGGTTGTTATAGATACTGCAACATCTATCTATCTATCTATCTATCTATCTATCTATCTATCTATCTATCTAGATGTATACTCTGTGTGTGACATAAAATATGGATCTCCATCCCTGCCACAAAGGCCATCAAATAATGTTTAAAATAAAAAATACAGTAGGTTGAGAAGGCAGAGCATCCATCCATCCATCCATCCATCCATCCATCCATCCATCCATCCATCCATCCATCCAGATTTCTCCCTTTCTCCATATAGGCTATCATTTCTGGCTGTTGTCAGGTTCATTTGATCGTTCACGCTCTCCATACTTCTCCTGTGGCGCGAGCACAGAGCGACTGTTGCGCGCCTTTAGCGAGCATGCGCGTTTCCTGTCGCTTGCGCGGTGACTCGTGCCGCCTGCGCTGTGTGGAGATGCAGAGGAAACCGTTATGTGATGGGGAAACGCAGCTCTACGTAACACCGGTATTTCCATGTGGAAAACGCTGTTTTGCTGCTGGAGTCATCCTCACTCTCCATCTCTCTGTGTGTGCTGTACGTTAACACCCGCCAGCAGAAACACCCACCTATTCAACTGACAGACGGATTCTCATCCTCCCCTCTCTCATGACAAGGCGCGCACCTCTGGATGACCTAAAATAAATCTTTAATATCTCTTAAACAAAAGTAGCACAAACAATATTTTTTTCTGCACAAATCTGCACTAACGTTGCACTAACCATTCAGTCTATTTGCAGAGTTTTTTGACGTGGGTGGGGTGTCAGCTTCACGCAGCTGCGCACGAGTCCTATCATGAAAAAAGGTTCATTGCGCGACCTAAGTAACGCGCAGTAACGGGGTGCCTGCAATGGTAACTGCGTTATAGTTACAGTCAAAGTAATTAGTTAGATTACTCGTTACTAAAACAAGGTAACGGCGTTAGTAACGCCGTTACTTTCAACGCCGTTAGTCCCATCACTGCTTATTTCAAGTGCATATTACCTAATTATCTTATTTTAAGACTAAAAATACTCAGTCCATTGGCAAACTATCTCATTTACCTGCTCAAATTAAGGGTAAATTCACTTAATTTAAGAAATTTTTTACTTATTTCTAGATCGTTTTTGCAGTGCAGTTCTCTAATCTCTGTTTGAACAGGACTGATTTACTTGGTTGTTCTTCACTGGAAAACATCGATATCTAGAGAAGGCAGTTTTTCTTAAAATAAGTGCATTTGTTCTTGGGTTGAGAAGGTAAAAGAGACATTTTGCCAATGGATCAAATTTACAATTAA